TTCTTGCAGGAAATGGATTTGGGTCTTAAGATAAAGATTCAATACAATTACATACCTGCCAACATTCACTCTTTTCGAGAATAGATTTTCCAAGTGGTAGTAAAACAATTATCGAAAAACTATCTTCCTCATAAATATATTTATATTTTAAACAGGTTGAAATTCGCTATCGTAAAGACTAATATGCTTTTATATATTTGTTGTAATTATTTATATGTAGTGGTAGCCAAGCTCATTTATAATTATTATTATAATTCAAAAATTTTAGAGGAATAACATGAATTTCGCTACCACTTTAAATATGGAAATAAAATCTTCCGGGAAAACCGGAAGAGTTGGCAGCTNATCTTTTAGGGTTCCGTAGCCGAAAAAAATATTAAACCGTTGCTCTAGATCAGTCATATCAAAACTTTATCATAGAGAGCCCGAAAATATTTTCATTAAAGTGTAAGTAATTCTTTCAAAGCGGTATAAATTATTATTATTACTTAAAAAAATATATATACATAATGTTTAGAAATGAAAAGTTTACTAAAAAAAGTAGGTAAATTCAGTTAGGGGATAGAGTGGTCTCCTTCCAACGAGGTGAACCGGGTTCGAATCCCAGCGATGGCTGGTAGATACGAATTCCGTACCCGGCTCGCACCGACCACAATGCTGACGTAAAAATATCTTCAGGGGTAAATGGATCATGGGTTACAGTCTCCTTGCCGTCGGGATAACCGTGAGAGGTTCTCGTGGTCTTCCTCTCTGTGTAACGCAAATGCGGGTTAATTCCATAAAAAAGTCCTCCTTGAAGGCAAATTTCTCCCAATACTTGATCCAGGTGTTCCCTTGTCTTATGGATTGTTTTCAAAATTACAAAGCTACGGAGGTGAACATTAGTAGTCGAAAGCCCACAAATGGGTCTACTGTTCAACGACGGTTACATAACAAAGAAAAAAAATAAGGATGGTCAAGTTAGACTTTTTCATTATATGTAACAGTTCAGAGTTTAATAGTTCTCTTATTACTTGATTTTCAAAAGTTTAAAAACTTTGATTTCCTTTGATATACCACTAGCGAGCTTCCAACATACTCTATCGACTTTTAAATCAAACAAGCCGATTGTGAATTAGTACGAGTTATTCGTTATTGTGTATAAATGTTTTGTAATGATTCTATTATTTGTTTTAGTGTTTTAACTTAATCAACAACATCTACGTAGTTATCTCTAAAACATTAATATTAGTTGTTTACATGTATAAATTATGAATTCACCCTTTAAAGTGATTGCATATTTTGACTGCAACTTTATATTTTTATTTTATTCAATTTTGCTGTTCTTATAGGAAATGGATTTGGGTCTTAAGATAAAAATACAATACAATTACACACACATTATAAATTATCCATAGAAGGATAAATATTATTGTTTACAGTGCTACAATGAGAACATAGCTGAATTATAAAAATGGACTGTTTTCGATATTATTGTATATCGTTGCTAATTATTATTTTTTTTTTTATCATTATTTGGTTTTTTATTAATATTATTTAGCTTAATTTGTTTATTTTTTTAATTATCACAAGTCACAAAAATGTCCGAGAATTTTAAGAATCATTTAAAAAGTAATGGACATAAAAAAATGGGCGGTTTTACTTCAGAAAGAAATTTTTATTCTCACAAAAATTCCAATGTTTGTTGCAAAGCTCGTAATAAAAATAACGCTGCTGACTGCAAAATTATGACACTGTTATTATGATTATCAAATTATGATATTTTTTTTGCCAAAATATCAGATAATTTTGATTGAATAATGTGCAATAACATATGTAAATTTTGTTCTCAGACTGCATTGTTAATACAAATAGAGGTTATTTTAAAAACATTGTTCAAATAGTTTTCTTAGAAGCGAAAACTATTAAACAATGTTTAATAGTTTTTGAACTAATTTTGAAACTTGGTGGGGATTAAAATTTACCGTTTCTTAAGAAGGATGCATTAAACCGTACAATTCTTTTTCAATTTTTATTTAATTAATTTTCCAAATTGACGGTCATTTTAGGAACACCCGGTACCAAAACCTTTTTCTTATATATTCGATTAGTCCAGGTTATAGAGCTCAAAAAAGGGCGTAACACTCGGTAAAATTAGCGGAGGGTTTTATTTTTTGAACATTCATGCTTTTTGGAGAGCTGAACACGACTCCTAATTTTGAGACCAAAATTTTTCCGGGAAATGAGAACTAGAAAAAACTTGCTACAAATTCTATACCTACAATTTAATTTAAGGGTAATAAATTAGAGAATTGAGTATAAGAGTAATGAATATAGCAGTGGAATGACTCACTCGCGATATTTTAACGGATAAAGATAGAAGTTTCTCCTTTCATATTTAATGTTCTTTATTTTTTCAACAATCAAAATCTAGCATATTACTTTTAACATTTCAAAGCTAATGTTGCTGTTGTAGTTTTATTCCACTTTTCAATATTGACACGACTATTCTAAGGTAGATGGGTGAGCTTGTTTTCCGATGGCGTCATCTATAGTCGAGATTTCGACTTCTGCCACACACATACGTCACAGCCCGTTTTACAGAGAGAACACTTTCACACACCATCCATCCTAAGATCGTAATTTTGACGTAAACCAGAGCACGATCACTTTCCAATCCAGTACCCCTAGAGGTACTCATTTGTCATGGGGACGTGGAGGACTTTGTGACCCTGGCACATTTAGCGTGTACCAGTCACCATTTTGTACATGGGGAGCAATCTGTCGGAAGTAATCAAAAGCACGACCTCCTTGACATGGGCGCAAAGCCCTACAAGCCAGACTGTCCCTGCTCTTTCGAAGCTAATAAAAAATTTAAGTGAACCAAAAATAATAATCTAACAGAGTAAAAAAATTAGAGACAAATTATAATTTTATTTCACGTGTTTAGTACAGAATATAAAATTTTTATAATAACCATATCCAAAATCTCATTTTTCGTGATTAGACATTCAGATTTATTTTCTCTGGGCGAATGTTCATTATTTTTCAGTTCGAAAGGAATAAAGTTACTTAAAAAAAAGTTTAAAACGAAAAAAGAAACTATAATACTAAATTAAAATAAAAGGACACTTCTTTGAAGAGCAATGGAAATAAGTTTAATGCTGTGTATTGTATTTCAAGTTTATTTTGATTATTTTATTTTTACCATTTACCTTTCTTATTGTTCTTTTCTGATTCTCTGTAGAAAAAAAAAAGCATACGAATAAGAGAGCATAATATTTTTGAGTGGTAGACTTTTAATGCATGATTCTTAGTTAAGTAAATTCGATTTATAGTGTTTTAATTCTTCTAAACAATATAAAAGCTTTTATGATACGCCACTTTGTTACAAGTGTTGAACCTCTTTAAACAGTTGACAAAATTAACAGAAAATCTGCAAATTTTAGCTTGTAGTTCTTAACGATTTCTCTTTTTTACGATATGTTATATTATCTGGAGCAGTTGGCATTTCTGGAATAGGTATATTTCATTTGGTCATTGATTTCACATACAATAATTGTTAAAGCAGGAATACTTCACGACAGAAACACAAATATTTATTTTGATCAACCTAAGATATTTTGGAAAGGGTAAAACTTGATAAATAAGACTTTTTTGTTTACTTTGTTAGATTTTTTTTTCACGTAAACTTTTCCTTTGCATTGAAATGTTAAAAGTCATTTTCTAATTCCTTAAAAATTTCGAAAGATACTATTGAATATTAAACAAATAATGCTCTTAAAATTTTGGTTGGATGGTCAAGGATGAGTTACTAAAGGGGGGGAGGGGAGATTACATTTGTCTAAAATAAATATAAAATTGGGAGAAAACTCAGATTCCGAAAATTAAAGAAGTGTGACCAAAAACCATGATTTTAGGAAAGTTTTTTAAAAAATTATTTATTCGGAAAGGGTTAAACCCTCTTCTCAGATGCTGGAAATTTTTTACTCTCATAATATATCACATAATGCTTTAATAATATTTTTTTAAACATTTATTGTGAGAGTTGTTAATTGATTTATAATATTTGGAAAGAGCTCAACCCACTAAAGTTTAAGTCACACTTTTTTAATCTTGTTAACTAATATTTTATATCATGAAGTCAAACAGAAAATTACATTATAAAATTTTGTCTGAAAACATTTATTTACTATTAAATAAATAATAGTATTAACAATTATTTATATGTTTAAAAAAATTTGGAAGCAATGCAGATACTCAAAGTTACAAAAATGTGTCAGATACTAAATAAAAGAAAATAAAAATTTAGTTGAAAGGACAGATATCGTGAGATTCATAAAACCAAGAAGAATGGCTCTGACTAATATTTCTATAAGAGACTATAAGTAAAGTAAAGCCAGATTCTTTTAGTCACTAGCACTATATGTTAAAAAACTTTATAACTTATTAAGAAATTAAGTGAGTAAGAATACCTGGTTTCCAAAGAAAAAAACACAGAAAACTACACGCTATTCTCTCTATTGTTTTTTTTTTTATTAAAATTTCCAATTTCTGGCCACTTTGGAAACAGCTGATAAATTTTGCAAAACTTTAATTTATTATAATCTATTACTGATATATTCTGCACGCTCTCCTCAGATTTAATGAGTGAATAAAAAATATGAAGGTAAAGTTTTGCTAGACTTAAAGATTCGGAAACATTCGCTTTAAAAATGCAAAGGCTTGTAAATTTTAAAGGAATTTTTCAAATGTGAATAAAAGGCAAAATTAATTTTAAAAAAAGTCACAAATATATTAAAAAAAGTTTAAATAGCAGAAAAGTACAGTACAAAAAACTACTATGAAAAACATTACAAAATTCACAAAAAAGTTTTTAAAAATATACATATTTAAAAAAAACTATTTGATATTAGTTTTTTTCTAATTAGCTTCTTCCATTAGTCGATTAGTTTTTAATAATTATTATTTACTTCAATTTCTTTACTTCTATAAATATTTCTGCCAAATAAATAGAGAGTGGATACAAAAGAAATCAAAAATTTATTTTCAAATATTTTATCATTATGATAAATAAACAAACTGCAACAAAATTTACATACAAAATACAATTAAATATTTAGTCTTCTTGATAATCAAAAACTAATTATTAATGCCAGGGTTCCTGCTTCAGATGACTAACTTGTCCCAATTTATAATATCTAGTAGTCGGATGATTATTAGTATCCGTCTTTGCAGGTGTTTCTGGCTCATTTGCTGATTGTTTTTCTGTTGATTCTGTTGTACCATCACCTTTCATTGTGGCGATACACTTCCATTTTTCATTAAAATTAGCTAAAAACAAAATTTAGTTTTACTTATTTATTTTGAAATTTGGTACTTAGCCTAAATTTCTAGCATATTTCGATTAGCACATATTGTTTCATTCCTTGATGTTTGGTGGCAGATGCAATATTCATAAGAAAATAAAAAAAGGGTAGAATATTTATTAAATGAATTAATGTATAATATAAAATTGTAAATGTGTTACAAATTTGACTAATTAATTACACTAATATAGAAAAAAAAGGGGGCAAAGCTAAGTGTATTAAGGAATGTTGAATTTTCAAAAATGCAAGTTTAAAATGACAAACAATATTTTTCAGTATAAAAAAATATTTTATAATACGACTTGATTTTGTACTGGGCTTCAATGCATTGATATTCTTTGAGACCACCCACCCCCACACACACATACCTTGTGCTTAACCATGGAAAACCATTTTTTAAAATAAATAGCTCTGTGTTCTATTATTGACGTATATATGGAGTCTAACTTAATATATTGACACAATTGACTGACTAACCTTTTTTTCTGAAGGTTTTCAGAAGAAAAAAAATTGGTGGTAAAAGTAAATTTTAAAAAACTTATGCTAATTTGTATATTTAGTATTTATAACATTATTCAGTTCTTCAAAATAATAATCAAAAAACAAATTAGTCAAAAGTGTAAAAAACAAAAGCATTGCAATTAAAATAAAAGTACCAATAACTTTGTTCATATTATTTGAACTCCAAATCAAGAATTTCAAATAAATCTCTCTTTATTTTAAAAAAAAAATAGTAATAATAATTTACTATGATAAATTGTTATTGACAAAAAATTACCAAACTATCATTTAAATTTTCAGCAACAAAGAAATCATTAGCAATAAAACTATGTGCATTAGTAAATCTCATATTTCCAAGAAAGTTAGAAGTTTTTTCATATTGTGAGTCACATGTTCTTTATAAGTTACTGTAGCTGTTCTATATCTTTAAAAGTCAGAAAATTAGTTCAGTATATTATCCGTACAATTTATAAACTTAGAGAAAATGAAGAAATAAAAAAGTAAATTTTTTTCTTGTTGTGAAGTTAATTGTGTTCCTGAGCTTTCCAAATTTGCACAAAATTTTAGTTCATTTTTTACCCCATTAAAAAGTCATAAGACGTAATCTCATGTAATATGGATTCATAATGTTAAATTAAATAAAAACTAGAAACCAGAGTTGATTAAACCATCAGTGTGACTGCTTCCAATCAAACTATTAGGAAATATAAATAAAGTACATGACACATTTCAAGTATATAAGAAAAAAAAACACATAATATAAACTATTTATGACAACAACTAGAGTTAAGTCAATAAAAAAACAATAGCTAGTGAATAAGAACCTTTCCATAATCTAACACAGCCATCATCACCAGATGAAGCAAGAATTGTACCAGTAATATTCCAGCTAACACGCCACACCTAAAATGAACATAATTATTGGACACATTTTAAGTTTTATGCACAACAAAGATTAAGTTATAGAGATTATTTCTACTCAACTTCACAATGAGAAATTTAAACTCTTTGAAGGTCAGAATTTTTTTTAAAAAAATAAAACACCAGAATAGACAAATTTATTTTAGTTTGACTCAAGTAGAACAATTTAATTAAATGAATTTTTAGATAATTTTGCTTACTTTGTGGTTAGCGTTGAAAACCACAGCCCTTCTAAGTGTTAAAATAATTTCTTATGAGCAGGCAGTAATTTTATGCATAGGTAGTAATTTTATCATGTTTAACAGGTAGTAATTTTATATCTCTGAAATAATAACTAGTATTTGGTGCTTTCTTTGCAATTATCAAGAAAAAAAAATTTTAAAAAAATTTTAATTCAAATTTTAAAAAAATTACATAATTCTTATTTATATGACACTTAATAATGTTTTAATACTTGAAGCATATAAATGTTCTAATTTGTAGTTCCTTGATACTAAGAGATTATATAAACATGCAAAATTTATGATCTTATTCAGTTTTAAAAAAATGAAACAATTAATAACCTTAGTTTCTTAAAAGTGATTTTTTTCAAACAAGTACACAAAAATACATTTGTAAATTCAAGCAAACTTTATATACTAGTTAAATTTTCCTTTCAATAATGTCACCGTAGTCAACTGGCAGGAAATCTGCCCCACAACAAGAAGTTTTTGCAAGGTGTTTTTTTTATACAAATAATTTAAATATAATTGTATTTCGTTTAATGTATTTCTTGATATTAAATTGCAGCACTAATTTAATTTCTCAATAAAATAATATTTATAAATAGTGCTAATAATAGTTAAACGGCTAGATTTTGGTTAATGAACTTTATTATATATAGCAGAAGAAGAAATGTATTTAGGCATCCTAAACACTCAATTGGTTGCCACAAAAAAATGACTGCCATGAAAATAGTTTACATAAATTACTTTAAAAAAATTAAATTAGAACAAAACAAAAAAACACTCTAAATGAAAAATAAAAAATTACTTGGGAATTGTGATTATCGAACTGGCCCGCTTGTCTTATTTCATACTTTGAAGTTCCTTCTGGTATGCCACCAATATTTTGATCACTATAAAATAAAATATATATGTTATCACGATATCAAAAGAATAAAAATGACAAAAACCCACAAAATTAATTCAAGTATACTAACGGAAGAGATCTAATGATGAAGATCTGAAGATTTTTTGTAGCTACTGCCAACAAATTGTAAGATCTTCCTAAATTCGGGGCAAAAGCGAGATCATAAACAGCTTCTTTGATGGGCAGTGTATCTATTCGAGGCCATCGTCTGGTGTTTTCATTATATTCAAATATAATTACTTTGTCTCCTCCTGTTTGTGAAGGTTCATCACTTCCCACAGCTATCATAGGAGCATGCATTCTAAAAAAAAGAAGATTAGAGAGAAAAAAAAATTTTCTTATTATTGTAAATATTCTTTTTTTATTTTTCATAAACATATACTATATTATTACTGTTTTGGATCGCTTCAGTATTTTTTATGTTAAAGGCCTAATACAGCATGAAGTACTTGTTTGTGAAATGTGCACACACATTTCATCAAACCTCTACTAAGAATGATTAATATTTATTTCATAAAAAAATAAAAAAAACTTAAATAAACTTTTAATGTTATTAACACGGTTCGTTTTTGTAAGTAATACTGTTATTTTAAAATAAAATACGAAATTTAAATATTAGCATTTTTAAATTTCACAATTTCAGATATGTTTTATAAGCCAAGACTAGAATCTTGATGATAAATTCATATTTGCATTTTTGGCCAGTTTTTCTTTTATAGTTCATTCTTTATAATTTTTCAGTCCTTTTTTATTTTAGTTTTTTATTTAATTCCTTTCGTTATTTTCTATCAATTTTATTTGATACTTTTCTTTTTATTTCAAATGCATTCTGAATGCGAATAAATTTTATATATGCAGTAGAAGCTAGATTTAACGATTCCCAAGAATAAAAACTTCCAGCTTTTAGCGTCATTTCAGCCTGGTCCCATTTTAGTTCTTATATCAATAATGTGAAATAAGTCCAGTATTAAAAGTGAATTCCCTAACTACTACCAAGAAACACTGGTGTGTTTAGTTATCTTTTTACCACACAAAGAGTGATACATTCCATGTTTTCTATTTTTCTTTTTTTTTTCTTGCCTGTTGAGTTTGATAACAAAAAAACTTCTTGTTACTACCAATTAACGGATCAATTTTAAAAGAAAAGACTCTGGAAATCACAACCCGTCTGAATATGGAAGGTTTTACTGCATCTAATGGCTGGATTGGCAGGTTTAAAAAAAAGGAATAATTTGGCAATATGGGGTGAATCTGCAAGTGTGAATGAAACAGCTATTGAAGAGTGGAAAAGTAAGACTTTGGCAACATTAGTACAAAATTATTTTGCAAGGGACATTTTTAACGATAATGTATAATTCAATATTTTTCCAGTAAGACATACACCATGAAAGGAGAACAATGTCATGAGGGAAAATTGTCCAGGGTAAGGGTAATCTCGATATTGCAACTCTGATGGAAGTGAAAAACTTACGCCAATCATTATCGGTCACTCTAAAAATCCATGTTGCTTCAAAAACATTAAAACTTTTCGTTTAAGTTTTTTTTAGTTTAAACTGTAAGTTTTAAATATTTTGTTGAAATACTACATTATATTGAACTTTTAAAATATTTTAGTTTGTTTTTTAGTTTACACAGTAAATTAGAAGTTAAATGTGTATTATTATGCTAATTTACATAAGTTACATTTCCATACCTCCGACATTGCGACTTCCTGCTTTTAACAACATTTGTGACCAGTCCCACGAAGGTTGTTAAATTGAGGTTCTACTGTATATACAGGGTGTCACGTAAATGTTGCGACAAACTTCTAAGGGTTGTAGAGCACATCGTAAGAATTAAAAATTGACTAGGAAACCATGACCGGAAATGTTATCATATGCCAGTAAGGGCACATTCGTATGATGAAATGTTACATCATGTGCCTTTGAACATCAGATACTTTTATTTATCCAAATTATCTTAATTTTTTTATTTTCTATTAATTATTGTCAAAAACTGCTTTCAAATAGGTACAGTTTTATTGTAATTTAATGATTTGGCGGCTAACTGGACGAACACACCTAATTATTAAATTACGATAAAACAACATTTCTGAGCATATTTCAATGGAACTCTCGACAGTAACTAATAGTAATATAAAATTAATATGAAATTAAAATATTTTAGAAAAACAAAAGTGCAAGTTTAAAAGTACACAAACAACATGTCCATAATAAGAAAGTGCACTTAGCAGCATTAGATAACATTTCAGGACATGGTTTCCTAGGTAATTCTTACATTTTGCATTGAATCATGCATTTTAAATAAGTTCCAATAACAAGTGTTCATACTAATCAGAGTTATTCAAGATATAAGAATTGGCTTTTACTTTCAAATTAAAGACATTCTTTTAATTTAAAAAATCATCAAAAATTTTTTTTTAAATAAATATAGCTTACATTTAAATAGGAGCAAAAATTTAAATAATTTGATTTTTCATTTTAAAGCCATTTTTGAAAGTTTATTAACGAGTTTTTTTTTTTTAAAAAAACATTTTTCAAGAATTTTAAGTTATCAACATCTTATTCCTGTATGACTTTTTATTAATCTATTATATATATGCATAGATGCTACACATTTGTCTATTAAATGTACAGATATTTCTCTTACAATAAATCTAAAAAAATAATGATGAGAATGTATTAAAAATTGTGCATACATTTTTTTGCAAAGTTAAAAAATGGAAAGTTTGTCTCCTCTACCATTTGAGCATTATGATTACTTATTTATCCATTAGTTTTACTCTGTTCAAAGGCACATATTTCAGTTACATTTCATAAAATAAGAAATATTTAATAAACAATATTATTTTGAAAATAGACCATTAGGCTAAAGCTAAGTGAGGTTTAAAACTCATGCTACAAAATAATTTGTCAATTAAGGTATCTTAAAATGACTTTATTTAACAACAAAAGTTTAAATTTGAAAATGATTCTAGAAAGCTGCAATTTAGAGAATTATTTTTTCAAAAAAATGCATGATATTTGTTTGGAGTAGAAGTCAACATGGGTTCAATGGAACCTTAGGGTTCCGGTACTTAGAACATTTTAAAGAGTTCCACAAGTGATCACTATTTGCTAAGTTAAAGCTCAAAATTTTTAATTTTTTAAAAATATCAAATTATTAAGGGCAATTTTCTTGTAAAAATAAATATAAAAGAATATTTTATTAAATTTTGTAGAAGTCATATGCTTCAAAAACATTAATCGAGACTCATTAGGTCACACATGAGTCTACATTCTTTGGCTAAGGAGAAGAATTTTCTTTAAATAAAAAAAAATAAAGTCATAGTAAAATTTAGACAAGTTGATATTATTCGCTTTTGGAATGACATTAGAAAAGAATTCTATGAAATTGCCAAAAAAACTACGCAACATGTAATGTCATTTGTTCCGACCTTTGTAGGCAAAAAATTTATCTTTATCTTTTGGCGCTATGTTAAAAAAAATAGAAAGAAAAACGAAAAGAAACAAACAAATTTGAGTCTGAAAATGACATAGATTTGCAGATTTCAACAATTATTTGAGATGCAAAAAACTCTTTTTAATGAAAAATAATCATAATAAAGTTTGTAAACAGTTGGCATTACCATGTTTATTTCAAAAAACAAATTAAATTACTTTTCGTTTTTGTGTTACATTGAAGACTAAACTCCTGATTAGTATATGTATATTTATTATGATACACTTAGAATTTAAGGAATATAAAAACAAGTATAAAACTTTTTAGCAGTCACTAGAAACTATAGAAAGTTAGTGTATGGTTGGCAATAACCATGCTTAATTAAAAAAACAAAGCCTAAGATATATAATTATAATTAGCGCCTTTGTAACTACTAAAAAAAACAAAATATTACAACAAATTTAAAAACAAATTACTAAGGTATACAAAAACAAATATAATACACTTGAGCGGTAAATTAAAAGAAAATAACAACCTGTAAATGAATAATTAATTTTTATACTTGTAAATTACATTTAAAAAAACATAAAAAGGTTCTTTTACAAATCCGTCGCAATTGCCTAGTTAATTAAATTTCATAAAATGTTGGCAAAAGTATATTTTTACCTGCTAAGATTCCATGATATACAACTACAGGCATTTTTACAAGGAATTTCATGATGTAATGACCACTGGCTCAAATTCATAATATCTGGTGCTTCATAAACACGTACAACCCCGTCAGCTGAGCAGGTGGCTAGTTGTAATCCAAGATGCTTTGGTGCAAATTTGACATCAGTAACAGGTGTTCTACTGTCTACTAAACTAATTTTCTTTACCCATTGTGATTGAGACTTCTCACCAACTGATCCTTCAGGACCTAATGACAAATTTATAAATTTGATTAGTTGAAAGTTTTGTGAAAATCTCAGCATATTTTTTAAAATTTTTTTATTGAATAAAGTTTACTAATTAATACTTTGAAACTGAGGAGTACAAACCCTTCAACTTTGAAATTGCAGATAATATACATGTTTCTGAGCTTTAATTTTTTTTTTCTGAAAATTTTGATAAGAATAAGATGGCTATAATACCAACCAGTTAGACCTGAAAATAACCACTCGCCACGTGGCGAGCAAACAGAAGTGGCCACTTAAATAAACAGTCAGTCAATGTTTAGCATTTTTTTTAAACTGTTTAATGATAAAAATACATCAATTCAGAAAGACACTCTGGAAAGCAAAATTGTCATTAAAATGTCCATTGTCTCCATTCAAAATTTTGATCCTTCAGAATCCATCAATTTGTGGTGGAAAAATTCACCAAAAAGGAGAGTTCTTTAACAATTCACGTGTTTCAAAGTTGTAATGTCTACATTGAATCCCCCCCCCCAATATTTTTATCCTCCAAAGTCAGCATATTTGATTAAATTTTGTTATTGTTGAATTAACTCTTTATAATCATAGATTATCTTAAATATAATTTTTTCTTCAAAAATATAATTTAATACAAGCAAAAAAAAAAGTTTACAAAAAGAGTGGCTATTAAATTAAAAGAATCTATTGATATGAGTCACCAACTAATTAGGTTTAAGAAAAAAGTGAGTACAAAGTTATTAGAGTCGATCGGCCACAGGCTACTAAATGAAAATGACCAAGTCAACAATCAGTAATACATTATTATTTAAAGAAAAAACATAGAAAAAGTACAAGAATTAGTTTACGGATTATTACAATAACCAATTCTCAATAATAAAGGACTTTTATACCCCATTTTCTTAATCATTTTGATTGAAATATATTCAAAATATCCATAAAGTTAAAGCTATCTCAATAAAACTCAACAAAAAAGATCTTTTTCTTTTAATGGGCAAGTTATACTGATTATCATTATTATACTGTCACAAAAAAAATACTAATTTTTCCCTCCTTTAAATCTATTTAACTCATTGTATCAATATCAGGAATGCAAAAACTATGGTCCATGCAAACTTTTAACTTGGCAACTGAACAAAATATTAACGAAAACAAGAAATAGAAAAAAACATCAAAAATTTCTTTTTTAGACGTTACTAATCTAGTTAACCTTTTTCAAAAATTAGATTGTAACAATTTAGTTTCGTAAGTTGTTATGATTCAATATTTGTAGTAAAATATAATTTCCTACAAATTTGTACAAATAAATTAGAAAAAAAAAGAGAGATTAACTTTTTATGTATTTTGCTATCTCAAAAAAAATGTATTTTTTAAAGTTTTATTTCTTAAGAATTATTCCACTGATTTCCTATAATTCTGAATTTTGTAGCTTAAATTAGTATAAAAATCTGTGTATTCTTTACAATTTAAAGGTTTTTTTATCCTTAACTTTTTGTAAATCTAACAAAAACTAATAAATTACAAAACATTATTTTTTCATAGAGATATCTTTTAAACAAGTTTCAAAAATGTGTGAAAAGTTTTAAATTTGCTTTAAAAGTTCTAAAGATATTGGAAAGTAATTAAAGAATGAAATCAACATTAAAAATTACGACTTCTTATCACTCTCCTGCCTAAACTATATGTAATATATCCCCCCCCCCTCTCATATCTTGAGGGTCAATATTCTAAATCTGTCAAACAAATTGTATGTTTCAAAGAGATTATTTTGTGTCTGATTTTGTTACTACTTCAGAATAAGATGACCGAATATTTCAGAATAAGATATTGCTTGCATCAATTACTTTGCATATTCAAAGCTAAGCCCCCTAACAATTATAAATGAGTCTTCATATGAGAAAATCCAATCATTTGGATCAAAAGTTATTAAGGGTGTGGGTACACTGAACAAATTGTATAACTTTATATTAAAACAGATTATCCATGGTTATTTTGTTAAAAATAAAAATTATTATCCAAAAATTATAATAGATTTATTGCATTAGAATTTTTTTTTTTTTTTTAGTTCTCTCTCTCTCACACACACATTCTCTTTTCTTTTTAGAGAAAGAAAAACAATTTTGAGTGTGCTTCGGCTCAATATTTACATAGAATTCTAAATATTCATATCAAGTTCTATAGAGTAGTTATTGATAATTGAGGTCATGTAATAAATATTAAAATATATTTATATTGACAAACAAAAAAATATCAAATCTGGAGGTTGACACAACTGCAATACATGAAAGAAGAAAAGAAAAAATGCTTCTAACAACAATAATTTATTGAAATATACATTTAATATTAAATTACAACAAAAAAAAGCTACAAATTGCAGAAAAGAATGACAAAAAATTTTATTGAGTTAATTTTTAATAAATGATTTGTCAAATGCGAGAAGAAAAAAAATCAAATCATTTAAATAACAGAAAAAGCAAAAGTTTTAAGTTTTATTTTACTAATGAGAGGAATATTATTAAGTTTACCCTTGATATGCTGAATTTAGGTACCACAAGGAAAATTTAAATATTTACCTTAAGAAAATAATAATAAAAATAAAAAAGATTTTCTGAAATTTTAGTTTAAAAAAAATCTTAAAGCATTTTTCTGTTTTTTTTTCTTTTTTTTTCCAAGTAAATAAAAGCAATATTAACTTAAAAATGACAAAAAAAAATATTGTTTCCATTTTTACTCTCTGATGTCAAAGTTTGACTGAATCTTCCTTTCGTGATATGCAGACTTAAATTTCAGACTAAAAATTAAGCTTGTTTACTAAAAGATATATTCTTTTAATAAACAAGGTAAAGATTTAGGATACAAATGTATATTTTACCTAATTCTTCCCACACTGCAACAGTTCTATCGAATGAGCAAGTAGCAATTATTTGCCCAAATTCTGGATGTGCCCAAGTAACTTTCCATACTGAGCCACTGTGAGTCTAAAAACATATATAACCAGATTAAGAAAAAACAATCTAAACAAAAACAAACCAGTAGAAGAAAAAAATATCAAATAGAGAAATAAATTTGTCGACATCAAAATAAAAAAAATCCAACATAAGATTATAAAAAGTCTTGAATGTATTAGGGATAATCCGGTTATTTTTATCCAAAACAACTGATTAGACCTCGCGCAAGTACAGAAACATGCATCTTTGCACTATCTTAGATTTACATTATTTATTAAAGTGTCAGTAATATTAATTTCTGAATTTTGAAAAAACTTTTAATTTCAATAAAAAATTCTTTAAAAATTATGATAGAAAAAAATAATATAGCTCATAAATAGTATTTAAAAACTATATATAAAAAAAAGCATTAATTTTAAAATGAAACCTCTTAGAATTATGGCAAACAGTAATAACCACAGTTAATATAGTTTTCAAATAGTTTAGCAAACAGTTAATATAGTTTTTAAATACATTTAAAGACCATAATAAAACATTAGTTTCAAAATGAAACTTTTTTGAATTATAGTAAATACTCAGGGGCACAGCAAAATTTGATTTTTGAGAGGGGGAACATTCCGATTTTGCCAAGAGATTTCTAATTGGGCCGAATAATAAGGCAATCATTCTTATTCTTCTTCACTTAATAAATTTGGTTTAAAATGGTCATCATAAAAACCTAATTTATTTCAACACATAAAAAATATCTGGTAATCATTGCTGTGATTTTAGGTGCTGTTGAAATATAAGGCATTTAAGCTTACAGTTATTGTTGCATTTTTTAAAAAACACTTCTGAATAAAAATTCTTAAAAAAGAGTAGCAGCTAAGAAATAAGTATGATTTGTCTAATATAGTATAAACAAAGAAGAATATAACTAATTTTTAAATCAAATGTAATAATTGCTAAGGAAATAGATTTGCTATTAATCAAAGTGAAATAATCTTAATGCATAAAAATAAATTGAACATTTAACACTTTCAGTTATATATTCGTCAAAAAATGAACAATGAGATATTCAATTCAGCAAACGTTGCTGAACATTGAATATAAATTTATTTACATTTTTTAAAATACATTTATTTGTCATAATCGAAAAAGCAAGGTAAAAAACCTTTATCTTTGTAGAATAAAGCATATATAAGGCAAACAAGGATGTAATTCACTTCAGTAAAAAAACGAAAAATTATTCTGTTGCTGCTATTTTCGCATTAAGCTAATTTTTCCACCAACATTACTGATTTAAGGCTTAATTATTTTTGTGAATACTTAAAACTATCGATGAACTTCTTGATAAATGAAAAAAATTATACATTTATTCACAGATAAGAAGAAGACGTAGGCAATTTATTTTACTATCCCACAAATCGAATAACAAGTAATATGGTGATCAGCAAATACTGTCTAATACCGAATAAAAATAGAATATTCAAAATATTGAGTCCCCTTGTAAAAATAACCCCAATTTTTTTCAAAAAGAATAGTTGGTATTGCTTTGGCCAAATGATGTAAAAAAATATGAATTTTTTGTTAACCTTTCTGGATTATATAAAAAAAAAACCACAAAAGAATAAAATATGGTCAAAACTAACAGAATACTAAAAATTTTGCTGTGTTTCTGGCTCAATAGAAATGCAAGAAAGCTCAGTAATTTTCACCGAAGTGCTTTAATAATTTTAGTATAATTTATAATGAAAAATGGTTTTATAATATATGATAAAATTTGGAAAGACCTGTTTAAATTTGGTACCTTATCGTGATACCTTAGACCAAATAAATGGTTATAATACTGTATATTGTGGTTTTCATTACCAAAACTATAATGTTTCTTTTTCCTTTTTTAACAAAATATTACCAGGACGATAATTTTTTTTTCTCTGTGTAAAATTTTTTAAATTTAATTACTCTGAAACTAAGAAATTTTTAAAAGGAGATAATTTTTGTTTTTTTTTTTAACAATAAAATATTTAGAGACATAAGAGTATGTAACTGCAATATATTGTAATAAATAAACACAAAAAGAAAGAAAATTAAAAGCTATATATAAATATATAATTTAGTTTAACACAGCACAGAAAAGAAATCTTCAATTCAGGGGCTTATTATGCACATCAATAACATTCTAACATCAGAATGCTCCTTTACGTCTTGATATCAGATTCATTTCTCTTGAAATGTGCAAAATCTCATATTGTTTCATCTAATAGTTTATGAAATATGACTGTGAGATGACAACTTTTTATTAAATATAAAGAGATGAAAATACTTCTACAAGTTAAACGTTCAACTTAGTGTTACCTACGTAGTCTCTTAATCGAAGAAATTTTAATTTTTAAACTTTAGGATAAGTTTCTGTAGTAATTACAATTGATAGTTTTTTTCAACTTTGGACAACACAAGATTAACCAAATTGTATTTACCTATTCACTGTTACACTTTTCAAATTTTTCCTTTTTATAAAAGAAATGTAACAGGGATTTTTTAAGATGAGCTAATTGCTGAAATTTTAGGTGAAACTGCCTCATTTGTACACGGAAATAGGTACAAGGATAGGATTAGATTTATTGATTAAAATAAAAGAATAGTGGAATAAATATGTAATATGATATTCATACTTATTTTTATCATCACTTTTTAAAAGGTGAATAAAGACTAATTTGACGTGTTTTTTCTAAAAAAGAGAGAAATTTAAATTTCATAAAAATTACGAATAGCTAGGCAAAATTTGTCGAACAGGGATAATCTTTGGAAGGTCGCAGCGACCTCCCATTCTGTCGCCTCTGCCAGCTTGTTTGTGTCTGTACAATATGTTGATAAAAGTGACAGAATTAATTTATAAACAAGTTCAAACTTTAAAAACTTATTACCTAAATCTAAAACCAAAATTTAAAATTAAAGTAAATGTCAAAATAAAGCTTTTTTTTTTTTTTTTTTGAGTAACTAAAAATCTTGTTTTTTAAATTAACACAAAAAACCACTGAACTTACTTTCCAAGATGATGTGCAATGCCACAATTTATCTTCTCCTTTGTCCCAAATCTTAACAGAGAAAAGAAAATATTTGTAGTCATATTTATTGAGGATTTGATGCTAATTTAAGAAACAGATTATAATCTTAGTAACATTAGGATAAGAAACATACTTATACTTCAAAGAAAAAAAAACTTCTTTAATTATTAAATGTTGAAGTAAATGTTCATTTACTATGTTAAAAACATTGGTTTTAATCCACATATTGATTATCCCCAGTGATTGCTTAATTTTTCTGCCCAACAGCAACACTACAGTGTTATAGACTACATATTTGTTACATATAGACTACATATTAAATATATATTTGTTAGTCAGAAGAAATTTACAATAAGTTTGACTCCAAACCAATCGCGCATTATTTTGTGACTAGTCCTTTTTCCTTTTATAAATATACGTAACTACTCTATTACATTTTACTGATGCATGCACAGGTGTCATTCTCTCTAATTAATGCTATAAATGGATAGTAAAAAAAAAAAAATGCTATAAATGGTTTAGCCATAAATAGGCCACTATAATATCCTGTTAATTAATTAGCAAAGGGAACAATAATGATTATAAAGCATAATTTTACTGTAAATAAAGGTTTAGTACCAATCTATGCGCTTCCTAAATAAGTTATAATTTTACAAAGTAAATTAATATTGACACTCAATTATGCACAAAAAGTTTATTAGCGAGGGAAACAAAAATAATTACTTTTAGTGCTAGATATTGTGTTTTTCACGTCTATTACATACTAGTTATATAATTATAGAGAATAAATGCGAAGAAATTGATTGTTTATAACGAAGTTTTTAGTCTTCCGTATTTATGGTCCATTTAAAATTAACTTGATTTTCTTTTCAAAATAAGGGTTTAGTACCAATTTATGTGCTTACTAAATAAGTTATTTTTTTTCAAAGTAAATTAATATTGACACTCAATTATGCACGAAAAGTATACTTAGTCAGTGAAAGTAAAAAGTTTTTCATAACAGCTTAAAGAAAGTTAACGCACTTTAACAGTTTGATCACTAGAGCAAGTCGCTAATCTTTCTCCATAATAATCATATGCAACATCATGTATGAGGTCTTTATGATCAGCTTGTATACTACGACTAACAAACATGATTTTCACACTAATAAAAAAAATTAAAGCTAAAATTACACCAATTAATGTCAAACAATTTCAATAAATCATATAGTGCGATGGTGCAGGGATATAAATAAACAAATCATACTTCTCCGCCGCTTAAAACCGATGCCAATAAAACATGTAGTAATATAATACAGTATTACAATTTAGAGTTTAGTTTACGCCATTTATTTACAAATATTTTTATTTCATTTAAAAAATATTATTTTGGGGAAATAATCAATCTGCTAATTTTTTTAATACTTTTTATATAATGAAACAATCTGTTTAAGCACTTTCACTGTAACCCGCAACCTTTGTTTATCTTGAAGGGAAAACACGACAAAGAATTTTGCCAATTTGAAGCTAACTTTTCATTGTTATAAACAGGATATTTATTACTAAATTAAAATGCCTGCAGCCAGAGAAAGTCTTGAAATAAAATACTTCTATCATTTGGGCTTCTCTGGTATGTTTGCACTCTCTCCAGTTTGTGCTAATTACTACCAAAGACGACCGCTCTACGCTGGTATTCACAGGCATATTCTTTTGGGCATTCTAGGTTTCGCTGTTGGTCACTATGTAACAAAATACCTAGATAATAAATGGGTTGAAAGAGATGCTATTATCAGACATTATGTTGAACTCCATCCCGAGGATTTTAAAGTAGAGAGGAAGAAGTTTAAAGAAATCTTCGATGAATGGTATCCAATTCGATAATCAATATCATCCAACATAGTTTGGCTTAGAAGATTGGACGGAATCTAAAACTATATTCTGTTTAAATAGTTTCACACTCTAACATTAATTCTACTACTTTTGTATTCTGGTTTAAATAGTAGAGAAATGAAGCAACCAATCGCTATTGTTGATGTTCTTTGTAAATAAATAAAGTATTTGAGATAAAAGTACTGATGATTTTAGTGTTACTTTTACTACCACTCTATGAATTAATTCTTCAGAACATTAACAATAGAAATATTTCCGTATCATCATCTGTTGTGTTAATAACAACCGTCAAGGCACCAAATGGATTTTAATCTTACAAATTAAAATAAATATGTCGAGGTTTGCTGGGGGGGAAAAGCTACAAGTTAAAGCCTTCAAATTGTGCCACTGTGACGTTTTTTTTTTTTTTTCGTTTAGTGCAGGCCACTGCACCAAAGTTGCCAAGACTTGGCCATTATTCTGCTGCAGATCTCGATACGGAATTGTTCCTATAACAATCGACTGAATAATCTTTATGACGACACAGATGTCAAGCATAACTCTTTAAATAAGATGCCTTCTTTTTCTTATATTAATAGAATTAAGTTAATAAAAATTATTAAGCTTTTCTTTAAAACATTTTTGAAGTTTTTTTGTTATAAGTATATTCTCCTATAAGTTTTGTTGTAATGATAGAACTATATGTTATTTAGTAGCTTTTATTCAAAGTCGGGATGAATAGTTGTCTGATTTGTAAACATTCATAAAAACTATATGTTGCTAAACTCTTTAGGGTTTTATATATTTATTTATTTTAAAACATGGTTTTTTTTACATTTTTATCTTACTGGCTAATAATAACAAGCAAATGGGTAAACCATAATTTTTTACTAAAGATGAACAATTCTGTGGGTAATAATATTTGGCAAGTATAACATAATCTCATGATCTGACTGTAAGTATAGTTATGTTACAAATTTTTTTTTTCCTCCTTTCACTACCTTGCCATGTTCCCATGGCAAAATCATGGTCAAATTATCGCAGAATGTTGCACAGTTCTTGCACAAAGATTTTTCTTTTGGGAAGTAAAAAATTTTGATTTGCTTTTCTGCAGAAATTGATGCATAAAATTTGAATCACGTGTTTAAATAATCACTTTTCGAAGCGTTCAATTTACACCGATCCCAGAATCCACTTTGATTGTATTTTTGGCAGTTATTGCTTTTAATTTCCTCATAGTTTTTAAAACCTGATATTTATATACAAAATTATTTATTGTTACTGCCAAATCTTGGAAATGAAAGAGGCATCTGAGTCGTGTAAAAGAGTCTAATATGCATGATTTCGTTGTCAATCTGTTTTTTGGTAATTACTGTTACCAATTTCATAATTTTTTTGATGTGACGATGATATACAAAATGCGATATAGGAAATAATTAGTGTTTTCCCTTACTGAAACAAAATGCGAGAATATTGCCCACAATATTAGATATCAAAAAAAAATATATATATTGTTTTTTCTTTTGTAAACAGCATTTTTGTTACCTTAAATTAGGGGTGCACAACCTTTTTGAGTGAAGGGCCACTTGCACAGCTGGTTGGCTAATGAAGGGCCGCACATGTATTGATGCATGTTAATGACAATAGTAGTAATGTTTATTTAAACATTAGCGTTCCATTTTTTTTTATCAATAAACTTAATAATATATTTGCAAAAAATTAAAGGTGTTCCATTTTTAGAATTCATTCAAAAATAAAAAAACTTACACTTATTTTTTTTACAAAATAAATTGCTATTTTTATCATATGAACAATAGATTTATCAAAATAAATAAACAGTGAAGAAAATAAATGTTTTTTTTTTATCATGTCATGCAGTACGAAAATTCATTTTAGAATTGCGAGGCACATCCAGAAAGTAAGTTTCCCTATTTTTTTTTAAAAAAAAGAACTCATACTTTCAAGAACATATTTATTGGCAACAAGTACAGCAATGTTTCAGCTATTTTTCAACATAGCCCCCACCAGAATAAAGACACTTGTCGTATCATGGGATCAACTTTTGTATCCCTCTGTCGTAGAACTCTACTGCCTGTAAATGGAACCAGCGTGTGACAGACGTCTTCAGCTCTTCGTTTGCCAAAACGCTCACCGGAAGATAGGAATTTCTTGAGGTGCAAGAAAACATGAAAATCGCTGGGAGCAAGATCAGGGCTGTAGGGTGGATGATCGAACAACTCCGAGCCAAATTTAGTCAAAACAGCTGCTGTGCGTCGAGCTGTATGTAAAAGAGCATTGTCATGGAGGAGCACAACACCTGCAGTAAGATGCCTCTTGTTTTGAATGGCACGTCGCAATTTCCGCAATGTTTCACAGTAACAGTCAGCGCTTACTGTTCCATTCGCAGGCGGCAGAGTTCTACGACAGAGGGATACAAAAGTTGAACCCATGATACGACAAGTGTCTCAATTCTATGTTGCTATGTTCAAAAATAGCTGAAACATTGCTGTACTTGTTGCCAAATTATATGTTTCTGAAAGTATGCGCTCTTTTTTTTAAAAAAAAATAGGGAAACTTACTTTCTGGATACGTCTCGTAAATTCTAATAAATAAAAAAAACTGCAATGCCCACGGAATAAAAGTAGGAAAAAATTTAGTCATAATTAAGTAATATAAATTCAAATTAAATATTTTAATTGAAGAAAATTTATAGGTTTTAAACAAAAGCCTAAAATAAAAACAAAACTGTGATAGAATAGGAAAATAAAATTTAATGCTTATTTTGTAATGTACTTTATTATTTCATTTTATGAATTATTCAATTTTTTTAAATTGTAAAAATTTTCCTTTTTTTTTTAACCGAAGAAGCTCACTTAAACAACAAAAAATTGAAATCTAAATTACAAATAGTGAGCAGTTTAAAAATTCACATTTTCCGCCATTTTATGAATTTCTCAAGCAATAACATTGCATTTAAATTAGGGATGTTACGAGTATTTAGCCCTTCTGTGAAAAATTCAGTTGGTTGAATGATCAGTCAAATATTCGGCAGAATATTTTTTAGAAATGTATTTTTCCAAGCTTTTTTTATTTTTGAATTTTTATAGATATTATTATTTTTTTTATTATAATCAGATAAGTCAATTTTGTCGTTTTTTAATACTTTGAGAATAGAGAAGTATTTTTTTCCATTTTTTGCTGTTTTTATTATAACCCATCATTTTAACAGAAAGTCTCATACTATTAATTTATTATCACTCTTTCCCTGAACTGTAATATAAATAACCAAGTAACATAGAAAAGTGTGATTTTCGGTATTAAAGTTTTGTTTTTGGAACTAAGAAAAATTTGTTTTTTTCTGTTTTTCTTTTTTAGGTATTTTTATTATGACTCAGCATTTTTTTTTTTAAATAAAGTTACTAATAAAATTTATTTTAAAGCAATTGTTTTTCTTCTAAAATTATGGCAATGAGAAAAATTTAAATTGTGATTTTCAGCATAAGATTTTCATTTAAAAAATTAAGAACGTTTTTTCCAACTTTTTATTTTCTTTAAATAAAAAAAACCTTTTTTAGACGTTTTTATTATAACGCAGTAATTTTTAATATTATTTCTGTTGACTTAATTCTTTTTTCTTGGCTTTTTCTGGTAATTGGAAAACTGAGATGTTCAGCTTTAAAATTATCTTTCAAAAATTAAGATTGATTTTTATGTTCTCTGTTTCGCTTTTCGACATTTTCAAAAACGTTCTTGATTGGCCTTATTTTTTAGAGTTAATTTATGAATACGTTTTTCCAGGAAATATTATTCTGAGCATTGAAATTTTAATTTCAGTGTTGCTATGCTGCTAAAAGATTTTGCTATTTGGCCCCAAGTGTACGGCGCTCAGTCGATTTTTTTCCTTCTTTTTTTGCCGAATATTTGGTTTTTGACCAAATCACAATTCATTACCAACTCATATCCGTTGTGGAAAAAAAAAACGAAGGAAAAATAACTAGGAATTACGATAAAACTGCACCGAAATGCCGTATCTAAAAGCGATTATTTAATCGCGCTATTAACAATCACGTGTCGTAAACATCATAGTTAAATAACGGGATCGTCAAAATCATGTGGAAAAGTATAGAAATAATTGGGGGAAAAAATTACTTATATCTATGCTGAACTCAGCACGAATAAAGCGTGTCAAATGCACGATTTAAAATTTGCATGTCGTAATAGAATAATTGGAATTTTTTATGATACGTGGGAACGCATAGCAATAACTGCCGAAAAAACTTGTGGAAAAAAAGAAAGAATTGCAAAAAAAAAAAAGATAAAAAATCACTTAGATTTAAGATGAAATCGTCACAAATAAAGTACACCAAAAAGTTATTATTTAAATGGGCAATCTGAAACTCGCATCGTAATAAAAATTCGGGATTTTCGAAATCACGGTGAAGCGAAAATAACTGTTTAAGAAAAATCATTTATATTTACGATAAAATCGGCTTAAAGAAAGCGCATTAAACGTACATTTACTAAAGAATCTGTCGAAATTGATTGTATCAAAACGTGATAACTTATAAGTGCGATTAAAAATTGCCATTTTTAAAATTTTTTTATTGTTCTTAGAAGTCATGCGGGCCGCACTTCAGTAGTCGAAGGGCCGCATTTGGCCCGCGGGCCGCAGGTTGTGCACCCCTACCTTAAATAAGTTACATACATCTTTGTTGTTATTGAGAGTATCTTGCAGAAAGATGTTAGTGCTAGAGAGTTTTGTCCCAGACGGCCCGAAAAAATTCTGCCTCAGGGGCCACGTTGAGAAAATTTCTTTAGCTCATTATAAATTACATTCTTAGTTCTATCTTTTTCCCAGTAGAATAGGTTATTTGTCTTATAGCTAGTTATTGTGGCATGTTAGTAGATCTTTCCACTGGGAGACAGTGTCATCTTGCTATTTAGTTACTGTCAATGAATCAAAGTTTCAAGAAAGATTGTGAATACTATAGTAAACAACCTTACAATACAAAAACAAGTTTACTGATGCTATGCCAAATTTTACGATTGTTTTAAAAAAAATTCATACTGCTCCTGTAACCATTACTTCTGCAGACTGTTCATTTTTAAAACTGAAACTTATAAAAACATATTTGAGATCAAATGATGACCAATGCCAACCTATTATCTTTCCCACTAATTTCTATAGAGAATAATCCATCAAACTTCCTAGGATTTTTATGTTTTGATAGACAATTTGGAATTCGGACACAAAAAGATAGAAAAATTGCATTATAATTAACTTATACATATTTTAAAGCAGTACTCTAATCCTTTTGCATACATTTGCTAATTTTTTTATATATTTTTCCTATTCTTAGGATATATTATTCATACAAATTATTTTACTTTATATTTTCCAATCTGTCAAATTTCATTTCAGTTAATGATTCAGTTATATCTGAAGTGTAATTTTTAAAATAATAACATGAATTCAACTTTGATGTCAGAAATTAATTATATTAAAAATTTTAATTATTCTTCATTTGTGAGTATGTGGAGTGCAATACCTAAGAACTGCTGGGGACAATGTCAAAAAATAAAAAGTAGGGTTGGCATGATTAAAAAATATTTTACTTAAAAAATAATCATTGGTTTCTGCTATTCATTATGATTTTTTTCAAGTCTGATTTATATAGAAAATATTGTTTATGCAGTACTGCATTATCTAATTTGTTTATACTTAAGTCTGTGGTAATAAATCACTGATATCAAATCTCACTGATAATAATTGTAACGAGGAATAGGTTAATAACTAAAAAGTTTTGCTCAAGAATTTAAATTTAAAAAATGACTAACTTATTAGTGGTGTTAAAAATTATAGTTGCAGTATTGTTGTTTATAATGAAGTATTATTAATACATTTTATCAGAGTTTTGATCGTTAAATGATAAAAGAATATTTTTAAAAAAATCTGATTTAAATAAAGCATAACTTTGATCAACTCTGATAAAATGCCTTAATGTTTTACCAAGGGTCGCTAAAACCCTAAGCAAGCCCCTGCTGACTGTAAGCAACCTCACTCAATGCTCAACTAGTGATTGCTATTCTATAGATCTAACTTACCTTTCTTTTATCCTGTATTTATAAAAATCATAACTTATATAAAATTATTTTTAACAGTTGTAAAAATGATTCCTTTCAGAATTTGAATTTGTAGTTGCCCTGTTATTCCTAAATTTAGAATATTTTGCCCCGATTTCTCTGTGTGTTTAGAACATCCATTTTTTTTTTACTACAGTAGGGAACCGATTATCCGGAACGGTCGGGACCATCGGTATTCTGGATAACTGATTTTTCTGGTTTTCTGAATCGCTACAAAAAGCCGTTTTTTTTTAATTGTTAAACCAACTAAAAAAAAACAAAAAAATTTGCACATTATCTTAAAAATAAGAAAAAACGATTAAGTAATACACTAATGATTATTTCCAAAATGATGGTAGGGTAAACATCTTTAAAAAAGGAAAGAAAAATCGTAAAATCTTATGAGGAACAAAAATAATAATTTTAAAATGGCGAGAAAATTTATCGAATTTTGTTCCGGTTTTTTGATTTCCGGATAACGGGTTCTGTACTGTAATACCAAGGCGGATTTCAAAGAATCAAGTGCGAAATAATTGTATTTTTGATTATTTTAAAATTAATTATAATGGTATAAAATTTTTAGTTCAAATTTAAGGACTGTCCACTCATTTTATCCATGTTCAGGCACATAACATTATTTGCTGGATCCTCTGTTTCTAACTTTTTCAGAATAAGTCATTTTATAAAAACTCAACAGTTCTTATGATTATCAATTCAAGGGTTATGCACTTATTTATTATTTTCAGCAAATGCAGTAATAGTATTGTAACGTGGTGTTTTTTATTACAATATAGTATCAAAACCCTAATTAATTATTTTATTAAAGATATCTTGAACTTGATTACAAATTTTAATTAAATATTCAAATGAGTAAATAATAACAGGCACACCAGTTTTTTTTTTAATGCAACAGTACTATAAAAAAATTTATCGATTGTCCTCAAACTATTACGAGTTGTTTAGTGTTCTATTAATAAAATTATAGTGAAACATATCAAAACTTTCTGTTCTAAACAATTCTAAAAACAAGTAATTATATAGCATTTTTAATTACTCTTTTGCAATAAAATTTAACTTTAGTATACTTTACTTAAGCAGAGCAAATTATTTTAGTTTCACTTTTTAAAGCAGTCTAAGGTACACTGTTTTTCTTTGACCCACAATGAAGCCTAGTATTTTTTTTTTATTACATTATAGTAACAATTAGTGTATTTTATAATGATTTTTAAGATGTAAAGGAATAACATAAAAACTGTTATCATTATGTCGACATTATATCTCATTCTTCCTACTATAAAGAATGTTAGCTAATGTATAAATTTTATATTCGATAAATGCAATGTTCATAAATTATGCTTGTTGAAAATTATCTAATAGACATTTAAAAACTTTAATATTTAAAAGTAGAAAAAAAAATCTGATTATTTTTTTTCACCCTATTTTATATTACTCTAATTATTTAACAAAAGTTGGAAATGAAGTATCTATTGCAATCTGCTAAATCTTTTGTCATTTTGAAAAACATTCGCATCAGCTCTGCACAAAATTTACCTCAAAAATACTTTATTTTTTTGATCAAATTTTCTGTATATGTCAGAAAACAATATAAAAAATTACACAGCATACATTCATGGGCAAGAAACTCATATAACTCTGTACATCACTGACATGGAACTGAGTATCTGGAATTTAGTTATTTTTTACTATTGTATAAAATATATTAATCATGCTATTTTATAGTATTTCAAAGTATTAAATCTAAAATTTTGTAAGCAAAATTATAAACTAAACTTTGTTGTCTTTAAAGAAAATCGTTTAGTTATTACAAAAACTTAATTTTTCAATTTTTTTTTTTACTATGACACTAGTAAGGTAGTACTAATGATTAAAATTGAAATCAATATAGTATTGATGCATCTCGTTTTAATTTATAAAGATGTTAGCAAACAAACATAAAATTTTGAAACCTATTGAAAATTTTTGATGCTGTAGCTTAGTGTTTCCTTTTTTTCAGCTATGCTCACATAAAATATTCTACGACATTTAGAAAAACATTTAAATTAAAACTGATCTATATATAGTTTCCTATATTAAAAATTTAACACATCTGAAATGACCCAGGTTTTTTTTTTTTTTCAGAAATACTTAACATTTTTATTTCTAAGCCAATGTTGTACCTAAGTGAATTGATACTATCTTTTAAATGTGATTACAGAAAAGATTAAATGCAACATAACATAAAAGTTTGTTAACTATATAGGTATATAAGTAGCTCAAAGGAAAATGATTATAAGTGAGTGTACAAAAAAATTATTTCCTCACAACTAAAATATATGATACTAATTTTGACATAACAGTGCTCTACTTTAATAAGAGTTCAGATACTAACTAAATAATTGATATTATTGTTAATATTATAGATCAGATTACTATCCAAAATAGTACATTATAGGCTGCCATTTTTGACAAAAACATGTTCAGGTAACTGCAAAAACATATTTTAACTGTATAATTAATTACCCAACTGGACTAACCTTCACACAAAAAACAAAAAAAAGTGCATAATTTCTTTTTTTACAAAAATACAACCCCCTTAAAAAGTGGTATTTCTAAATCGCTTAAGCGATGCATGTATAATATCTGATTCGTCAATTGTGATATGTGAACACAAATTTTAATATAATCATTTTAATTCTTAAAAAAACAATTCGTTTGTATTGGTAGCGAACAGTAGCTCTAATTTTCTATGATTGTAAATTTAAAAAAGAAATGTTAAGTACATTTTTTATCAATATTAGGCTATATAAATTTTAACTTGCATTTAAGCCTAGCTGTTTTCTAAAGTCCATTTAATGTTTTTAAATGTCATTTCTTATGAATTTTTAAGATTATACACCATGAATGTTATCACTTTTGGTATTAACAATAAATATGATATGCGTACTATAAAGTATATGTGAAAGCAACTAAATACGATGTTTGTACTATCAATGAAGCAGTCTAATAAATTTGTGATAAAAGCAAATTTCTTTTATGATAATAAATAAAAAATCATACAAAAGTTAAAATGTATTCACTCTATTATCATCAAAATAGTTTGAACCGATTTCTGAAGATTAAAATCTCAGCTTTACATCGAAAGGACATTAATGATGCTAAGCTTCATCTAAATGAAGAGTACATGTTACTATTCAAGTCATTTTATTTTTTAATATGATACTATGTATCATTTTTGTCAGTTGGGCAATAGAAAAATTATCTTTTTCTACACTTACATATACACATACCTATGCACATTTACTTATACAGATGCTTCAAGGTATATTTCTTTTAGAAATTAGGTAGGTATTTATTAAAATTAAACTGAGGATATTGTATAATAGAACAGATTTTGAAAAACAATTCAAGTGTGGCATATAATTGCATTTTTTTTCAGACCCTAAGTATTGGCAAGAAGCAAGCTGTTATGGAATGTTTAACTTTTGCATGTAAAGTTTATTATCCAACTCATTTTAAAAATATTTATAAAATATAGTGTTCCAGCCCTAAACATCAACTTAAAAAAATAAATAAACATTTTAAGTCTAAAAACAAAAAATACAAAAGCTATTTAATAAAAAGTATTGAACAGCTTTAATACAAAAGCCATTACATTGAAAATAAAAGTAATAAAAAATATTAATTAAATAAAATAAATTAAATTAAAAATATTTGAATGAAAGAAAAAAATTTCAATAGATAAAATGCTCAAATAAATGGGCAATTTTAATTAAACACTCATTAAATGTAGAAAAATCTTTTATTTAACATCATAACACTTATGGAAAATTTCATTTCATGATACAATTTTAAATGTATTTCATTTTTATCCTTTTAAGAACCAATATTGAGTTTATGGCTAAAAATAGGTAAACATTAAGAAGATGAAATTTTTGAATAAAAATAAAGGACATATTAGATATTGGTGATGCCCTGCATTTTACTCAGAGGCTACATACCAGTTTTTTGATCGAGCAATAAACAATTTCAGGAGTAGATGGTATCAGAAAAATAGACTTCATTTCAGAGTTTTAAATACACTAAAAAATAGCTTATGGCTGGTTATTACGAGTGTTTAAATAACAATAAACAAATCCATACACATACTTATGGTGAAAATAAAATTCTTTGTAACTCTTCTTGTTCCATTTCAACATTATTTATGTGCACGTAAGTGTGAGTGAATATATAGCATTTTTTTAAAACTTTTACTGAAAATCCAATTATTGTAAACTTAAAATCCTTTAGCTTAAAATCTAAATATTAATGAAATAAAAGAGATCTTATGACTCAACTATTATAATTATAACATAAACTAAAAAAGGTTTCAATTGATATAAATTGGAGATAAAAATATGATATTGCTTGCAAAATATTTTTATTTTGAGACTTCTTACCAATCATAAGATTTCATTATAAACAGACGTTTTATGATTACAGAATATATTTTTGTTATTTGAATAAATTTTAAAAAACATTATAGATAAATATCCTATAAGTTAAATACTGTTTTTCTATGATTAAAACAGAATAAATTTTTGTTATGTGACTAAATTTTTAAACAAAAAAAATTTCTGGAAAAATATCTTCAAAGGTACATATTGTTGTTCAAAATATAAATCATTTGTATCTCATAGTATTGTTCCCCCTTAAGATTTGAGAAATCGAAAAATATTATTGTTGAATAAATTTAGAAAACATTACAAAATAAACAATTTATGAAAATGGTACCATACACACATTTCTGAACAGATGTAAACAATTTATCTCTCGCTATTAAAAATCTTTCTGAACTGAAAGATATCAAAAGATAACACAAAAGCATTTGTCAAAGAATAGCCTGTTAAACACTAGAAATAGTGTATTAAACAGACGACAAGCATTTATGAATTAAGCTATTACTTTACAAACATTACTTAAATTTTCGTAATATCGATGATATAATAGTTGATATTAAAGATGTACCGGAAACACAATGAATATTAAATTTTTTACTCAGCTGGTTTTGGGTACCTGGTAAAAAATGGATTGATTACTGAGCTGGTTAAGTTTTCCACAACCAGATCATTTTATAAATTTAATTTCTATGTATGGGAGCTTTGCCATGGTTTTATCATTTATGCTTAGTATGTAATACATTTTTCAGTCAATAATGACTGCTTCAGTGAAGTTAAAATATGTATCAATATAAAAAAAAGGAAAATTAAATAATGTTTTAAAATTATTTTATACACATTTTAATATAAACAATGCCAATAAAAAAATATTTAAGTTTCGAATTTCTATGCAAAATAAGACATTATGTAAGATATTTATATTCAAAATATTAATACCCATTTGAACTGCAAAATATTTCAAAAATATTCATTAGTTTAAATACATTAAAAATTCTTTCAATTTCTAAATAATACTTTTAAATGTAATTTTTGTATAAAATGATATGATAAGTTGATAATGCATATTTAAAAAGCAAAACAATGACAAACAAAAATAGTATGTAAACTAATAAACTACAAACTGACAAAACGAAATAATTCCCTAAAACTTAAAATACTATATTAATTAAAGTAAAAAATAATTTTTTATAGGGAATCACAAGATAAATGACTAGAAAAATTATGAAAAAAATGGCACATTCGAAAAGAACACGATTTCATAAAACATACACTAATTCAGCACTATAGATTATCAAGGTAAACATTAAAAACATAATAAGAATAGATCATAAAGACAAAACCTATTGAATTCAAAACAAAACTTTTGAAAATTACTTTAATGACGGAAAAAAATTAGCTTTATGACATTGAAATTTTCTATTATAGATGAAAGTTTGCCTAAAAAATTAGGCATTCAAAATCAAGCACTCAATTGAAGTTCCCAAAAAATTAGGCACTCAAACTTATAAATGAAAATACAGAAAATGTTAACTTAACATTTATAAATTCCCTAGACAAAAACAAATCTTCAAAAAGTTTATAAAATTTTAATTAGTATTTTAAAATCCAATGGCCCATAAGGTTTTAACAAACTTTTTAACTTTTCTCGATATTTTAAAATGCTTAATACAAGTTTGTAAATGGTATGGAATTTTAAAAACATACCATAAAAAAAGGGTGTGGGTTAAATAAAAAAAGTACTCAGTTTGAATAAATGCCAAAATAACTCCAAATATAGGCTAGAAAAATTACTTTTTGAAATAAGAGTAAAATTTTACACAAAAAATGTTCTAAAATTTACATTAAAAGTTTTAAGTATCAAACTCCCATAAAAATAAAAATACAGAAAACACTGTGACTTAGAACACACATTACAATACATATTTCAACTTGAACATTATAATTAGTTATTATAATATATTACATTATAATAACTAACATATATATATATATTTATAGAACATTATAATACATTTGTGCCGATAGTGAATATAAATTGTGAAATAAAATCTGACTAAACAAATAATAGTTTTTGAAACTATTTCAATAACTATCTGTTTATGATTGAAAAGAACTTTAAATGCATATTAACATCTGCCTCCCTTGTGGCATATTTCAGTACATTTTGCACTGATTTTATATCACAGAAATATATGTGTTGGCTTCTAATAATATCATGAAAACTTGTGACTTCGTATTCTCTGCTGTAAAGCATTTAACCGAGACATCCATGCATTGTAATCAGCCTCAGGATCAGACTCTGCAATAGAGTTTAAAATTTTGATAAATTAAAAGTTTTATACTTTAAATATCTATGAGATATATGTCATAAATATAGATAAATTATTTGCACTCATATTCATCTGAAACTTTTACATTTATTTTTAAATATAATGATAGTAAGGAAAATGTACAAAAGCTGCATTTTATTGCTGCAACTTTATGACTTTTCCTTATTATAACTATTTAAGGAGATTATACAAGTTCCAATTTATTAGATCTATACAAATTAAATTTAGTTTATAATAGATCTGAAAATTTAAATTTTCAGTTAGCCAGTGGCTTGTAAAGTCTAATGACTTAGTAGCCACTTTTTCCTCAAACAAAATGAGTTGATGACTGATATCAACAGATCCTTTTCATTTAGTAGCCACTTTGTTTTATGTTTCGATTAAAATTTAATTTAAAAAAATTCACATAAGATATAACCTACAACTATAAAAAGTAAATTCCACAATAAAAATAACGTAAATATATGACAAAATTTAGTTAAACATACTGACTTTAAAGAACTTTTCGTAAAAATATTTAGGTTGGCAAAATGCATTTAATGTGTACATTTCAACTTTGCAAAGAACTCTCCTACCACATGAATCTTTCCACCACAAATCAATAGATTCTGAAGGATCAAAATTTTGAATTGTGACATTGGACATTTTAATGAAAATTCTGACTTCCAGAGTATCTTTCTCTACTGACAATTAAACAATTTTTTAAAAAAAGTGATGGGGAAGATTGGCCAATTATTTATTCAATTTGAGTTACCATTTTTTATGTTCACTTTACACATGGCGAGTGATTATTTTCCGGTCTAGTTAATAGCAATTTATAAGAATATACAAATTTAATATAGTTAAAGTGAGGGAAAAGTCACAAAAGTTAATCATTTGTGACTTTTCCCCATTTTTAACTATTTTAGAAAATTATACAATATAATACAATTTCCGGACAACTTTTATTATTTAATATGATTATTTTAAGTTTTCTAGAGAAAAAAAATAAGCTAAATTTAGAAAATCTCAAAGATAAATAATGTATTTCATTTTTGAAGAACCTAACATTTTATGAAAGTAGAGTGATTGGCACTTCGTGTGAAGAGACTTTTTAATGTTGTCTTATCAAGCAGCTTGTCATAAAAAACTTTCCATAAAAAAGGAGCAAAATAGGAAACTATTTTATTTACATTTTTATACCTAGATTTTATTTTAAAACACCCTGTTAAAATGTATATTCTCTTCTAATAACAGTTGAAGTTTTTATTGCTTAACAAAATTAGTTAAACACAAATTCTAAATAAAATGCGATCCTATTATTCATATTAGGAGAAAACTGCACAAAATATAGTACGAAAAATGAACAAGAACAAAATGTTTACTTTCAATAATTATTTCCCAGATGTTTTATAATAAGTTAGTAATATTTTATTTTAATCTGTGCATGATTTCTTTCAAATGCTTCAGCTTTCGTTAAAAAAAAAATTAAAAACACACCTGCTACTGTTTTCCTTTTAGTTAGTATAAAATAATATGAACTTGTTGAATTAGTATTTATCTTTTTTGATCAAAATTTTTCATTTCATTGCATTTTCTTTTATTTTTGGTGGTTTAAAATATTTATGTTATTTAAATATTTATGTGATTTAAAATATTATGTTAACTCATAATTTTATATAGTAATAGACAGGTAATTCCTTATTGATAGTTAAAAAAATTTTTAATAATTTAAAAAGTTAGTTCTGAATTAAAATAAAAGTAAAATTTAGAACAAAAAGAAGAAGACAAAGCTTTAAACTGAATACTATAAATGAGGCTTATTATGTATTAGTAATACTTATTTAAATATTCAAACAAGCAATAAATTGCGTAAAAATTATATTTCAATAAGGATTCTTTTTAGAAAACTTACTCAATTTTAGGAAATTTTTTAAAATTTACAAAAACTAGGAAAATTTCTATTAAACCAGCAAACTAGGATAAATTGGCAAAATCTAGTAGTCGACTGGTAAATCCAGTTAAGAAAACAGCTATGATTTAATAAACAATAAGTATTTAAATAAAGTTAAATTTTTTGTTGGATTTTATATATTATATCTAATATTTTAACATATTTCTACATTCATAAAATATTTTAACATTACATCATAATTCTACAAAGCATAGCCCTCAAAAATACGTTTTACTATCATTTGTAGTTTTTAACATTTTTGTCAGCAAAACTGAAATTTTAAAGCACTACTCTTAAATTATAAGACATAGTAATATCAAACATAATAAAATTACCAAAATTAAGGTATGGAGATTTTTCCCCAAGAGCAGGAGAAGTTCTTGATGAAGCAGAATGAGATAAATTATCAGATGTAGAAAAGTGGTGGTCCTGAAAGAATAGAAAATTATTGCTTACAAAAAGAATAAATTCCAATTAATCCTTTCATGTAGAATTTTTATTAAACATATTTTTCATACTTTTTTCATTGATTTGTATTAATTTAAGTCAAAATAAGTGAAAAACATAATATTTAGCATTTCAATAATTTATGATTATGAAATACGATATGTAACACCAGTGTTCTTCCGACAAAGACCAGATCCGACCAGATCTTCCAAACAAAACATCTCACTTCCAAACAATAATTTTTCAAATTTGCAGTTATTTAGATAAAAAAGAAATAGTAATTCATCACTGCAATTTCTTTGATTTACAAACTCAATTATTGATAAATTTCTGAATATCAATAAAAAAAATCATTCTAATTATTTTTTCTAGATTTTATATTTTAGTACAAACATAATTTCAATAATCTAACGGATTTTTATAATACTTTAGTAACTATTGTATTTTATAATTAATAAATATCGAAATATATTGTTGCTTGTAATTAAATCTTTTATTCATCAAAAGAAAAGAAAACATACTGATGAGGCAACTAATGAATTCTGCAGTTGTGACTGCTTCCAGTATCGAGCTTTCTCCTTCAGAACCAAGTTTCGAGCTCTCATGAGAGGATCTTCAGGATAATCACTTAGAGGAAAAAATAACAACAATTTAAAAATCATCAATAAAAATTGTATTTGAATCAAAAAACATGATTAGTATTGTAATAGTATTATGATAATTTTTTCCTTATTCTGATTAGTATTCTTATACATTTTGAAACTAAAATTCGTAGGTATATTACATCATGATCAATTATACATAGTTAACCACTACATTATTTTCTTTAGTTTAGACAAATATTAATACACTGAATCTAAAATATGCTACCAAACATAACAAAAAACCCCTTTTTTTTAAAGTATCCGAAGAATTTTTTCACTGTAAAGTTCAAAGGTGTTCAAAAGATTTTGAATGTGCTCTCTATCTGCGAGATATTTACATTCAGGCCTGAAATAGCCTATAAAACAAAAGAGTCAGGTTTTAAAGAGATTCTTTAGCTAACTTTACATTTTTGATATGATTGTTTTGATAACATTTGATTGATATTTTTTCTAAGCAATAAAATACTCAACTGTATAAAAAGAAACAATTTTAATTTATAATAAAATTTAGAGAACGGAACTTTTCTTCCCTTTCCTTTAGAAATTTCGTTTCAATTCATGTAGATAAGTGATAATATTATAATAATATAATTATAATAAGATATAAGAATATATCGCCAAGTAGAATTATTTTTTTTGTTTTGATCTTAGAGTAACTTTATGCCTTCTTATAAAAATATTCTATTTAAAAAAAATTATAAAGTTTTTCTACCTTTCTATGTTGACATTTAAAAATATTTATTTACACCATTTTAATTACCATACGCCCTGTGTTAATTAAACATTATATTAATAAAATACACTATGTTAATAAAGAACACCATATTAGACAAAATCCATATTTTTAAGTCATCATTATTTTAAAATATATTGAAAATACATAAGCATTTAAAGTAAACTTACATTGAATACAGATTAGAGTTTTCAATATTATTCGGTTTAGAATAATCCTTTGATTTAAACAAACCCATTAGATGACTTGGACCTAAAAGATTGAAGAAAATAATGTTTTAACATAAAAAACAACTTATTACTGAAAAAATATGACTCTCACTATTTTTTTATCTGTCAGTTCAATAAAAATCGTTCTTTTTAAATCTATTAAAGAATTTCATTTTTTATTATCAAAATCATAAAATATATTTGATTATTACTTAAGTAACAGAGTAATTAATTTGATTTAAATAAATTTTCCTAAAATATTTGTTTACTTTAATGCCTCTTATTTTTAATACCTATAATAAAATTTAAGTGAGCATGAATCACTGCTTTCATGCTATTATTAAAAGTTAATTATTCATGCTATTAAGCAAACAAAGAAAATAATTATTATAGCTTTATAAAGTAAAAATTGTATTGAATAATTTATTGAAATATCCAAGTGCTTTTGTAATAAAATGCAGACTGTCAGTTTTTTTTCTTTGCAATAAAATTTATAACATTTATATTTTTTAATTATTTTTAGATAATTAATTTAGACAATGATAAGCTAAATATTTTTTATGAAGAAAAACTTGATCATTATTAACATTTAAAAAATTTAAATGAAATTGTACTTTTGAAATTTAACAAGAATACTAACTTATAAAAACATTTTTTTTTTTAATTCCTATATAGAACTGGGTTTGGTAAGGAATAAAATAAAAATTCCTATATAATAATCTGTTGAAATTAAATTATCTACATAAAAAATTTATACATAAAAAAAGTATTCAATATTTTTTTTTAAGTTATTAAAATTATTACAGAAGTTACATTTGAAATATTTTGATATTCTATAAATTGATCATTTAAATTCTTTCACTGATTAAGAATTCAGGAAGTTTTGATAATAATAGTGGTGTTATTATGTAAGCTTATTATGTAACGCGGGGGAAATGAATGAATATTTTTCATTAAGTCATTAATTGTTAAAGCTCTTTGAAAATGCTTTTTTCTTTCTTTTCTTATACAGAAGCACGTAAAAAACAATAAATAAAAGTGCACAGAAAATGCACAGATTTTACCCCATATTGAGCCTTGAATGAGCTATTAATAAGTTATAATAAAATGAAAATTAAAAAAACAATTATAAATTACAATTTCATAACTTAAATGCCCTAACATTTTTCTTACTCTTATTTAAAAAAACTAATATTTGGGTACAACATAAAATACTGAAATTCCTCACATGTTAGTAAGTTATAACATAACTTAAAAAGTCAAACAATTACAAGGTTCTAATAATCTGAGAGAAATAATGATAGGTGTCCCTGAAAAGCAAAATTTTAAGAACAAAAAACTTGTAAGTTTTTAAGGACTTACATACTTAAATATTAAAAGCTATGATAAGTAGATTTGATGCTAACTTACTAATTTAGTTAATTTAATTAGTAGAAAAAAAAGAATTTTTAATAAATTTAAACCTCAGTTTACATCACTCGTCTCTGAAAACAGAAATAATTTGCACCACTAATAAATGTTGCTCCAAAAAAAAGAATTCTACAATAATTAAATTCATTCAAAATTAAACCAAATATTTCAATATTAATGAAAATACAATCTCTTATTAGTAATACTTTCCAGAACAAAATAGCATACAATTGAATTTATTATTGAATTAATTTATATACAATTGAGTTTAAAAATATCAAAATATCATCGAAAATATTAGTGCTTACTTCTACCATGCAAGTGATTATGTGCAAAGATAACAGTTCATTTTGAACTTAAAATACAAAAATTATAGTTATAATACATATTTACTCATGCTAAAACAAATATGCAGTTTTTATTGCAAATAAACAGTTTAACATCAATACAACAAGTGTTAGCAGTAGGATTCACACCAGCAATGGAAATTTAGTAGTCCAATAGGACTACCTAGCAAATCATTTAGTGATCGAAAAAATTAATATCGTAGACAAACTTGAGAAAAAAATTTAAAAATATCGAACTTTACAATTGCATAATTCATGTTATGGTACTCATCAAAATTTATTATTTGCCATCGAAAAACCCAAAAACTAATTAGGTTCCATAATGATAATGATTGAAAATTGGAATTTATCAAAATTAAGTGAAAGAAAGTTTAAATGATATTAGTAAATAAAGTCCACATACAGATTAAAATAGTAAGATTAGATAAATAAATAAATGAGGAAAACAGAGAAAGTAGAAACTAACAAAATTTTATATTAAAAATTATCTAAAAATTCTAAATAAATTCTAAAAGAGCAAAAAATTGCTTCATTGATGAACAATTAAACTGTCAGTACCTGAATGCAAAGCACAGCACAGCATGTAAGTTTGAAATTCCAACATTTAAAATTTTTTGAACCAGGGAATTTCAGTTATTTCATTTGAAAACTCTTAAAACTGAAACCTAACCTACGTGTAGAATAAAATTAGTATAACAACTTTTTTGTTTCAAATCCATGGATTTCGATGCAAAGAAAAAAAAATATTTTTAGTTTCTATTTTGTAATTTCTGAACATATTACAAGGCGACAATTTTGTCTCCCATGCATATCACTTTAGTGACATTTTTAGGACATTTGGTGACAACTGACGCAATGTCACCATACTGTGCTTGAACCGTAGTTATCAGTATTGGTGATTGAACATATGTTTAAATAAGTAGTTCATTCATATCAAAATCATAATGCAAAGCTCTTGAATTATGTAGTTCTGCATAATTGAATTATATATTTTTACAACTCTAAAAATTTTTTTTACAATAAGTTTTCTGAATTAGTTAATTATTAACAAAAAAAATATAGTTACCTGATAGTGCAGTAGAGGAATTTTTTACTTGTAACTTTATTTCATTTTGGCACTTATGTTTAAGGTTAGTTATTCGATGCTTCTCTTGCAAATGACGAAACTGAGAGTAAAAACTTTCTAATGGACTAGAATAATTAACAACAGGATGATTCATCTCAGTCATAACATCACTGTTATTTAAGGCAGGCATAAATGTCTGACTTAAAATTCCATTTAACCGATAAATCGAATTTTTCACCTCCTGCATCACATCGCACGATTCAGCATCACCCTGAACACAACTGCAAGTATTTTTGTTCTGGATCACGGAGGGAGGACGGTAAGAAGTATCAACCAACATATCACTGAAACTTGTTCTTTGAGGTACGTTTAAATTGTAAATATTGGATGCACTGGGATTTTCCGTGTTATGAGCAAATGACGAATTATGAAAGTTGTCAGATGAAGGAATTTGATTATCAGGTGGCTTTGCAATTTGTGCCAAAGATCTGGAAAAAAATTATAAAGGTCATTCCATAAAAATGCAAACCAAGTAGCAAAAAAAATAATTTCATTTGTCATATACTTTGATATGAAGATTAGGAAACAATTTAGGAAATATATCTTTTATTATTTATGTTTTGAAGAAAATTGCACATAGATGTGTGATAAACCCAAAATCATATAAGATATTTAGCAAATGATTTTGTTATTTCATATGAATGCTGTGAAACAATCTTTTGGAAACGGCTGTTTTTTAAAGAAGTAAGTTTTTAATATTTTTTAAGCTATTTAAAATTAATTCAAAAACTAAGAACTATACTCGTTCCTGCAAGGTCATTGCTGAACTTCATTTCAGCTATAGGGCTTTTTTGCTAATCACAATTTAGGGTTTGGTTACAATAGACCTCTGGTCGATGTTCCCTGCACGTCAGAGCTGCCTAATCTCTAAGTCTAAAAACTATACTTGTGTTGATAAATAATAATAAATTTTGATGCTATGATATTCATGAAAATACTGTATTTTCCATTTAAAAATTCAATCGTATTTGATGTGCTTTGCCCCTACATTTTTTCATTTTATTACAGAGAATATATATATATATATATAATAAATAAATCATAATTAAAAGTAAATTTCTGTGTGATTAACCTAACAAATTAGACAGTGGCTAAAATAATTTTATTTGATTATATATTAATTACAATTTATTAAATAATTATATTTTTATTCATCAAATATTATTTCGTAAATGCATAAATAAAAAAATATAAAACAGAATTTTTTATGGTGAACCTAGTAAATTCTGTACCTAGCATGAAAACAGTCACTAAATTTTGCTTAAATTTATTCATAAATACAGAGCACCAATCGCCTGAGTTATAATGCTGAATGTTGAAGCAGGTATTACAAAACACACAAAAAAGTTTTAACTAGCGAAATATTTGGGCTTCTTTTACAACTAAAATTGGTAAGTTGGAATAACTTGGAACAACTTACCAATTTAGTTGGAACAACTAAAATTGGTAAGTTGTAAACCCTGCAGAATGAAAATTTACATATACGCTATTGGCCCAAACAATTTATACTGGTAAATGAGGAAATTTGTAGCAATGAGTATGTGAAAGTGGACCAGCTGACCATAAATTATTACATTGCTACTGAAAATACAAATCGGCCTGAACTTAGCACAGAATATTTTTTTTTAATACTTCATTGCTAACAACAATTTTATTTTTTCAATTTAAAAAAAAAGACTCAGAAAATTAAGATTTAAATCCATAATTATTTTTACTAAAAAATTGCAAGAAAAAAAAAGATTATGGTAGCTTATTAAATAAATTGTTTATATGCACTTCAACTTTCAGCAGAAGAAGTAAACATTTCGCAATTGTCAGTTGACTTTGATACTGTCAACAACAAAAAATATGTGACAATTAAGAATATTCATTGTATTATTTGATAAAATATTTCAGAAAGGGTTTCAAAATTTATTTTAAAAAATTCTAAAAACATGAAAAAGATTTAATTAACATAAATACCCTATGTGCTTTTCAATAACTTTGAACCTTTCATCAATTTTATGAGTCACATTGGCCAAGGCATTCTCCAGGCTCTTATTGATTAGCACATTGACACTGGCAGCATCGCTAATTTCAGAAGATGATAATTTAGTTGGAGATATGTTCTTATTGTTGAGTTTTAGATTATCTACAAAATCAACTTGGCAGAATTTATCACATAACATTGATTTTAAATTATTAGTTTGACTAGTTCTATCTTCCTTTAAAGATTTTTCTTCAATTATTTGGCAAAAAGCATCTTTGTAATCAACACTAGTTTGGATATATTGACAAGCTGTGGTTATAATAACTTCAGTATTAACACTCTTATCTATACAATTACGACCAAGAGTTTTAGCATTTGTCAACTTTGTTTCTCTTTCCTTGGCGATATTTTGCAATTTTGATTTTTCACTCGCTGTGTTTTCTTTCAAGATGCTAATTTCTGTAATTAATGCTGACTTTTCGGTTCTCAATAAGTCTAAATTATTTTCAGTTTCATCCACTTCATTTTGTATTTCTTCAAAATATGTCTGAGCAGAAGAAATTTTTTCTTCCAATTTCAAGAATGTTTGATTGCCAGTGTTTATTTCATTTTCTAATTTTTTAAACTCCTCAGATAAGTTTGCAAACTCTTTTTTCTTCTCTTCTAATAATTTTACGGTTTTTTCAATATCTAGAAGCAAGTTTGCATTTTCAGAAGACTTACTCTCTGTAACCTAAAAAATATTCAAAAATTATAAAAAGTTAATGAAATATGTAGCCAGGGGTGATTGTGAGCCCAAGTCGAAATTCCAGAAAATTTTCTGAGTCTTAAAAAAAAAAAAAAAAAAAAACTGTTTAAATTGAAAAATTAGAAAAAATTTAAACAAGGCTTTTTTTTCCGTTTTCTCAATATTTCTTAGTTTACTTAAAATATATTTAAAATTTTACACATACCTATACCATTGACAAATATGTCTTGAGTTTATGATTATAACAATTATTTACTGATAAAAAATAAATATTAATCATGAATATAATCTTATAAAGTATCTCTCTGGCTCTCCCTTACAAACAAATAAAATAAACGGTATTTTTAAATTCCGCCTTTGAAAATTTGATTTCCGGAAACCTCTGTGATCAATGATTTTTTGAAACGCCTGGAGCTTAGATCTCCGGAAACTTCCGGATCATTGTCAGCGAATTATCCAGAAATCCGGATTTTTTCTGGAGCACAATCAGCCCTGTGTAGCATAAAAAGATGCAATACGATAAAACTACAACAATGTGTTTTAATTAATAATATCATAGCAGTCTTAAGTAAAATCCTTAAATGCTTAAAACTGCTTAAAATTTCAAATTTGCAAAACAAAAAAAAAAATCAAAATGATTTGTATAAAATTGCATGTTATTTTAAATGGTGCATTCTAAGCAAAATTTAGGAATATCAGAATGAAATGCTAAAAATTAAGACAAATAAGCGAATAATATTTTTAATTAGAAAAATCAGGAATATAAAGACAACTACATTCCCTGTAATTGTAATTCTCCTAAAATAAAAACTTGAGTTTAAAACAAGAATAAATATAAGAATAGAAAAGGCTTTTTTCTTTCCAAAAAGTAACACATTAATTTCCCATTCTTTACAGATCATTCTCTTCCCCTACTGTGCCAATTAATGATATCATGAATATTTTGTAAAGGATTTGAGAGTATGCTTGTTTTGATAACACTTCCATTTGTGTCAGCTAATAAAAAATGAGAGATCGGCGTTATTTTTTAATTAATTTGAACTAGATGAACAATAATGTTCTATTTGCCTGTTTCTGTTTTTTGAAAGAATTCCTTTTGTTTTACTATTTTGCTTTAATTTTATTTTATACATAATTTTTAAAAAGTCTTCTTCATGAAAACGGCTGCAATAAGCTTAGTTTGAAACAAAATTTTGAAGAAATGTACTAATGAAGAAATGTAGAAATGTTCTAAATGTACAATAAAACTGGAGGTAAAAGTCTTGATTTTATAAAACGTTCAGCCATATTGCATACAATTTCTTGAAATAATAATCAGGCAGAGTTTGAAGGTTTTACATATTTATACTAGTAAAACAGGAAGAAAAAAAAGAACACACACAAAATGGAAGCCACAAAAATTATTAAATTATCAAATACTGGCCTAGCCATAACTTGCTAAAGTCAATTTAGAAAAGCATTTCAGAGATTACAAAAGATTCACAAATGAAAATATCTTTGAATACCTTGAAATTCATAGATCTTAAATCTTAATCTATTAATTTTCTATCAATAATCTATCAGATTAGCAAAACCAGCTGGATTTACACCAAACTCTTTGCAAAACGAGTCAAAAAAAGATTACTCGAATTAATTTGTACTATTTAAAACATCAGGAATTTTTAAAAAAATACCTATAGCAATCACCATTGCAAAAATGATTAACAAGACCACATGAATCTATAATAAAAATCAGCCAATCTCAATAGATATTACCTAATGTTGTGTACAGCAATAATGTATTTAAAATATCAAAATTTTTAGTCTATGTGGAACACCATAGCTATAACTGCTGAAGAAATAGTAAAAACCCAGGAACTTATGATGAAATTAAGTGTGGCAAAAGACTCATATGCACAATTCTAAATGTGCCTGTTGATTATCATATTGCAATATCAAAATTTAACTAAACAGCCAAAAGAATAATTAAGAAATCAGGTGAATATATGATACAATCACAGCACTTTTTTTTAAATTTTAGGCCAATACAATCAAAACTCTTTGAAACTATCAAAGAACTTTGACATTTCTATAGATTTAAGTAAGATCTAAATACGGTTTAAGTAGATCCCAGATAAAGTAGATATCTAAAATCCAGAAAAAATATCTAAAACTTAGACCATTTCTACCCTTGATCAGTTTAAATTTTCAGTGTTACACGGTAAACATTCACAAAAAGATATAACATAGAAAGAAATGAAAAAACACTTACATTATTTTGAGCCTCACTTAGCTCTTTAGTGTGAACAATGCTAATGTCATTTATTTTTTCAGAATGGGCTTTCTCAACTAAAGCCAATTCCTTTAAATGAGACTCTTTTAAATCATTTAATTCCTTAATTTGAGATAATTTTACTGCTTCAATTTCTTTCTCTTTTTCAACATTAATCAGTTTTTTCATTTCCATCAATTTCTCCTCATGCTAACAAAAACAAAACAGATAGTTACAACTAAAAACAGTAATAATAAAACAATTTTTAAATATTAATTCATTTTCTTTCCACAGACAGCAAAAATTATAATATAAAAAAAAATTTAAAATATCAGAATTTTTTACTTAGAGTAAATTAATTTAAACCAGAAACAAAACGGAAAAAAATCAATTCCGAATTACTCATGATAGAACAAGTCTTTCTTCGTTGCTTAAAGATACATAAAATTAACATATAACATAAAGTTAAATTATTATACCTGAAATAGTCATTCGATAGTAAAAAGCAAATTATTTTACAAAAAATAATACAAAATTATAATTAAAAAGCTGTCTTCCACTCCTATTTACATTTAATATCTTTATACTTCTTTTTTTTCTATGGATAAAACATTTATGAAATTGGAATAAAAAAAACTTCAACATTGAGAAGATAAAACACCATGAAGAAATTATTTTCAACTTAAATCATTTTTTTAAAAAAAATCGAAGAGAAATAAAAGAAAAAATACATATTTAGAATACACTCTAAATTACCCTGAATTCATATCTATGTCATATAAGAAAGAAATCATTAATCAATACAAAACAAGAAAAAATTTGCATTCTTATTACTCTACCTCTTGTTTTATTTTGCTTATTTCTGAACTCTTCATTTCGTTCAGAGCATCTAATTTCTCCTTAAAAACTTGTTCTTCTTTGTAATACAGATCTTCATTGTTTTTCTTTAATTCTGTTAAACTTTTCTCTGCAGTATTACGCTCCTCGTGTATCTTCTTTTCCAATTCAGCTTTGAGAGTTGAAAGCATATCAGAATGCTCCTTCCTAAAGTTAAAATTTAGGTATATACATAAATAAGTTTTTCCAAAAATATTAAGTTTTTTCATACTTCATGCATTTTTAAAAAAATTATTTAAAATCTTCCAAGAGGGGAAAAATTAACTCAAAATTATTAAGTGACTGTTGATTTATTTTACAGAGAAAAAAATATTAACACTCAATGTGTTTATCAATTTGAACAATATAAATCATCTTAAAGGGTTTTCCAATAACATTCTTAAACTGAATTAGTTATCACAGAATTATTCGCACAATTTTGTAACTTTTTTCTTCGTAGAAATTTTTGAATGTAAAGCTAATGGATTAACTTAAATAATATCCTTGCATTTCAAATACCAATGTCTGACAGATTATAACTGTTTTATTTAGAGGCAAAGAAAAAAAAATCAGCTATTTCATAACCATAAAGCTTTTTCATTGAGGCAAGATTTAACATGAAAACAAACTTTAGCAAAACTTCCATGTTAATTTATAACACAATAAATACAAGAGAATTTCAAAACAATATGATGTTAATATAATTCAAACTTGATAATATGAGATTTCTTTTCAACATATGTATCTTTCAAATGCAACAGCTTAAAAAATGAGATTTTTAGGGAATTATTAACAAAGTAGGTAATTTTTGAAGAAAAAACTTTTCTTTTTCATTAATTTTCTAACATTTTGAGACTCTTTAACAATCTTATATGGGACATATAGTCACTAAAGTTGCTTTTTCTTTAAAAAAAAAATTCCAACTAAGCATATGATTTTAAACACATTGTCAATGTACAAAAATTTGCCATTTCATTGTCAATCACCAGTAATCAAATGATAAAAATTCGTCATCATTGCATAATTAATAAATAAAAAATGCTGGCATTAAGTCAGCGATGAAGCAAATAAATGTCAGATGGAAATGTGTTTTGCAAAAAAATAATAATAAATAAAAATGAAAAGTTGGTGTTCGTTATTTACTTAAGTCATCATATTAACTATAAAAAAAAATTATATCAAAACAAATGAAAAGAGAAATTTTTTAATGAAAATAGTGCAATTTTTTACAAATTTTTTTTTATCAATTTTTAAAAACTAACATAAGTTTACACAACAATTATATCCTTTGAGACGAATTTAATAAAATTATCTTTGAATTGGCCCAGTGGTTTGCTAAATATCACATAAACAGTCACACAAACATAGTTTCCAGTTTCATGATATTCACATTCAAATTTTAAGAATCTGATGATGTTTTGGAAACACTTGAATTTTATTATTTACTGACACACATAAAAACAATTCTTTACATATTAAACTTCCAGTTACTTTTTAAAATATTAAGCTCAATGTTAAATATTTTGATGGCATGAACAAAATGGTTATTATGCTTAAACCCATGTTAAGGATCCATATAGTATTCAGTTCTGTGTGAGGTGTTTATTTTCCAGAAAGGTCTATTTTCTATATAGTTTTCTTTTTAAGTTAAAATAACTGTTAGTCCAGTGTTAAATATTTTGATGACATGAGCAAAATGGTTAATGTCCATGTTGAGGAACTCTAAAGTACAAATTCATGTGCTAGAGGTTTATTTTACAAGATATACTTTCTATGCAGTTCTTTTATAAATCAAAACAAGCTAATTTCTTCATCCCGAAATTTTTTACTATGTATATTAATGAGTAAAATATTAATATTTGTAAGAATCACCTATCAATAGATATTGTTTCTGATTTTGTCAAATTCAGATTTATCAAATTATTTACAAGACATTTGCTATACTTCGCTCAGGGCAAAATATTTTACAGGACCCTTTCAATCCTCTTTAACACATGGCTCCTCATTCAACCCTAGATTTTTGCCCAAATTATTGAAATAAATCCCACTATTTATTTATTTAGTAATTTCTTTAGAATTTCATTCTTAAAATTGAAGACCTTTTGTGTTTAAGGATCCCCCTGAAATAAAAATTTAAAAAATTTTAAATACACTTTATTTCCCTTTTCTTATATCTTGATTACTATGAGTAGTTTAATTTGTGCAGGGCTCCTAGAATTATGAAGACTGTTGAATCCAAGAATCAGGCTTAGGTTATTATTATCAATAGGCTTTAAATAGAAAACACATTTTTCAAATTTCCATTACCAAAAAGTAATTTTTTTAAAAAAAACTCACAATTATAAAAGAAAAAAACAATGTAACTGGCATAGTTCTCAGCTAAGTCCTAGAAATGCAAGGCCCTGTCAAATGCCCCACTATTAGAACGACTCTGAGTACTAATTTTATCAGATTATCTGCTTGAGATTATTTATGATGCATCCTAATTTTGCTAATCAAGAGAAGAAAAAAATCCTTTTTTCCGTTAAAGAGAAACTTTAACTTATTTGATAAAAAAAAGAAAAAAAAGTGCTTCTCTTTTAATTATGTTTTTATCTATTAACAACATTTATTTTATCTTGCTACTCATTATTTAGTTTATTAAAAGTTATTGCAGTCGAACTTGTTTATAACGAACACAAAGGGACCGTAACATGTACTCGTTAAATCCGAGTGCTTGTAATAAACGGGTCCTTAAGACAGGCGTGCAACCAGAAGAGGGGGGGGGGCTTGGGAGGTCAAATGATTGAGTTTACTTAAAATTTAATTAATACTTACTTACTTTAATTACATTAATNTAAGAATCAACTATCAATAGATATTATTTCTGATTTTGTCAAATTCAGATTTATCAAATTATTTACAAGACATTTGCTACACTTCACTCAGGGCAAAATATTTTACAGGACGCTTTCAATCCTCTTTAACACATGGCTCCTCATTCAACTCTAGATTTTTGCCCAAATTATTGAAATAAATCCCACTATTTATTTATTTAGTAATTTCTTTAGAATTTTATTCTTAAAATTGAATAACTTAACTTTTTTCCCATTCTTTTATTTCCGAATTTATACTATCGCTTAAGTATTGTTAATGATTATACAGGTCTGGAACTTATAAAGAGAAATAAGACCTTTTGTATTTAAGGATCCCCCTGAAATAAAAATTAAAAAAATTTTAAATACACTTTATTTCCTTTTTCTTATAACTTTCTTTTCTTTTTCTATGAGCAGTTTTATTTGTGCAGGACCCCTAGAAATATCAAGACTGTTGAATCCAAGAATCAGGCTTAGGTTATTATTATCAATATGCTTTAAATAGAAAACACATTTTTCAAATTTCTATTACCAGACAGTAATTTTTGTTAAAAAAATTCACAATTATGAAAGAAGAAAAAAATAATATAACTCGCATAGTTCTCAGCTAAGTCCTAGAAATGCAAGGCTCTGTCAAATGCCCCACTATTAGAATGACACTGAGTACTAATTTAATCAGATTATCTGCTTGAGATTATTTATGATGTATCCTAATTCTGCTAATCAAAAGAAGAAGAAAATCCTTTTTTCCTTTAAAGAGAAACTTTAACTTATTTGATAAAAAAAAAAGTGTTTTTCTTTTAATTATGTTTTTATCTATTAACAACATTTATTTTATCTTGCTACACATTATTTAGTTTATTAAAAGTTATTATAACAATCACAAAACACTTTGGAAAAAAAAACTTACATTTTTTATCTTTTTTTGTATATAATGCATATTTTGATCTTTGTTTACGTAAATATCTATTACCCGAAAAATCTATTTTGCAGACTTTCAGAAGTTCTGCTGATTACCAATAAAGTATTTTTTACTCTACACGTACTGTACATGTACACTTAATATCCCTTTATAATTATGAACAATAATAAGTATAATTACTAATTATTTAAACACAATTATTGATCAACAAATAATGTTGTTTCTCCCAAGGTACTCACTGAATTAAAGCCTCTTCTTCTTTAAGTCTCTCAGAGCTCTCTTTGACCATCTGGTCATATCTAGCTTTCTCTTCTTTTTTAAATTCCTCTTGCATTGTTGCCCATTCCTTTTGAATTCTCTCTAACATTAACTTCTGCTCTTCTTCAATTTCAGTAGCCAGCCCACTCTCATCAGTGTCGTACTTAGGGACTTTTAATGATTTTAAATTCTTTGACCTCTTCTTGGGAGAAGATTTTTTCTTTGTTGCAGGTTGTATTGGTTTTCTGTAATTATAAGTATAGAAGGCAATTAGAAACAAACAATTATAAATATAGAATAACTAGTGATTGATTTTTAACCATGCAGCAGTACAGTCAGAATAAGGGTATGTTTACTCAGAGAAAGTAGGTTCTTGCGCCTGATTTCTTAACTTAAAATATCGTCTACACTAATTTATTAGCACATTTAAGGTTAGGCTCTCGGACAAATTTTGTTTCACACATTAGTATTCATACATTAAGAGGTATTGTTTCTCAAATCAATAGATATGATCAAATTTGTAATAATGATTCCAACTTTCAGTTGGAGATTAACATTTTAAGAAAATAGTTAATTTTTACTAAATTCTCTTTATTAATTATCATTTATCTCAGCATACCTGTTTATAAATTTTTAGTTTTAAATTTTACACAATTATATTTCGTGGTGCTTCCGACATTGCTTAAACTGTAACAGATTCCAAATCTGGTTGGTAGTACCTTGGGTTCATGTTCATGAGATCGTGAGCTTGAATCCCGCTTTTTGAAGAATGTATTAAATGGTGATTGGTGCACGTTTAATTTGTTGGGGTCACAAAGTCCTCCAAGTTCCCACAACAAATCAATACCTCTGGGGGTACTGAATTAGAGATAGATCATTCTCTGGCTCAGGTCAAAATTATGAGCTGTATTGGAATGAATAGGCCCTCCCAATAAACCAGGCTTCAACATGTGTTTGGCTGAAGTCATATTCTTCGGCAACTGAAAAACAAGAAACACACCCTCTGCCTTAAATATCGTTTGGTTTCCCACAGAAGGCCTGTTAGTATTGGCAAGTGGCACTTAGTAGCAACAACAAATCTAACGACACACTTGCAATATTTTGTAAGGATGGCTACCAATATCACCACACTGTAATAACAAAGGCCTTGCTCTCTTAAAAACTATTACGTATCGCCATATATGCCCTGAGGAGAATTTAGCATTTTCCTTAAAATTTGGAATGTTATATTGTATTATACATACATAAATACAATGTATAGATAGTCTCTTCCATTATTTTCAGAAAAAAAATTATACATTTTAGAAATCTCATTAAAATTGATAACATATTTAAAATCAAAATTTACTGGAAAATATAGAAAAAATTTCAGTGCTACTGACACCATAATTCCAAAATATGTCAATGATATGAATTTACAGTAAATATTTATTTTTATTCATTTTCCATGTGTGAGTTTCTCAATAAACAATCTTTTAGTTGTAAAAAAATTTAGTTAACTTTTTAAAATAAATTGAATTTCCTAATTCAAAATTAAAATTATGAAATTTCGGCAAATAAACATTTGCAAAAAATTTCATAAATCTTTAAACATTATTCATTATAATACTCATTTTTGATACACAGATAAAAAAAAAATTACTACAGTAGTTCACTCCTCAGAAGAGACACTACTGAATGGAGCACCGCACCAAAGTTTGCACATTGCATGTTTGTAAACTCATGCTTGATTTTCTCATTCAAGTGTTACATAACAATATATTTGAAGATTATGCAAAAGTTATAAATAAAAATGCAATTTAGGGTAATTCAAAACAGTCTTCGTAATTTAATTCAGTAAGATAAATTTCAAAACAATAACACAGAAGCCCACCTTACAGTTTTTACACTTAGATTCCACTCCTATGTGGTTTGCACAGCAAATGATGTGCTTTCTATTTCGGCTTTTTCCAACTGATTAATAAATTGAAGGAAAAAATATTTATGGCTGACAAAAAATATTAAACTCATTCAAAATATACCTTTAGTGATATTAATCTAATAAGAGTCAATGGAACATTAGCCAATGACAGTTGGAAGCAGAGTGGGCCAGTTATAAACAGTTTCACCTTTATGCCCAATAAATATGGTGCTCATAACAAAAGAGTTAAACAATATTAATAAATGAGATACATTAATAAAACCTACAAAGAGGTTGGTTGTCCCATTTTCCTCAAGTTCAGAGATGGGGGTGGTCCTCCTTTATCATTTAATGAATGTAGAGGTGAAGTTTTTGAAGAAATATCACGGCCAGGTGGCAGTTTTGAGTTAAGCTGTACAAGAGTGTTAATATCCAAAGCCTAGAAGAGAAGCTAAGAATTAGTAAAGAAGCAAAATAAATTAGTTAAATTAATAAATTAACTGTATAACTACATATTGAATGATCTAAGTAAAATTAAAATGAAGGAAAACTAATTAGGAAAACATTTAAGAAAACGAACAAGAAATTAAGTGAGATTCCCCCTTGAAAATATCTTAAACGCAAAAAGCTACTTTAATATTCAAAACTATATTTAAATGATTTATAAATAATATATCAAATAACATTTAACTACTTTTATAGCCTGAATGACATTGTTTATTTTTCCCTTTTAATAAATTTTAAAAAAATTAATAATGAAACAAATTAAAAAGACAACAAGAAATAAAAAATAAAAAGATTTACCCATAAAATTATCTTAAGGGTGAAAAACTACTTTAGTATTCACAACTATATTTAGATGATCCAAAAACAAATATAAAATGACATTTAACTACTTTAGAAGCTTGCCATTTTTTTTCTTTTAGAAATGTATTATCAAATTTAGAAATGTATTACCAAAAATAAATATAAAATGACATTTAACCACTTTAGAAGTTTGAATTTAACTACTTTAGAAGCTTGTCATTTTTTTTTCTTTTAGAAATGTATTATCAAATTTTGTAAATAATCTTACGTCGGGAGATTCGTAGGCAGAATGAGCTGGTGAGACAATAGAACCATGAATATTTTTTTCATAGTATTCTTGTTCCATTTCATCACCACTATCCTATATAATACACAGATAGAAATCACTTATCATTAGAAGAAAAAAGATGCATACATATTTTTAAAGAAAAAGTATAGAAACTAATCAGGTAACTTGTCGATACAGTGTTACGGTACCGTATTCATTGAGGTATCGACTGGCGGGGTCAATTCATAATGCTGTATCAGTAAAACAAAATATATTGATATTTTGGAGGAAAAAATTTTTTTAACCACCTTTAAGGTTCTTTAAAGTAAACTCTATTCATTCAGAACATTAGTATCTCTAACGCAACTAATATCCTTATAATATATTGAAGAAAAAGGAACTTCCATAAAATACTATTTTCAAATCTTTCGAAAGTCTCCTTTTCCTTCATATTATTTAGAATGTGGCATTAACATTTACTAAGCAAAGCTCAAACATAATACTAAAAACTGAAAGTAATGGATATCGCAAAAAGAAGCTAATAGATAAAAATTTAAAAAAACAATCTAAACCAGGGATGGGCAAATTACGGCCCGCGGGACAACTGTGGCCCACCGGAAGGTTTTATCCAGCCAGCGGACAGAATTTTAACTTGCCGATCCATGGCTAATATAAACAATATACATTATACATCCATTTTCTTGTCTACTTTTTTAAAGCTATTTTTGTTCTTTCTTTCTTTAACAAAGTACTGATGACCTTTTCACTTTCTCTATTTTTGTTCTACAAAACATAAATTGATGGAAATAGTTAGCACAGACAGCTTCAATTGGTAAAATATTGAAAGTATTTGTCTTTCCCGAGGAGCAGACATATGGAATCTAATATAGGTGAAATGTACTTCACAAGAGGCAAACTACGCATTTTTAAGTTCCAATGAGCGGATTTTTCTGGCGGCGCGAGTTCTAACATTATTTACTGCGTAGGGAAAGATTGCACACATACAACGTCATTGTAAATAATGGTGAAATTATTAAATGTATAAAATAGCTACTGCTTTATTGAGTTATTTGTAAAAAATTTTAACTCCAAAATGGCAACTTAAAAACGCAAAGTTTATGTAGAGTGCCATACGTTCAATGATGAATTGACTTTATTTTATTTCAGAAATTAGAATTTTTATTTTAGAAGTTTTTACTAGGCCCACCAAACTTTTTTTCTAGATTTTTTGCCCACGACCAAAAAAGTTTGCCCATCCCTGATCTAAACAAACAGAATTATACAAATTGTAAAGTTTTGTTTTAAAATTTAAATCAAATTTTTATATCATTTAACATAAATAAAAGCTTGTTGATAATTTATGGCGAAAAAAAATAAAAGGAAAGTATTTATAACAAACCTCATAAGAATATTTGGAACCTCCATCTGATGATGTACTGTCATTAAAATCTTCATGCTGAGGAATCTGTAAATATATCGAATAATCAATGACACATATTTTGAATAAAAAAATGATTTCAAAAATAGTTGGAATAAAGAACATACACAATATAATATTAACAATCTCTTGGTTTAAAAAAAAAATTCTGACAATGGAGATTCAACTGATGTAGATAATATATGTCTATATTCTTAGAATATGAATAATTCTCATACTCTAGAACTTGATTTTTGTAAAACTCCTTAAAAGCATTGTCATTCAAATTGACTGCAAATTTTTGTTCTATTAACCTTTCTATTTTGAAAAAAAAAAACAGATAATAAATATAACATTTACTATTTTCTGGTCAGTTTCATTGTCCAGTAGAGACACAGTATTTAAACTTGAACAAGCAAGGAGAAACAAGTTAAATTTCTGAGGTTGGGTTATGTTAAATAAACTTAGCAGCTACACTGCATTGAAAAATATGTATTCACAAAGTAATGAAAAAAAACAGTAATATGAAGAAGATCAGACATAAAAACCAAAATTGAAAAGAAGAATGAAGAAACACACAATACAAACTTAAAGATCACAAAGGCATCTAGGTATCAACCCCATATTTATTGGAAGATAAAACTTCTCATGGAAAGATTTATGCGAGAGAGTACTAATATTCAACTCCTTAACCATGTATTTTTGAACCCAATCCAGAAGGCAAGGGAATTCCTGGATCAAGTATTAGGAACATTAGGAGAAATTTTTCCTTTGTAGAGGAACTTTTTGAAGGATTTGTGCTACATAGCGAGGAAAACCACAAATACCTCCGACTGTAAGTCTTACGCCAAGGGGACTCCATAAACCGTCTACCACTGAGGATATTTCACTTCGGCACTGTGGTCGGTGCAAGCTGGATGCGGATTCATATCGACCAGCCATTGTTGGGATTCGAACCGGCTCACCTCATTGGAAGGCAAAAGCTATATCCCCTGAGTCATTGCGGCTCTTAGACGAGGATAAGGCTTCTAACCCCGATGGTGGCTTGAAGCTCACTAGGCTCCAAATTAATGAGTTTAGATTGTCTGAAAAATAAAAACACCTAATGCATAAACCTGACTGCATGGTCACCATCAAGCTGTTTATCACCAACATGTGCAGCCTTGTCAGAACAGGGTGTTACGAGAATATGTTACTGTAATTGAAGTCTTAGAGAAAGAGAACTAAAATTTCTTACATAATTTCTATTGTCTAGTGGGTGATTCTCAGGAATCTTATCTTCTGTAGCTCTTCTGATATTTCTCGTCAAGGAAGATCCTTTTGGCATAAAAGACATTGATGATTTATTAGCAGAAGGTGATGGAGGCATCTTCAAAGCATTCAGTTTGACAGGAGTCAACTGAGTACCCCTTCTATTTTCAAATCTGCCGAATTCCAATGGTTTGTCATTAAGAGCATTATTTCTTTTTATACTCTGTAAAAAAAAAGAAATAAAACAATATGAAAAGGAGAAAAATATATATAATTTCCAACTTCCAGCTGAATTTTTATTCAGTTTTTATTGATTCTCCAATGGTACGACATACAGAACTGCATTTTAGCTAGCATGCTTTCACAAATAAGAAATAAGTTTTTCTCATGTTATTAGGCGGAGAAACAAGTCATACAGAACAGCATTTTAGCTAGCATGTGCATTCACAAATAAGAAATAAGTTTTTCTCATGTTATTATGTGGAGAAACGAGACATGTAAAAAATAAATGTTCACAAGGTTTTTTGACAGTTATGAAACTGCTATTTTATTTTCTTTCATTTACTAGGCTGAGACTCCATGGTTTAAGTGATACTTTTAAATTTTTATTTCTATTCAGTTTTGATAAAGCGAAAAAGGAAAGATATATGAACTCAAATAAGATTTTGTATTAAATTGTACCCCACAAGAAAATTGAAATAGGATTTGAAGAAAATTGCTGTCTATCATTATTTCACTTTTTTTTTTTTACTAAATTTAATAGAAAGTTTTATAATAATGACAATAAAGTAAGCCAAACTTACTAAAGTTCACATAAAATTTCAGAGAAATATTATTTAAAAAAAAACAGACATTTTTAATAAGTTTATAATTTTAAATGAAAACTCTTATTTTTCATTTAATATTTCATGAATAATAGTAAATGTATAAATTTAACTCACACCATTTAAATAAAAAATAAGGAAACATTTGTAGTTTTCTTATTCGCAGAAAAACAGCAAAAAAAAAGCTATTGCAGTTTTATCTCTTTTTTTTCTAACACTTAAGGATTAGAGACAGGTGAAGCTATGGCCATATCGCTTAAGCTTAAACCTGGAAGAATAATGAGTTGTGATTTGCCTGACTCAGCCTTTAACAATTTATTCGCAAATATTTTTTTACAATTATTATTGCATAAAATATTGTCTTTTAAATTATACAAAATTGTAGTTTACAATAAAGCTTATTGAAAAATTATAATTTAAAAGCTTGTATTGAACCCTTGGAAACAGAAACTATTCAATAATGAATCAATAATATATTCTACTTAGTACTTAGACTAATTTAATAAGTCTATAATATATTCTATTTAATTTGGAAGTCACTAAGTGCTAAAAAATAAATAAGTTACCTTACATTTATTTAGTAATATGTGAAAAACTTTAGTTCTTTTAAAATAAAACCATTAAAATATAGCATACAATATCCTTTAAACATTTTTAGTTTTGAAAACAATAATGTCATTTTTATTATGTACTAGGACAGATATTCTAGTAATAGACCCATTTAAGGAGTTTCTTTTAATATGTATTATATTCCTTTTAATAATTATCGACATAACATTTTCTTTTTTTAATATATTAATCAGTCAACAAAATTTAACCAATTTTATAGCCATTGATTAAAATTATAAACAATTAGATTATTAACAAGATTATAAGACATGCAGAGAATTGAAAAAAATAATAATAATAATTTAATTTTTTATATTTATTTAAAATAAACCAAAATATGAAAAGTGCGTCAGGGTGCCCATTACTTCCAAATTCTCCTAGACCTAAATTCTAATTATTTACTCTCGATAAATAAAGTCAAAAAATTTATTCTAAGTTAGTTACTGTAACATATTACTCTATCATATACAAGAATAATTAACCTCCCTTCATTGGATCATACAAAGTAAGTTGAGTATGTTGAATGAAACTAAGAATAATAAAACATACGGAGATCAATGAAATTTACATTTATTGTGCGTTCAATGCTAAAGCTAAATAGCAAAGCTGCACTGAATGTCATCACTACTTAGCATGACATCATAAAACTTGGTTTCTAGTCAATCTACAACTAGAAACCAACCAGTAAACATAAAGACTCCTTTAAATATCGTCTTTTATAGGTTTTATCTTTGATTTCCCTATCTGAGCTATGAATTTTACAACTCTTTGCTCAATTGGTTTGTGGGAGTTATATAGAATCATTCAAATGAATATTCAAAACAATACAAATATTTTTCAAAACCAAATTTAAAAAATATTTATAATTTATAGTAAACTTATAAATATTACCAAAATATATAGTAGAAAATTTCATTTACTTATATTAGTTGAAAAACAAAATATTTTTTAAGTATTGCAAGTAAAATAATTACTTACATTTGGTTTCTCATTTGCAGAAAGAATGGGTGCATCCGAAAGAGATGACAGCTAAATGAAAACATAAATGCATATATGAATATATGAAAACATAAATGCATATGTGAAATGAATATATAAACACATCATTGCATATATAAAACTACTATCTATGGTAAAACTGTTTTTGGTTTCTATTCATATTGAATAAAAAAAAGAGTAATATAAATCACTATAAAATTATTAAAATTATATTTTTAGAATAATTTAGATATATATTTTATATAGAAATATATTTTAGAATAATTAGAGAAATATTTGTGTTATGTTGTAGAACAAAGAAAAGCCTAAATTATCAAACAAGATAAAATCTACTTAACACAGATGTGGTATTTGCTCTGGAAGAAACTTATTTATTGTTATGTAATTTATAAAAAATAATTATTTGTCAATGAAAATGTCTAAATAAAGTTCACAATTAAAAAATTTTAGGTTAATTTCATAAGTTATAATTAATTAATAACTTTATGAATATTCAAAAACAAAATCTGTATTGAAAATATATACTTAGAAATACCTTTTACATAGTATCTAAGAGTTGTTCTGAGTATTCCTACTTAACAGAATTTAACAACGGAAATTTGTGTTTGCTAATACAATGTGATTTGTAGTTGGTTTTGAAATTTATTGTATACATTATTCGTAACATTTAATTAGAATATTTTAACCGTTTTTTTTACATAATTTTAAAAATCAATTTCTACAATAGTTTTTTTCATAAAACATTGAAAGAAACTACAGTTGTTTCAATTTTTTAATTTCCATTTAATTTAAAAATAGTGTATAATGAAAATAAATACAATACTATTAACAAGATTGGAGATGTTAATCAAATTAAATTAAGTTGTATGATGGAGATGTTAATTAAATTGTAATTAAAAACTAACTTAAAAATTTTTTTTATATACATATTTTTTTAAATGTTTGTTTAGGGGTTTCTCCCATTTGGGGGAAAAAACCCTTCAGACTTCAGATAATCACATTTTTTTTTATTGTCACTCCTCATTATAATAAATAATTTCCATACTCATTGTGGTTGATTTCCATCAAGTATTAAGTTATATTATTTATTAAATTGTATAGTATTATTTATTAAAATTTAACGTTCTCACGAATATTTAGTAAATATCTAACTTTGAAAAATTCCAGAAAATATTTTCAAAACTTGCTTATTGTAAACTTGATTTTTGCAGTAATTTTAACAAAAATTTATATTTTAATACTTTGATCCATTTTTTAATAATACAATCATCCATTATTTTTCTTCCAAATTCAGAGAAGGGATGCAAAGAACTTTCAAGGATAAGAAAGACTCAGGTACAATTTATTTCTTTATTGGATCTTTGCAGACATTTTTGTAGATATATTCAACATTAAAAAATCAGACACTGAAAAATAGATAATTTTGATAAAACCAGTTTTAAAATTTGTACAGACAAAATATCATATTTAGCTAAAAAATAGCAGATTAAAAGCTTCTAAAAATCAAAAATTTAAAATATCAATTAAATTTAAAAATTTAAGAAAATAATATGCAGAAGCTAATATTAAATTTTATATGCATTAGTACATTAACTTAAAATAATTATACATAAAACATGCTTTCAGGGAGAAAACAAATTCTAGAGGTTGTGAGACAAGCTTTTAATTAATTTTCCACCTGGACGAAATAGGATTGAAGAAAAGTATGCAAAATAAACATACAGTTATATTCTTCATTTGCACTCTTGGAGGGGAAAAAAGGAAAGCAGCATACAACAAATTAACTTTAGTATCTCCAGAAAGTAGTATATCACTTTGCATTTATATATTAAAACTAGTACAGAAAATGTTTAATAAAATCTACACTGTATAACTGTTTGTCATATTGTTGTCAGTAGAGTATATAAGTACAAATGTATTGATATACTCTACAAATACAAATGTATTGATATGGCTCACCTTCATATAATGATTAAGATCAATTATCTAAAGCAAATTTACCTTTGATTATTTTAAGAGAAAAAACAAGCAACTTTCAAAAAGTGGGAAGATTTTTTTTTAACATTTCCCAACATAATAATATTAGAAGATGCTTTGTTTTACATGAAAACAAGCCTCTTGTCTATGCTGAACCCTGACAACTTTTAAAAATTGACTTTTACAGAATTATACCTGCTACCAACACTAATTCTGAACGAAAATAAATTAAAATAAAAGTAGCATTTTACTTGAGGTAATGGAGCTTTACTGAACCGTCCAGATGACTGTGGTCTATCATTGATTGGATCCAATGGCCTCTGTTAATTGTAAAAAAACCATAATGAAAAAATAAACTAATGAAAACAGTAGTAAATATATTAAAATAAACTATGGTTCCTGTTTAAACATTGATATATTTCAAAGTGAAAGCAGTGACCAATCAATTGGAAAACATAGCATGCATAAAAGTGTGAACAATAAAGACTATTCCTTTCTGACATTAAAGTATAATAATTTTTTAGATAAAAAAAAAATATAATGAAACCAATAATAAGAGTGTATAGAATAAAAAAGCACAGTAAAAAACAGAATTATCCAGCATTCAACAAAAGAGCAATTTACTATAATAACTGAATGATAAGAAAGAAAAAAACTGAAAAATGCAAAATTAAAATAATTTGTGAGTTAATTGTTCAAGTTTTAAGACATAAACTATCATGTGACTAATTTTTTTAAATTTCTTTCTCTATTCATGATAGAATCTCTATTTATGACAACTTTTTTTCCTTCAATTAAAAATTGTTAAAATAAAACTAAATGCAACATATGAGGAACTAAAAAATATCTTTTTTAATCCATGTTAGATTCTAAGCCAGTTCAATATATTCGTTTTAAATAGATTAACTTTTTTACACATAATAACTTATTTAAATTTTATTGCCAGCTTACATAACACCTTCAAAAAATGCAGTAAATGCTATCTATTAAAATCTATTTATTCTAATAAACCAAATTTTCCTGAATTTTGAAAAGCTATAATTTTTCATGCAAAATTTTAAGGTTGTCAGTGAGTTTTATTTTTAATCTGAACTAAGAGAAAGTTCTAAGCAAAATAACTCATGGAAAGATAATGCCCCGGATGTTTAGAAACTGCATTGTCTGTTTGATGCCCAATTAACAACAGTGTGAAGCCTGAAACTGTAATTGATACTAAAGAGAGAGAGTCGGGTGCTGATGCTTCCTAATAAGTATTGATAAAGTAATTGAAGCTGGAAAGTCATGTTTTTACTCTACACTTTGAAAATAAAATGAAGGAAAAAACTCTATTTCCATGTGTACATTATTTTGTGCGTGCAAGTTTAACAGCCAGATGTGCATTTTCAGGCAGTGGTACAACTTAAATAACAAACCTTTAAATCGGAAATTCCATCCTGAGTTTTTTTGTATTTAGTATACATCTTGAATATGTGTGAAAACTATAAAATATTTAAAAAGTGGAGATAAGTTGAAATCAACAGTCTAAGAATAGAGAAGATAGATAAATTGCTAAGTGATATTTATTTATTAACCAAGTTAATTGTAATCCCTTGAGAACTCTGGAAACTTTTTCAGTTAAATGTTCAGATAATATTGAAATTATGATATAATTACACATAAAAAAAAATGAATTTAAAATCATTTTTTTCCCTCATCTTTCGCAATCAGTCATAATCTGGTAGTGGTCTTCGATAGAACTTATTTTATATTTTTTTAGCTACAGAAAAAGTTAAAACAAAACATGTTTAAAATTATTAAACCTAAGCTTATAACAAGATAATTGCTATAATTACTTTTTTAAAAAACTTCCTTTTTATAGGTAAATCATTTTGATTTAGATTCTCTAACCACTGAGAAATTTAAGAAATAATAAATAATTTTAAAATATACACATATACTCATATGGCTTTATTAATACACAGATATGTTAATATAAAAAAATTTTACTAATGCAGAAAAAATATTTTGCAATACTACTTCCATATATTTCTCACATTTTATTTAAAACAGTCTAAATTATTTATAACTGGGTCGAACGAAAACTATACATCAAATCAACTGAAATAACATTTATGTTTGAGCAATACTTTCTTATATTAGCACAAGAACTATACAAAAAAAAAAAAAAAATTAAATGACATTTATGTTTGAGCAATATTTTTTAAATTAGCATAAAAACTATACAACAAATCAATTGAAGTGACATTTATGTTTGGGCAAAATATTTCTTTATCAGCAGAATAAACTTTTAAAAACTTGTCTTGTAGTATTAAAACACACTTCATTTCAAACAAGTGGAATCATTTTTGAAAGATCTCATATTTATTTGATCAGGCTCATCCTAAGAAGTGGTAAACATAATATGAAACTCTTTTTTTTAAAAAAAATTATAAAACATTTGGCAGCACCTACAATTCAATAAATAGGGTTCATGCCAATAAGACAGCATGGAGAAAAATGTGTTGCATATGTCCTTAAAATTTTACACATGGGCGACAAATTTGCCTTCTTGAAATATATTTAGAATTTACAAAATAGTAACGGAAAAAAAAATTTCATCAAATTTCATGTATTTAAAAAATATTTTCTGAGCTAATTTTAATGTTTTACATGTGGTATTGATTTAAAATGTGTGGTATTCAAATGGAAGAACTGTAAGTGAGTGTTACAAAATTTTTTTTAATTTAAATGTTAAAACTTGCGCTTCACATTCATGTACTGAAAGCATAATTGTTCATCAATAAAATAAAATTTTTTGCTCTTCTAGAATTGACTCTATTTAAAAACTTTCATAATTTTTTAGATAATTAATTCTTTGCATAATATTTTGTTAGTTTTCTCTGTTTTTACTCATTTACTTGGTCATCAGCATTTTACTCTCATTGTTGAATTACAAAGATTATTTTAGCTTTTTTTCACTTAATTTTAAAGAATAACCTTCAATCATTTTTGGGGTAATGAACCTAATTAGTTTTGGAATGTTACAGATGGCAATTAACAATTTTGAATTACCACAACATGAAGTTTTTTCTAAAATTTGTTTACCATATTAAGTTTACAGACACTAAATAAATACCTAGATGGTCCTATTGGACTACTAAATTTTCATTGCTGGTGTAAACCCTATTAATAAACATAAATAAATTACATTAAAATTCAGATTGTTACTAATTTTTATAATAATTCAATATCATAACAGTTAGACACGCGGTGGTATAATCGCAACAATACGACGACATTATCGCAGACTGTTGGATTTCTTGTAAAAAGATTTTTCATTAGAGAAACATAATTTTGGTCTTAGTTTCAGCAGAATTTTTCAAAATATTTTTTTTCTCTGCAGAATCAGCATTCACAAAGAACTGCATTATCTAAGAACTTACATAAGAGAAATAATTTGACAATTGAAATATATTAAGTGTCAAATTTCTTTGAAAATGTACCGATTCCAAATTCTTGTGACATAAAACAAAACTAAAACAGCTTTAAATATAAAAATATTCAATCTGAAAAAAATCTTAAAAACTTTAAAAAGAGTAAATTTGAATAATCTGTCACAAATTGATCAAACAACAATATACAGACATCATGGATTATAATACTTTAATCCATTACTTTTAAAGGTACAACTTTATTTTATTATCTTCATTAAACAATTTTTATTGCAAAAAAAAAATTTCATTTCTTTAAAATATAATATATTGAGAAATATAGAAGAGACTTACAAAACTAAGAAAACTTTATCATCACCACAGAGGAATAACTATCATTTGTTTATTTATAATTTATGAAAAAAGTAGAGGCTTAAGCCGCCTATTTCTGTTTTGCTTAAGTGCTGTGTGAAAAATATAAATAATTTAAGGAGCATTCACACTGTATGAAAACAAATCGCATGCGTAATTTCGGAGATGTGACCGAGAATCGAGTGACGAGTTTCTCGCTGTCTAATAGATATTCGGTATCGAATAAGCATCCAGTCGGCAAATTCTAGTTGAGTCGGTATTTTTTTTCCTTTTAGTATTAGAGGAATGAGATAAAAAAACTCAAGGTGTGTTTAGATTCTCAGGTCAAGTCTGTCCTAAACCAGCCTGAATCTCGTAGTTAGGGTTTGCCTTGACTCTGCTGTGTTGTAAGCTTGAAATAGATAGATATAAATAGATTTAAACGCCAGTGGCGTAGCGAGGGGGGAGCAAGGGGGGCATCATCCCCCGGGCGCTACTCACAAAGGGGCGCCAAATGGTCAGCAAAACAAAAAAATTGTTGGATAATTTTTATTTTTATTATAATTTATTTCTGCAAAAAATATTTTAAATTTAGTGCCAGTGAAATATAATAAATGTTAATTCGTAAATAAAAAGGAACACTAATCAAACTGTAATAATATATTCATAATAGAAATGACACGTCTTTTCTAATGGCTGGCTGACTCGACCTGTATCTGTCAGCACTTCCTTATGGCATCTACGCTGTGTGGTTACATATATTATCTCCAAATATTTGCACTGTACAAAAATCGTTTGTATGTTTGTACAGTGTATAATACAGATTTCAATGGAATAGAACTCTTTATCGAAGAATGTGACTGTAAAATGTTACTCCTTTGTAGAAAAGAAATTGAACTTAAAACTCCATTAGAATTTCTTACTTTTATAATCCCGTATGGAGAAGATGTTTTTCCAAACCTGAGAGTGGCACTTCAAATACTCCTGACTATCTCAGTATCAATTGCTANTGACTGTATCGATGATATGAACCTTGCCAAAGATGAGCTTATTGATCTTAGAACAAAGTCCTTGCTAAAAATGGATTTCGATTCAAAAACACTCGGAGAGTTCTGGTCTTCTGTGAAAGAAGCCTACCCATTGCTTGTAAAGCGAGCTATTTCAGCTATAATTCCGTTAGCTACAGTGTATCTTAACGAAGCCGGACTTTCCACAGTTGTGACAATAAAAACATAACATCGTTATCGATTGAATGTTAAACATGTTATGCTCGTTGCTTTGTCGAAAACCATCCCTCTATTCAATTTATTAATTAAGGAAAAGCAGCAACAACCTTCAGACTAAAAATTTTAATTTTAAATATTTTGTATACAATTGAAATAATAAAATTAAATGCTAAAATAAATTAAATACTGAAAATTGATGTTTTTTGCAATTATTTTTCTCAGAGGGGTGGTCCGTGACTTCTTGAAAATTTTTAAAAGGGGTCCATTGTATCAAAAAGGTTAAGAAACACTGTATTAGAGGAATGAGATAAAACAACTCAAGGTGTGTTTAGATTCTCAGGTCAAGTCTGTCCTAAACCAGCCTGAATCTCGTAGTTAGGGTTTGCCTTGTCTCTGCTGTGTTGTAAGCTTGAAATAGATAGATATAAATAGATTTAAACGTTGTCAAAATTTCGTGAATGTCGGGATTTCATCACGGACCCGACTCAGCAAATCTTGCTGCGAAATACAAGTTGTCCGATTCAATTAGTTTTTTCATGAGCTACCAGCTAAATTAATTCGAAGCAAGATGTTTGAGATAAAACAAGCCAAAATCCCGACTTTAACGAAATTAGTTTGTTGTCGTTTATTAATTGGTGGTGAGATTTAAACGGATCTCAATGTTCTCTGAATTTTGTCCATTTGGGTATTTCGTGTTAAACCCGAATCGGCAAATCTTTCTGTGAAATGTAAGTTTTCCAATTGAGATTTTTTTTTCTTTCTTTTTCGGAAGAGTAACCATCTATAATAATTCGAAGCAAGAAAACCAATAATACCAGCCGAAGCCCCAACTTTTCCAAAATTCATTCATTGTCGGTTATTTCATCGGTGGCAAGAAACTTTAGAAGGTCAAATTTCGTTGCGCATTTGATATTTTTTTAATGTTTTGAAAAAAGAAAAAGAAAATATCAAAAAAGAAGGGAAAAAATTAGTTTTTTACAAAACTATCAGCATAGCTTTATGAATATTTAACTAGGCTTACGAAATTTTATGCAATCATTGTATATAATAATCAAAATAATTGTTACAAGTTGCAAATTTATTGCTGCATTTTTTGCACAGAGTATTCAAAATCACTATTTTCAGTTTATAATTTATTGTCTGTCCCTCAAACCTCTAAAAGCTTTACAATTTATTGATAAGTATCAGAAATCACCTGATCTAAACACTTCTGAAGTGATAAAATGATTCTTTAAGTATTTCTTGAGAAATATTTTTAAAACAATTATTAGTATAAAAGTGTTTTTATTATTGTGCCCACCCCACTGTATTTCCTAACATTTTCAATCACTCCGTAGCGGAAAGCATTATTCTAAAACCATCACCTATGGGAGAGAATTGTAACTCTTCTTTTGCATGTGGGAAAATAAAAAGAACGCATGCCTATACACAACAAATAGATTTCTCTTTTCGATTGTAGAAGTTGGAAATAATTTTTTCCCCATCGTTTGTAGTTGGATGCGAATTTCACACCTAGGACTGAATAGGAAAAAAATCAGTGTAGTAAATAAGTGTATACCGGATAAATTTCTTTAAACAAAACAAATAGTCTATACATGGGCAATGAACCTTTACTTGAAAAGAAAAGCAAGTAAAAATTCATTGTATATTGAAAGCCAGGTGTAGCATATATTGAGTACCAGGTGTAAACAGCAAGTGTAAACCTGGCCCTACCTAAAATACAACAGTGTAGACCAGTGATTCCCAAAGTGTGGTACGCGTACTACCAGGGGTACGGGAACAATTTAGCGGGGGTACGCGTTCTTATGCGAAATATCGATCAACTAACGAAAATTTCAAAAAATTTTATTTAAAAGCAAAGCCATGAAAATTTACGATTACGTATTTTTCTATTGGCTTTTTTTTTTGCAGAGTTAACAGTTAATAATTAGTGGTGTCAACAGCTAGTTGTGATTTTTAACTTCTGTGCAATTTTTTTATAGTAAAAAATACACTCCTTTTTTTATTAGTGGTACACGAAGTTACGAAAAATTTAGAAAGGGTACACAAGAGTCTTTAGTTTGGGAAACACTGGTGTAGACAATACTGGGCAATGGCCCTCATATTCCTACTAAGTTATTACTCTGGTTAATACGGTTGTTATTAGTAATAACCACGCTTTTCGAGTACATGTGATCAAAATGCAGAATTTCCAATACACAAAAATGATCAATCACTGAATTAATAAAGCAAAATTCTTGTTTTTTTTTTTTTTCTTTTTTTACAAAAGGGAATGACAAGAAAACGAATAGATAATGTCATTATTCAAATTTGAATAAAACATCAATTTTTAAGATATTTTTTTTATTTAATTAACTACTCACAAAGTAACATCACAAAATACTTCAAAATAATTATAAAACACCTACAGTAACAAGGTTGAGCAAAACAAAAGAAAAACATTTAGAGTATTAAGTTACTTTAAAAACACAGTTATTTTAGAATTTTGCCAATCATTTTGCCAATCATTTGTAAATAAATAAATAAATGGAACAGTTTTCTTTCTTCTTATTTTTACATTTTTTATTGAATGTCTCATCATCTTATTTTAGGCACACCCTGAGAAGTTAAACTGCATGCGAAAGAACTGATATAACTGTTAAGATATATCATAGAGATTAACAGTGTTATTTTAATGGCAGTTCTGGAATTTGGGTTATGAAATTCTTTTTAGCTGGTTGACTACATGTACTTTCTGACCAAACGCAGAAGATTTTCAGAGATCATTTAAGTTTGAATAACGTCAACTACTTAAAATTTTCAAAAAGAATGTTTGTGTGTTACTCGATTCTGACACAACTTATCACTGAAATAATGCATCACCTGCTCAACCGCTTATTATAGCCAGTTCAAGTGACATGTACTCAATTTCATTTTTTATGGATTAATCAATACCATTATTTATTTTATGTTCTCTTGATTGCATTAAAGTTTCCAGCTTCTACAGTCCATAAGTCTGGGTCGTTACGTCAATAACCATGCGTCATTACTAAAAAAATGAACTGATTATATACTATTCCATATGGTCCATCGTGCAAAAGCAATCACAAATTTTGTCAATGCTGTAGCATATTGTAAATCACTTAAGTAATCAAATATGTAGTAAATAACGTTAATAACTATGCGTCATTACTAAAGAAATGATCTGATTAAATACTATTCCATATGGTCCAACTTGGCATAGTGCAAAAGCAATGATAAGTTCCTCAACGCTGTAGCATATTGTGAATTACTTTAGTAATCAAATATCTGGACAATTCCATTTGGTGACAGAGTGTAAAAATGTTATTTCTAAAGCATATTTGGAAAAACAAAAATTTTATATTTGATTGAAAGATATAGCAGGTGATTTGGACGAGAGTTCACTTTTCTTGGGAATCCTTCAGATTTTTTTTAAAATGTCACTTTACAGAGGAAAGGACTGCCTATTATAGGTTTTTCCATCCAACGAATAGATATAAGATATAGGCCTGGTCTCAAAACCTGATAAGTTACTTCATAAATGTCCTTGTGCTTGTATTTAACACTGACGAAACTCACATCATGCTTGCCGAAACCCTGTACACTTGCAGACAAATTTCCATTACCTGCTCCTTTCGTCAAGACCTGAAAAGAAAATTCTTATGAGACATTTCTGAACCAGTGCTTAGTAAAAATGCAGTATTTTTTAACAATAATTTAAATTGAAAATTATTAATGAATAAAATTCAGATTAGATTAAAATATGCCCATTTTTTTCGATAACTTTGCCTTGAATCTCCGATGAATCATTTCAAACAAATATGGACATTTCGCTTTAACTTCAGAGGCATAGGCGATTTAAAATATTTACCCAGAATGGATGAGCGAACATTTATCGGTCCCACAGTGGACATATCGTAAGACATGGTTCCTAGTAGATAAAAGTCAAACCTCGTTGGTAGCGATCAGTGGCCACTTTATCAGCCTATGCAAGGATCGAAAATGCGTGGTATCGACTCTCTTTATACTGTTTTACAGCAAAGTGCTCCCAATGGGGAAGGAGCCATCCCCTTACAGAATGTTTAAATTGTGATGTCATGCATTCGGACTGTCCTCAGGATCGTCACAAATATCCCATTAGAGCCGAGATGGCTCAGGGGATAGAGCGTTCGCCTTCCAATGAGGTGAACCGGGTTCGAAACCAGCGATGGCTGGTCGATACGAATTCCGCATCCGGCTTGCACCAACCACAGTGAAATATCCTCAGCGGTAGACGGATCATGGGTTAGAGTCCCTTTGCAGCCAGGCTAACCATGGGAGGTTCTCGTGGTCTTCCTATCCATGTAACGTAAATTTGGGTTAGTTCCATCAAAAAGTTCTCCACGAAGGCAATTTTCTCCCAATACTTGATCCAGGAGTTCCCTTGTCTTCCGGATTGGGTTTAAAATTACAAGGCTACGGAGTTGAACATTAGTAGTCATAAACCAAAAAATTGAGTCGGCTGTTCAACGACGGTTATTAAAAAACAAAAAAAAATTTAAAAATATCCCATTAGCTCTAATATGACGTAAATAAAATAGTATTACAACTACAAACATTTATCGGCAATTTTTAGTCATCACATATGCAAGCTATATCAAGAGAGAGTTTCCCAAACAGTGTGTGCAGTTTTCAATAATTTTTGCTCAGTCATCGATAAGTAAGATATAGGTTAGACGTTTACTTTCTCATCTGGGAACACAAGTTTTTTTTTTGTTGATAATAACGGGTCCCTTAGTTCCCGTCAGGTAGAAATTGAAGAGATTCATTAATTCATTTAAAGTAGCCATTGTTCATTCCTGGATGTCAGTTACAAAGAAACAGCATCCTCCCACGTGACACGGCTACAGTACATTTATAGCATGAGCTGGGAGACGGAGGGGGGGAATTAATATAAAACAGGGCACTCTTAAATGGAAAATAAGATTTAAAAAAAAACATTAATATTTTGCAAACGCTAAAAAGGTTTGAGGGAAGGGGTAGGGGCCCAGTTGTTAGGGTGCGTAATTGTGGTAGAAAAGGTCCACGATTCAAATCTGAGGTCTGACATCATATTTTTTTTAAAAAAAATTTTATAATTAAAAACTTATTTTAATCCAGTGCGTGCATTTTGGTTTTATGTTGTTATTTGATTAGCAAATTAAAGAGAAGTAAAAACAGCAATTTTCGACCAATAAATAATGGAAAACTAAAAATTAAGATAATTTAAATAATAAAAGTACCAGTTCAACAATTAGTCTATAACAAGAAAGCGCTCCGCCCGGCGTAAAAATATATTTCCGGTCATGGTTTATTATGCGATTATTCTTGTGATGCTACCACCACTTCAAATTTGTAACCGCTATACTGTATCACTCGGTATATAGTTATATAAATTTTCAACTTAGCTTTTATCCTTTCAAAACTAATTTCTACGATTTAATTAAAACATTACTCTATTTGGTTCATACTAAGTATTTGTAATCACCATATATATCTTTCCATCGAAGTCTTTCGAATCACTACAGAAAAAGGAAGTATTTAAAACATCGAACTCTTAGACTGACCGATGAAACTTTAAGGTGCTTCTAGTAAGCACTTTTCAACTCCTGGTTTTCACAAGTTTTTACATTTTAATACTACATTTGTCAGTACTGAATCGTCAGATTTCAGTGGACAAGAATTCTTATGATATAAATTAAAGGTGGTGTTTATGAGACACCTTGATTATTAAAATGCTTTGAAATTACTCCGATAACCCCAAACAAAATAACTAGAGCGATGTACTAGTTTCATGAAAATGAGAAGCACTGGATATATTAAATATACCATTATTAACCAAAATCTTCAGTCAGAACCTTACCTGGAAGCGATTTTTAACAGCTACATAGCCGTAGTAAGTACCTATACCAAACACTTTACACTCAGAAGGGCAAATTTCGACGGATTGAAACTGATTCTTCAGAATTTCTGAATCAATGAACTGGCAGTATTCTTTATGCTTAGAAGCATTTGCTGACTTTAAACTTTTCATGATGTTCAGATCTCCCCAGTGAGTGAGCAGCGAATTTCCGGGAATTTCATCGTCTATATATTCATCTTCAGTAGACACAAAGGGATCCGATGAATACAGTCCATCATCTATAGATGATTCTAAGTAATCACCTGAAGAGGACATGTTATCTGTACTTGACACACGGTTTAGTTTATTGAGGACATTTAATGGATTTTGAGCAAAGAGTAAACTATCTCGAAGCATAGGATCTAGTAAGACAGGATCGCTGAAGCTTCGCTTCATTTTATAACTGTTTTTACGCTCTATAGGAAATTTAATTTCTTGGTGCAAGCTGATGTCTTCGTCATTTGGCGCCGTATTGTTTTTCGTATCGTTGATAGTACCATCTCCAGGCCAGAAAAAGTCACTTGTTTCACTTTCTCCTTTTAAAACTAAAAGTAAATTTCAGGATGTTATTTATTTATACAAAAAAAGATTATGTGATCAATAAAATTTAAGTAATATAAAAGTGATGAGTCATGAGATAGGCAAGTTTAAAACAAAATGCATACAATTCAAAATATAGATCAAAAGAACCTCGGACTGGCTATAGACATGAACTTGCGATCTCTCCTTGAGGCCCCAGCTATTGTGTTAGGCCCTCCTTGAAAGTAGGGTCCTTGGACCCCATGTTAAATTAAATTGAAAAGCAATTCTATTGCAATTCGTTTTATTTTTATCATTATGAATGAAACATTATAACAGAATTTTGTAAAGTGAATCAGATAAGTGACAAGAAAACATCGTACCATTTAAATTGCTATCGGCAACAATACTCAGGATAGTGCAAATGCAATGACCATGTGGTTTAACAAAAAAAAGGTTGTGGACAGTGAGATTATTTACTTATATTTCTTGTTTGATCTTTGTTTGTAAAAGCATTTGAAATTTTAACTGATTTTTTTCTTCTCTGAATAATAATAAATTTTACTTTTGGCTGCGTAGAGCAATGTCATCAATAAATAACGCTGGTACATTACATGTTTTTTATACAAAAAGTTTTTCATAAAAACCGCATTTTCTACATATAGGATCTCTATATTTTATATTTACATCAAGATTAAGAAAGATATAATTTTTTCTTTGTTATTTCGGTTGTTAAAGTCAAACAGTAATAAGAAAATCGAGTTTTTGTGACTCTTCTCTAAAATTCTTCGAAGAATCAAAATTTACTTAAACCCCTCAACAAAATTAAAATTGCTGGATCGCTCAATAAGAAATAGGCATTAACTTGCAGATAAAGATGTAAGGCAGAAAATTAGTGTATGTAATATTTCATTTTATTTTATTTATTTTTTTATGTTATATTGTATTTTATATATTCTTTTATATTTTACTTTATATTTACTTTATGTTATTTTAAATTTTACTTTATATTTTATTTCATACTTTTTTATATTTATTTTATATTTATTTTATATTCTATTTTATATTTTTTTATATTTTATTTTATATTTTACTTTAAACTTTCTTTTAACTTTACGTTTTATTTTTAAAATAAAATTATTTTATATTTTTTAATGAGCCTAAATTGAACCGATTCCAAAGACATCGTGATCCACGAGAATAATACTTTAAATATAAAAAGGTGTTCCGTAATCACTGCCTTTATTAATAGCTTTTTTTATATTCGACATTTTCATATTAGCCTTAATTCGATAGGTGTTTAGAATTTTTGTCAAAAATAAAGTTAAAAAAACTAGACGCATTAGGGGTTGTAAATTAATATTTATGAAGGTAAGAAACAAAAGCTCAGTGGAATCATTAGTGAGGATGGCGGAATGAAAAGTATCAAAGCCAGCTTGATTGACAAATGGAACTTGGAGATGTTTCTAATAATTAGTTTTCAGTACCTATCTGTTTCTTCTGTCAATCAAATAGGTTTTGATGTTTTTGGTCTCACTTTCCTCAATTGTGATTCGTTATATTTCAATAAGTAAGTTTAGGTTTTGATAAGTTTTAGTATTTTAATCACTAAATGTAAATTTCTTTTTTTAGCTTTAATTTCTGACAACGATTCAAAAACTTTAAGTTGAGGGAGATTTTAAGAAACGCTCCGTACATTATGAAGTAGATTTAAAATTAGGCCTACTCTTTTACTTTTATAGAAAGGTGTCACAAATTTTATATATACTTTTAAACTCTCTCTTGGACTTCAACTACAAGGAATGAAAGTATAAATCAATAAATGAAGCATAAATAATGAGCAATTATAAAAATTATTTTCGGGTTTACCTGTATCATCAAATTCCAAATATTTTTCATTTGCTATAATGGATTCATCTTGAAAATGGTTTATTTCTGCATTTGTATCATCTCCAATGTTAACCTCCATTTGATCTTTTCGGCTCAGATTTTCCCAAAATGTCAACTTATCCTTCACATTCACTGTATCACTTGAAATACTACTTCGTGAAGAGCATTTGGATTTAATTTTTTGAGAATCTCGCATCATTGCTCGTTCTAATTTTTTTATTTTATTTTTAATTAAACTACCTTTACTTTTCTCCGTGGAAGGATTGAACTGTTTAAAATTATATTGCCCCAAAGATACCAAATTGTGCTCCTTAATTTGATACTCAGTGGAATCTGATACTTCTTTGAATTTTATCATCGGACTGTCAAATTCAAATGCAGACGAAGTCAAATTGTTCGATGAATCATAATTCAGACGTAAGGTAGAATTGTTGTATAAGTAATTCTGATCTGAACTTTCATATGAATTCGTAAATGTCGTCATTTTCGAAGATAATGGTATTGTGTTGTTCTTAATTCTGTTTGTTTTAATATTTGTCTCACTGTTATTACTAGATTGCACAAATTCTGGAGGCTCAGTGTGATCGTCAGACGAATGAGGGTAGTAATAAAAAGAATATTTTCCAGGTGATTCAAAAAATTTAAGCTTCGAATTCTTAAACTCTTGATTTTTTTTCTGCAGGCTTACAGAATCATTTTTATTCTCAATCTCAGAATTTAAGCGTATTTTCATGTTTTCAGAAATTCCAGAATCATCTTTAATAGTGAAATTCGAACATTCTGAATTTTTCTCTTTTGAGTAATAAGAGTTATTCTTATTTATTTTTTGATTACGAACTATGAGTTTTTTGTTTAAGGTTTCTAATTTTCTGCAAGATTTGCAATATTTTCTACCTTCAAAACCACTCTGATTACGTTTTTTCATTCGAAGTGGTGAAAGAACATTTGTAGAACATTTGGTCAAAGACAATTTCCAATTATCTGGTTTATCGTTTGTGGAAGATGAAAACTGAAAATACTCTTTGGAAGCATTCTTTTCATTAAACACTGATTCAGAAAATGGTACATGACATGAGTTCGGAAGTTTTTCTACCAATACAGTAAAATTTCCTTCAAGATTATCGAATTTGTTTTTGTCACCCAGATCATTATAAATCTTAACAATCTCTTTTTTATCATCGAAATAAGTTTTCGAAGAAATTTTATTTCCATTTAGATCTTGAAAATTATCAGGCTTATTGGAAGAACCATTTGAAGTAGTAATATTATGATGATTATCACCGAACGATATTGCATTGATTTTAAGCTCGTTTTCAATACTCTCAAAGATATCTGGGTTGTATTGCATTTCATTTTCCGCTGCTGACCTGTCAGAAAATTTACTTGAACAAGTCAAGTCATTCTGCGGCAGCTCCTGACGGCTTACTGCATTCAAATCATTACGCAAATCTTCTTTGTCTTCTTCTGTTGGTAAAGATTGAAGCACATTTTTTTGAACATTGTTAATTGCATCTAAGGACATATTAGTTACTTCTTTTGTGTTATCATTCAGCATCACTGCTTGATTTCCACCTGACGCCTGTTCAGACATTTGAAAGTCTTCATTTATATACGCAAACACTTCTTCATCTTGATCCATATTCTCTGGAAGCCTGGGCGAATAAACATTGATGGAATCTTCTGAAACGGTCTCGAGTTTTGTTTGTCTAATAAAATCCTCACTTTCAAAAGAATTACTTCGCCTCAAAGGCAATCTTGGGTTGGTATTGATAGTTAAAGATCGCGATCGACCTTGTAATTTCATATTTTGAGCCTCCAATTCTTGAAGTGGAATACAAAATTGTCGTATGGCACTTATTTTCCGTTCTGCATCCCCTGCAAAACCCCAGCTGTTTCTTCTACTTTTCGAAGGATCAGTCTGAATCTCATAATCCATTTTCAAAAGAGCAGCTGCAAGATGATCAATATCATTGCTGTCAACTATAATATCTTTGTCTTTAATCTTCACGATATGTCTGAGTACGCGGCGCTTTATCACTTTACCGATTCTTTCTATTTTATGAACGGGTTTTTGAATTGTAACAGTTCCATTTTTGCGTTCCTTGTTAGCATTGTCGTCATTATTATCCTGAAAACTCAAACTTGGTTTCAATTGCTGCGTCGTATAAATACCCTCGACTTCGATTGTTGGTTCGACTTTGACAACATACGGACTGTCTGATGCATGCTGGCCATACCATAAAATGGAGATTACATGTTGACCCTGAACTAATGGTATATAAGTTACGCTTATTTTATCTAAAGAGATATCGTATTCTAAAGGTATGAGATTTTTTTCTGAGTCATCAGTTTTATTCGCCTCCTTTGGGTAATTGTTTTTTTCTGAGTACGAATGTGATCGGTAAAAAGGTGGTTTACTTTGTTCCAATAGAGTTGTTGAAATTTTCTTCTTGGGAGATCGCTTTGTAATTCTTTCTCGACATACTGTATGGCACGGTCCCTTGATCTCAATTACTAAGCTTATGTCAGACATGTTAGAGCTAAGGACAACGAAGTCAGCAGGACGGCCAACGAAAGCAACCATTAACCCAGTTCCTTTACAGACAGAGTTATTCAAATCGATACAAGAATATTGCGTTTCATTTTCTGTTTCCACTTCTTCCACTTGAATCGATGGTACTTGCTTGTTTTCTGTTTCTTTTTTCAACTGAGATAGAATCTCTAGTAACTTAAGATGTGATCCTTCAACGCATACCACCAACTGTTCCACCGTTGCAGTCTAAAGAAAACAAATTAGCGGTCAATTTTTTGGAAAGTAGTTAAATAAATAAATAAAACGGTTGACTTTAAAAAAAAAATACTTTATGCTATTCTGTTTTGAAGTTCGTTAGTGGCTTGTGAGCTGCTCTGCCACAATGTGACACATTAGTCTTTAAGTCAGTGGCTCTCAATCCACAGACCCACAACACAACTGAGCTACGGGAAACGTATTATTGGGCCGTGATTAAGCCCAGTGATTTCAGAGAGTTATTCGAGGCTAGAACTATCCAGTTTCAATCTAGACCAGGGGTTTCCAACTTACATGAGGCTGGGGGCCACAATTAAAAACACCAGTCAAATGGCGGGCCGCAACTTCATCAAAATTTTATTTAGGACTCTTTTTATGCTTGAAGGAACATTAAATATTACTGTCAGATTTTTATCAAGTTGTACAAAACGAAAGTATTGAATTGCAGATTAAAATAAGAAGTAGATTTTTACTTGAGAAATAAATTTTTTTGCACCGTTGTTATGTTAAATTTCATAGAAACGAAGAAATTAGTTTTTTTTTAAACGAAAGAAAAATATTTGAAACCCATCATACGGATTTTTTACGAAAATTGCCCCCCCCCCAAAAAAAAAAGAACAACCAATATATTAGTTCGCGGGCCACCAATTGGTAACCACTGATCTAGACTGATATACTGACTCTCTTGTGTTGGACCAACAATGCAATAAATTCTAATATGGTCTTATAACTTTAAAAACTTGTTTTTTTCTTCTTTTTCTTCCCTGATTCGACAGCTAGAATAAAGCTATTTTCTTTTTAAGAGATAGCTTTTAATTATTCCTGTATACTATATTTTGTCGTTAGTGGGTCGTAATTTGTGACTTACACAAGTAAGGAGGCTAGGAACTGTTGCCTGTTGTTCTTCTAAACTATTCCGATTTTCAAAATTAGGTTGTTCAGATTACATAATATTTTATTTTATAACCGTAGTTGAACAGCCGACCTAATTTTGGGTTTACTACGACTAATGTTCTACTCCGTAGCCTTGTAATTTTGAACCCAATCCAGAAGACGAGGGAACTCCTGGATCAAAAAATTTTGGGAGAAATTTGCCTTCGTGGGGGACTTTTTGTGAGGGATCTAACCCGCATTTGTGTTACATGGAGAATAAGATCACGAGGACCTCCCACGGTTAGCCTGACGGCGAGGGGACTCTAACCCATGATGCGTCTACCACTGAGGACATTTCGCGTCGGCACTGTGGTCGGTGCAAGCCAGATGCGGAATTCGTATCGACTGGGATTCGAACCCAGTTCGCCTCATTGAAAGGCGAACGCTCTATCCCCTGAGCCATCGCGGCTAGAAGATTACATTATAATAGTAAAATATTGAATGTTTAGTTGATTAAAAATTATGGAAATATAGAAGTATATAAATTCAAGGTGTTCCGTAATGTCCGCACTTAATATATATGTTAAGGATTTCCTAGTCAAAACTGAAGAAAAATATATTTACCCTAGGAATCACAAATTAACATTTAAGCATTTTAATTAACAAAGCATTTTAATTAACAAATTAACATTTAAGCATCAAAATATGTCTGATTGCTGGATTAAACTTGTAAGCGATTCGGCAATTAAACAGGTTTTTATTAGAGTGCCTGTATTGAAAAGAGTGATGACAATATCCAAGAGCGCATGCGCTGCCGTCAGATTTTTGTCCAAGGGGGTTGCCAGATGATACACCGAAATTGGCGCCATTCGCTCATTTGGTGTTATTCTGAAGGATCTGTTAATCTAAGAGTATATACTAAAGTATCAATAATATAAACTTTAAGATTGGAAAGCACATGATATTACAGATTTTTTAAGAAACATTGTCTAGCATCTAAAATTGTTATAAAATTAACGTCAATGAAAAAAAAAAAGACTTATGAAAAGACTTCAGCTTTTAATAAATGCATTAAATAAAATATAAAAATTAATAATGATTATGCCATTTATTTCAGAAATAATAATTAATAATACAAATTATATAATTTATTATTATTTATTACTTTTTCAGGAAAAAATTATCGCATATTCACCTGAAAAGGTATTGTCTATTTCAACAAATTGTAAACAAAAATTTCCATAATTAGTTGAAATTTAAAACAAACTAGCATTTTATACAGTTGGTAACGAAAAGTAAACAAATGCTACTTTGTAACGCGCATTGTAACATCGTAACGCGAACATTGTAACGCGCCAACATTTCAAAGTAATATCGCCAAACTCTGCACTTCTGAAGTTTTGATAAAAAGATGCTCAAATCTTTAAATTTATAAGTAATTTAGATAGAAATTATGTGCATTAAAAGTAAATACATTTATTCTTATCTAACCATTAGTTATTTCATCACCTTGTTCTCTTTACAATGAGATAAACATAACTTTATATGCACGCAAGTAAGTGATGATAAGGATAAATTCTAATAACTAACAACTATCCAAATTTTCAGCCATAATTTTAACATTTACTGTAACTGTGAAGTTTCTTATTGAAAAAAAGTAAGTAATGAACTTATTACATGTATTTATCAATACAGAACATAATTTTTTTGAGTCAGATAATTTTCACTCCGTGTAATTCCAATGGCGAATTTTCCACTCTCGCCTCCGGCGGTAAAGTTTTTCTTTCCACCAATCAGGAATCGTTTCTCCCTTGTCCACTCCCTTTTACTCTAGGCTCTCTAGTTTTTATGTATTTCAGTCTCACCCTCCTCATAATGATTCGTCGGATTTCAATGGCGTTTTTAGCTTTTTTCCCGTTTAAACATTAATTTAAAGCCCTAATGTGGGTGCTTTTCATTTCATTTTTTGCATGGATTTCACAAATATTTATTGTACGTAACAAGTAACGGCCATAATGGAGAGAAGTGAGATAGCTTTAATTTTTTTATCGGCTACACATCAACACCAACAGACTTTTAATTGACTTCATATTAAACTAATATTAACCATTCTAAAAAACATGCACATTTAAAATTTCTCTCCTTTACAACACATCTCTTTACTTCAATAAAATTTACTGTTTTGACGTAACGGATTTAATTATGGGTGTAATACTTAATCATCTACGTCAAAAATAACAAATTTTAATACACAAAATATCAAAAGGATACTTAATACTTGTTACGAAACTATGTTAACTAAGAAAATTTACTTTGAAAAACTATGTTAAGAATTACTTATTTAAAAATAATGATTCAAAAGATAATTTTTTTTTTTTTACGAAACGTATGATAGTATTTAAGATAATCATAATCTTAATTATGTACGAACATTTTGGCTAATTTTAATTAAAAATATTTAATTACAGTATTTAAAATATCAAAATGAATCTTTTTATTTTAAAATTAAATTAAGTGCGATATGAAAAACGATTCATCAAATGATCTGAAATTTCTTTTTTTTAGCACGTGTTTTTCTTTTAAGAAAATTGAAAGAAAAACTCATTATTTTAAGATAGTCGAGATCCGATTTAAGCAGGACATTAAATTTCTTTTCCCAGGCCATATGACTATACTTTAAAACACGATGATGATTCACGTTAATACAGTATTCTGGAATAAAAGATGGAAGATTCTCAAACTAAAGTTTTGCTTATCTAAGATCTCTTAAATTTATACCCTAATTATCTATAAAAACTCCTATGCTGAAGTTCTGAATATCTGAGACACTATATTGCTAATTTTTGTAAAAATGACCAGTTTTAATATTGGTGTCTATTCCACAACACGTATCTTTTGGAGCCAAGTTTCATCAACTTTTAAGAAGTTAATCGCTTGACGGTTAATAATCGTTGATTTTTCGTTTGATTCAATTCATAATTTTTTACGTGAATTAATATTTTAAATATTATTGTACTATTAATTAAACTACAATGAAAAAAGTTAAAATCTTATTAAAGTATAATAACATACAATTCACATTTCCTACGAACTTAGGGAACATTTCAACTGAATGGGGTTTGATCGTTCTATTTTAAATTCACCAATCAAATTCGCAGTTTATAAATGTATATTTTAGACGAATTTTTATTTTGATGAAAAAGTGACAAAAAAATACTGTAGGCGCACCGTTGGAAAGTATTTTGTATTAAAATAAAAACTTAGTTTTCAAAACATTTGAATTCTACGCGAAATCGTTTGCTTATAACAGAAGGAGAAGGAAAGAATCATCAACTCGTCTCTTAAGGCGAAAACTGATTAAACTTTTCAGTTTATTTTCGAACAACATCGTCAGAACAGTTTGGAGAGAGCTCCAAAAGTCTCATGGAACTAAAATGGTAAACAAAACTAATCATAGAACTAAAATGGTAAACAAAACTAATCATAGAACTAAAATGGTATATACCATACTCACCGGAGAGATACCGAACTTTCTTTCTAGAACGTCGAATGCATGATACATGTTGCGAAGGGCATAGTTGTGATCCAAAGTTTCAGCATCCGGTATGCAGCCTGGTTGCAGCTTGTTCAATAAGACGCAAAGAAGCTTTCCATCTCTCCAACTGATTGAAAAATTATCCGGGACATGCGGAAGATAGTTCTTCAGGAATTGACGGATATCTTGAACCTCGTCATTCCATATCAATAATCCTAACAATCAAAAATAATGCTATTCACCATTTCGTTATCAAAAAACATTTTTATTCCATATAAGAAGTAGATAAGGGAGAGGAAGACTAGTGTGAACAGATGGGATTTTTCTGTTATTTATCACTTTAAACTACTCCGCCAATTTGGGCATACTGAAAGAACTGTCATATACTTTCATATGGTGTGTGTGATCATACGGTGTGTATAAGTGAAACAGAAAATTCTTAATTTGCTTTTTAGTTGCCCTTTTAAACTGTTTTTACTGAAAGTTGCTAATAATAAGAGATGTCAATTTGCCGTTTGTTAATTTACCGGTATTGATCAGCTTTAACTAAGAAATTACTCCACGGAATTCATTAATTGTGGGGTTACTTTGGATATATCAGTATTAAACTTTCTTTGATAATAAGGATAGTTAATTACGAACAAATCACTTGTTAGGGATTTAATGAACTAAATTAGATAAATTTTGTAAAGTAATTAATTTATTTTGCACACTTTATTTATTAAAGTTGATTTTAATACTCGTGCAAAATGAAACGTATAGGAAAAACTAACGAATTTTAACACATTTTTAATTTTTTTCCATTCATGTAATTTTATAATTTTTTAAAGCTGTTCCAAAATTTGCTCCTCCGAAATTCTATTAACACTTATTAATGTATCCAAATAGAGGAAAATCGGCAATTTCAACGAAAAATGCGATTTCTTTTAAATTATTATTATCTATATTTAAAATTAAATTCATTAACTTTTCAAAACCGGCAATAATTTTTAAAATTTTGATCTCCGATTTTTAAAAATGAAGTTATAGCTGTTTTTCGTATGGTGACAGGCGAAACCGAAAGTTAAACCGGCTTTTAAGCTTAAATTTGATTTTATTTGAAAAAAATATTTTATTTTAAATTTATAATTTTAGGATGCCTGTTTACCAAACAAGAAATTAAAATTTCAATTGAGTTTTTTTTTAAAAATTATGTTTAAACTATTCCGATACCTCAAGACTTAGCCATTTAATAATAATTCGCGAAACTACTTTATGAAATAAAAACCAAGTTCGACTTANTGTGTTTTTTTCATATTATACCCAATTGAGTTTTTTTTTTTTTTTAATTATGTTTAAACTATTCCGATACCTCAAGACTTAGCCATTTAATAATAATTCGCGAAACTACTTTATGAAATAAAAACCAAGTTCGACTTAACAAAAGAATTTTTTTCCAAATAAACATTAAAAGTATGTTTCTAATATAGTAACCTTAAAACAGTTTTTTCTTTTGTATTTGGAATGTATTTCAATTGTTAAATGTGTAAGGTAATATTCGTCTGGCTTTAACATTAATTAAAACAAACATAGTTTTTTTTAAGAATAAAATAAGTTTCATTTTAATATATCTTCTAATTTTAATTTAATTTGTAATAATAGATGGAATAATTAGTTTCATAATTTGTCCACACAACCCCCCCCCCTATATTATGGACCTAGTATAAATAATAGAAATAATACGAATAATAAAATGAAATAAAACCATAAATAATAAAATAAAATTAAACCATAAATAAAAGAAATATATTTCTTTATTGTTGAATGCTGATATTCTCTTGAATTTGGAAAATGCTACTGCAACTATTGGTAATTCATATCGCATATAATTAATTATTGTCATTAGAAAAATATTTATTTATACTCTGCAGTTTGCTTAAAAAATTTCCTAAAAAAAATCTCAACAAAACAAAACTAAACAAAATGCAAGCAAAATGTAAAATATGTTGATTTGATATAAATATAACTTCTGGTTTTAAAAATCATGTCTGGTAAAAATACAATAAATCCCAATTCTTATAACTCCTTGGCGGAATTCTTAAGTTCCTCGTAACAACTTTTGGGAACCGCTGTTCTGGTGCGCCAAACAGATATGTTTACTTCAAAATAGCATATTTATTAAAAAAGAAACTGATAGATGCCTTCTCCTTGTACTACATAATTTAAGGAAAGAAATACGAATTACTCACTTGTACTCTCCCAAACTCCAAGCAACAGAAAATGGATTGTTGTAATGATTTGTAGAGTAGCATCCACTATCGAGTGCCACATAACAACCAAATCTGATTTTCGACGTTTTTTCTGGGAGACAGATTTTAGTTTCACTGCAAATACAATTTACATCAATTTTAATAAGGCGCACATAAATGATTATTAATTTTTAGCTCGCAAACAATAAAGTCATAATTTTAGAGAAAAAAAAAGCATTACTGTTATGGATTTTACCTCTGTTTCTTTTAAATGTTTTTTATTAGTAATAAATTGTCCTTTTTTTTATTCTTTCTTTTTCTTTTTTCAACAGCATTTTTTATGTCTGAGAATCAACTATGTTTATTTTCGAGGCATAGTAAAAAAATAATAATAATAAGTAAATAAATAAATAAATAAAGTGTCGATTGAAGAAATAAAGTGTGACATTCAGATTCAAATAATAATAATCTTTCTTAACTTCTTGTTAATAGGCGATAGTTTTATTCGGCCAAACTTGTGACCCACCAACAAAAACGACAAATGTTGAACTACTGGGTGATCAGTAATCACCAACCTTAATATATGTTTCTAGAATAGCTGTAATTAAAAATAAAAAAACTACTCACATTTAGAATCACAATATATATCAAGGTTAATTATCATTTAAGATTCTAGATACAAATATATCTTCTTTTAACTTTGTCAAATGTTAACCAAAACAGCATCAGTAGCTTTGAAAAAATGTTTTAGAAAATGGAAATTGTGAGACTAAATGGAAACGTTGAAAAAGAATTAAGTTTCACAAAATGTATTTTCATGAATAAAATGAAGTAAAAAATATTCTAAAATATTAGCTAATGACTTAATAAATAAGGAATTGGTTTTCATATATTAGAGGTTAGTATTGCATTTATTAACAGGGAAGATAGGATAATTCGAATATGACTTCGGGACCCCCTTAATAGTTAGAAATTTTGAAAAAGTCAGATATTTAAAATTCGATTTCTCAGGAATCATTCAACCGATTTTTATCAAATATTGCATTTAGCAATATTAGAAATTATGTAAAAATGTATATACCTTGCAATTCAAAACTTTTTCGACTTCGTAACTTAAAATATCATTTGTACTAACTAATTAGTATATTTGAGATCGACCCTTCGAACCAATGCTCGAAAAAACTCAGAAATTTTACCCGTCCCCGTGGACGGCTGGTCCAACAATGTACCCGTCCTCCTTTGACACTAACCCATCTCTTCTAAATAAATAAAAATATTATTTTTTCTTATTTATTACAAACATTTATATAAATTACGCAATGAATTAGTAGCTACTAGGATTACATTATACAGTAACAAAAAATATACTAAGTTACTAATAGTAAAACCTGGTATTTCTTTTATGAAATAATTTATTTATTTCATGAAATAATTTAAATGACAAGGGTCAAGTTATCTGGAATGTCAATTTATCCGAGGNCTAGAATTTCTTTTATGAAATAATTTAAATGACAAAGGTCAAGTTATCTGGAATGTCAATTAATCCGAGGGTACTGCGTTTCTTAAATGAATCAAATATGACGTTTGCCAGTTCCACAATCAAGCCTATGATTTACAGAGGTTTCTGCACAGAGATCTGAAAGGGGTTTTCCATCTAGGTGGATGTTCATAAATGCGTTTAACGCTTACGTAATGTTTTTTTTTTTTTTTTTTTTTTTTTTTTTTTTTTTTTTTTTNAATGTTTTTTTTTGTAGGTTCATTGCTGAAAAGCACCTTTCAACTGCTGTAGTACTCCCACTGCTGTAGACTCTTGTAAGATAACAAAAATTGGAAGTGTATCACGAAATGGGAAAATGGCCGTCCACGCAGACGTCTGATTCGAGAAATTCGTTGTCTGCGGGAAATTTTTGACCGCCGAGGACGGGCGGTTTTTCGAGCCCTGCTTCGAACCAAAAATATTGAACACCAGAAGTGAAATCCGAGCATGGTGATTCCTTTTTTATATTTTTTTTATTTGTTTATTTTAATTCATTTATTTTTGTTTGCTCACTAATATTTGTTATAATAATAATGAACATCAATAATTATTATATTTTAATCTTAATTTTAAAACGATTGTTCCATATTTGGGACCCTATTAAAATATCCCAACCCCCACGATTTTTTTTTCTTTATTACGTTCATCTAAATTACGAATTACGTTCGTCTAAAAGCTGACGCAAGAATAAAAGAAATCAGGACTATTTTTTTCTTCCTTCCGTATCTTAATGCATTGTTCGCTATATCACATTAAAGGTTGAATACACAGCAAATAGAAGAGACTGGATTATCTTGTCAATCAATTCCGACATTTAATCGTCATTCCTATGTATCGAGAACACAACTATCTTGTCTCTGTTCCCAAAATAATAACCTGCTTTCACTGATTTCAGCTTCTGATAGATAAGAAATAGTTAGCGATATTTATCTCATTTGTTTTCAAAATAAGACAGAGAATTATTTCTTTTAAATAATAATAATTCCTTTTTCTTCCTTTAAGGAATATTTCTTCATTTCAAACACCAGACACATGGAAACTAGGTCTTGGTAGACATTACTGAAAAAAATGTTAATAACGTTGTAGAAAAAAAGGTGGCACATTTTTAGAATACTAATATAAACAATATAGAACAAGTATTTTAAAAGATATGCAAATATCTTATAAAAATATCTATCAATGTATCTAATCAATGTATCTAATCAATCTGATCAATGTATCTAATCAATGTTGCAAGAATATCTTATAAGAGATATTCTTGATACATCTTGAGCCAATGTTATTACAACACAATAGTGGAACCGAAAATTTGACAATTTCCGTAACTAAGATACGGAAAAATTAAACACAACGGTAAAACTACATCGTTTAGATTGATACATAGAGTGATTTGTCATAACCTTTCTTATTGTGCATTCTTGAAAGAAAAGAAAAACTTTAATAATTATTCTTGCTTAATTTTCAAGTGAGGAAGAAAACAATAACAATCCCATAAAAATAACCAATCACTTTTGTGGAAGAAAAGAACAGATTGGAACCATCAAAAAGAAGTTTGTTCGTCCAGTAAGACTGAAAATCAATCGCACGTTTACCATTCATTTCGTAATAGCTGCCCAGGTTGTGTGGTGGGTTTAGTCTTTGTCTACCATTCCTTAGATCGGGGTCCGATTTCCTCTACTAAAGACTGAGCGTCTGATCGGACTGATCTTTCTCCCAAGAGTGTTTGAGATCTTTTCTAATGAAAAATCTTTGACTGTTGGGGGAGCCAGTAAAATCCCCGCACACTAGGACAATGGGGGGGGGGGACAATACCATTATCTGAATTGTTTTTGTCTCTAGAAATATTTTTGTATCAACATTTAGGAGGAGTGACAAATCGTTGTGAAAGGCCAATTAATGCAGCTCTGATAATCAATCATCCAACCAATAATTTTCTAAAAAAAAATAAAATATTTCAGATTATTCTAATTCCTCCCTTGCTGTCATTAACTTCAATAATGGTGAATCTAAGTTCGAAAAGATGTTTATGCCTTCTGATAATGCATATCAATTCACAATTTTTGATGTCCATCGTTTTTTTTACGGCATTTTTTTTAAGAATTCAAAAATAATACACTAAAGGCAGTTACCGAACAGGGTGGTTTGAGACTGCCAATTCAAATAATAAATAAATAAATAAATAAAATAAACTGTTTTTTAAATTGTAATATTGGGTTACAAATTCAAAGTACTACAAAGTTTCACGGAAATAGATCGTGATCAATTGTGTGGCACAAATCTGACAGCAACATTTAAAAATTAAAATCATTGAAATAATTTTCGGAAGAAAAAAATTTGAAGGAAATTTTTTTTTTAAACTTGTGTCTCTCACAAGGGAAACTAGGGAAGTGTGACTCGCCAATTTTGAAATAAACTAGTGGGATGTATGCCTTATGAGGAATAATTTTAGGGGGAAACATTCGTTTCGGCCCAGAGAAGGTCCTGTGAGAGATAAAAAATAATTCTAAGTACAGAAAAATCGGCATTTTATTACTTCAATGCAGACTATTAGTTATTGTAAATGTCTCATACTCCAATTAATTTTGCGGTACTTTTACGTACTATATAATGCATATTTATTGTCAAAATTGATTTCGAAAATTTTATATATCTATAGTTTTTCAGAAAAACCTGTAAGGTTAATTTAAAAAAGAATTTGACATCAAATTTTTTTTTTAAAAACTTTCCAAATTAATTGGAATGTGTAATTGTAAATCAATTAATAATTAATTAACAATTAATTCATAATTAATTAACAATTAGTTAATTTTCCGATTAATTTATTTATTAGCAAATTAATTAATTATCCAATTAATTACAAATTAATTGGATTAGGAGTCAATTACAATATCTAATAGTCTGCATTAAAGTAATAAAATACTGTTTTTTCTATACATTGAATAATTTTTTATCTCTCACAGGACCTTCTATGGGCCGAAACGAATGTTAATTAATTTATTAATTAGCAAATTGATTAATTATCCAATTAATTACAAATTAATTGCATTATTAGACAAATACAATAGCTAATAGTCTGCATTGAAGTAATAAAATACCGATTTTTCTATATATTGAATTATTTTTTATCTCTCACAGGACCTTCTATGGGCCGAAACGAATGTTGCCCCCTAAAATTATTCCTCATAAGGCATACATCCCACTAGTTTATTTCAAAATTGGCGAGTCACACTTCCCTAGTTTCCCTTGTAAGCCATACTAGTGAAGTGATAAAAAAAGTATATTTGCAAGGATATTACTATAAATTTACAATTGATGATTGTTTTTTTTATAAAGAAAGAGAAAAAGTACACGTCACGTATGAAAATTGGTATCTAAATTTTAAAAAGTGAAATGAATAATTTTGTAAAATAATTAGACACGCATGGAAATTGATATCAAAATTTTAAAAAGTGAAATGAATAATTTTGTAAAATAATTAGACAAGCATGGAAATTGGTATCAAAATTTTTAAAACTGAAATAAATAATCTTTTAAAATAATCAGACAGCTTACTGAGCCCATGATGATGATTATATTTATGCAGAAAACGATGAGTTATTTTCAAGGGCGACAAACGCCCGTCTGTTTACATTCGTTACTTCCTTCCATATGCAGCAGTTATGAATGACAAATGAAATCAGGTGCAAGCGAGATAATGATGATAATAACAGGGAAAAAGAGGGAAAATAAATCCGATTTTAAAAATTGTGAAACGCATTTCTATTGTAAGGAAAAAGAGATAATAGTTCCTGTTCTTCGCGAAAAAGACAATTCTGAGTGTAGTAAGTTCAAACACATCATGATTTTTACACTCGTGCGTGTATGATGTTTACATGGTGTCTAGTTCGATTCCTCAGAAANGGCCGAAACGAATGTTAATTAATTTATTAATTAGCAAATTAATTAATTATCCAATTAATTACAAATTAATTGCATTATGAGACAAATACAATAACTAATAGTCTGCATTGAAGTAATAAAAAATCGATTTTTCTATATATTGAATTATTTTTTATCTCTCACAGGACCTTCTATGGGCCGAAACGAATGTTGCCCCCTAAAATTATTCCTCATAAGGCATACATCCCACTAGTTTATTTCAAAATTAGCGAGTCACACTTCCCTAGTTTCCCTTGTCAGTTGCCCCTTAATTACACTACCATTTTAATTTTATTTTTAAAATTAGGCAATGTTAAACTAATTTCTTTTTAAATTTAGATACTCGTCTAAAATGTCGGGTAGATCACATGAACGAAAAAATAATATTTTTCTGTTTGACTTTGTTATGCATCACCTACAAAATATACATATTTGCTTCTTAAATAAATGAATTTATTAAACTTATACCAAATTATAACTGTTAATAAGTCTCATTTAAGATATTTGGCTCCTTTGCTTAATAAAATTTTAAGGTTATGCTGAAAAAATTTTATTACATTCCCCCATATTTTGATTGGTAATATATAAGAATAAGAAATTATAAGACAATCACCCCCTCTACTATATAAGTTGACCTCTAAAACAATGAATTGCAGGTAGTCAATTTGCACAGGTTTCATAAAATATGTGAATTTTAGAACAATTAATGAACTAAGAATATCTGTGTTTACTCATTGCATCTTTGGGACACAACAATGGTAGTCAGAATTTTCTTTTTGTTAACATCAAAGTATTTTGGGGGGAATAACTTATTACTATTCAGGTGACACAAATATAAAATTGCATATACGAATACAGTTCTTAAAAATCGACAGTTTAGTTTAATAGATGGATTTTGTGATACATTTGGTGCCGTTTTCTAATAAGTTGTTTTTATTTACCAAAAGGATTTAAATTCCTTTTCCGCTAAAACGATAAAATTTAAAAAGTGTAAACTGATTGTTATTTTGTCAATTTTGTTATTTAATTTGCTTTAGTTTATATATCCATGTAAATGCTTGAAAAATAAATTAAACTTTTAATTTATAAGAAAAAAAACTCATATTTACCTTTAAAACTAGGATTTTTGCTAGATGCCATTTCATGCTGCTTTTCGATACCAAATGGGCAGTATTAACTGTTTTTTCTTGCCGTGTTTTAAAACGAAGTTTAATAATTATCCCTGATTGATAGCAGACAAAACATGTAAAAACAATCGTTTCCGAGCTGCTCGGTAATATTTGAAGTTGTTGTTTTGCAATCTTCCCGAATGCATCTTAATGTGTCATTTTTAAAATCACATACTAACATGAACATAATAGCTTCTGCATTCATTCTGTCATTATCTTTTGCCTGTGCGACCAGATTTCTTATCTTTGGTGAAATATAAACTCAAAACGGCAGCTCAAAAAGTCATTCATAGACTAGATGAAACAAATAATTTTATCTCTGTTGATTATTTCATATGTTTGCGCCTATCTTAAATGTTCTTTTTTTTTTTTCGTTTAAAAAAAAGTCGCTTTTTGTAATTGTTCCAAAAGAGCACCGTAAGATTTTTTTTTCTTTAAAAAAAAAAAGAAGAGGAAATACGTAAATATGATTGATACCACTCCGTGCTCAATGCGCTAGTTCACCCGTCCCATGATACTACTTTCTAAGCTCATTTCGGATTGCTTCGCAATTCGAGTTGATACACTTAGTATGTACTTTATTGTTTACCATTAAGTATTTCAGTTTAGCTTTGCAAGCATTTTAGTACTGTTTGTAAAATGAAAATTTAAAAATATGCAGCATTGTCACTCTGAGAAACCTTTAATTTATAAACATTTCATATAAATATTTTATTCTACATTGCGATTTGATTGAAATTCTTTAAAATTACATTCTCTTGGAAATTAAATTCGGAGCATATAATTCGTAGAATTTCCTGACATACACAATTATTATTTTTAGTCTTTAGAGACACAACAGTTTTTAGTCGATTTATTTTAACGTACAAAACATAAATAACAACATATTCCTAAAATGTATAGCAACCAAAGAAAAGAATATTTCTGGCCGATCTCCGTTGATAAAAAATGTATCACTCCTGCGCAGAATATTAAGAATCATTGTTGTTGTTGTTGTTGTCGCAAGCTATTAAGACAATTGGTTCGATTGTTCTTGTTCTCCAGTGGCGTTCTCTATGGCCAAGAATTTGACTTCTGCCATAAAAATACATCACACACGTTTATAGGGCTGACCCATTCATACATCCATTCATTCATCAACATATCGTTATTTTTGACCTGAACCAGAGAACGATCAATCTCCAATTCAGTACCCTTTGAGGTATTGATTTGTTATGGGAACACGGAGGACTTTGTGACCCAATAAATTCAGCATGCACCAGCCACCATTTACAACACGGGGAATCTTCGGCAGGCTTGATTCGAACTCCCGTTCTCAGGAACGCGAGTCCAGCACCTTGCCAACCAGGCTATCCCGGCCAATTAAAATGAAAATATAGCAGCAAATTATTATAATATTTGAGTTAACCAATGAGCATAATTGGGTACTTTCAACTCGAAAAGAAGACCACAATGATACACAGACACGTGATCTATAACTTCGCTGCCAGCTGATCGTTTATAAACAAGATAGCGTGCTAAGTCGAGCTAAGTTTCTCCTCATAAGTTATAATGTTAATTAACGTGAAGTTAATCAAATACAACGCCGTATCGCCCAACGAATTTATTAAAATATAATTATTTCCTGTCTACGTCTTTTACTTAACTTTTTTGTTTGTTTTTGCATTTTATTGTAACTATGGTTATTTTTGTTTTGCGTACCTGGCAACTTCGACGCTGAGTAGTTTGTTTATGTTCTATATGCCTTCGTGCCTGTCTTTGTGTTAAGTAAAAAATCTATAGCGAAAGAATTTAAATATCTGTAAAAATATATAGATAGGTTGTCTACGGTAGGAACTCCCCCCGCCACAAAGGCCGTCTGCTGCTATGGAAACAAGAGGGTAGCTTCTCTTCACTCTAGGGCTAACACGATAGACCGAAGAAAAAGATTCCCCTTCTCTCTCTGACCCAAGCCAAAACCTGTCCTTAGGGGAGTTCTTACTTTAGACAAACTATAGAATGTGCCACGCAATAGAAAAGATACTTGATGGGGATGGCTTACTCGAAATAGAATGGAAAGAACATTTATTTTAAACAAATGTCACGCTTCAACAGCTAATCAAGATCGATATTCACACATTTACCCCACTTGCAGGCATCCAATTAGAACTAAAAGATAGAGCAGTTAGCTTATTCATATGATTTTTATCCTTCCAACAGGGAGTTAACTTCGCTCGCCCATAGGATTATTGCATTTTAGTCTACGGATCTATATATGCTGATACACTTATTGGAATGATGTTCTAAAAATATACGACATATACACACTGTCAAACCATTGATTTATAAACATTTCACTTAATTTATGTACATTATATCGATTATATCAATACACAATCATAAATTGATATATTTGGTGACACAACTCATAGTTTTCTCTTGAAAAAGTATACACATTAAGGGTCGCAAAGTAGTATTTAAGAGAGGTAAAAAAAAAAAAAAAATATTAATTGAAATATCTTGTGAGGAGAATTATAGGATGAAAAACATCAAAATCAGTGTGGTTTCCTGATAAAAATTAGAGGTGTTTCTAATAGCTTTTGTTCCTTCCGTAACTTCTATTTTTTGAATGCCTCTATGTTCTGTATTTCCTCTTTTGCTGCCCTCACATTCCCTCGCAACCAACAGGGATTTAATGTTTTCAATTGCGTATTCTCAATCGGGATTCATTAGATTTCGATAGAATTTATTTTTTCCTAGCTTAAATAATAATTTGCGACAGCTAATGTGCATATTTAACTCCTTTTTTACAAATTTAAAATAGAAATATATATTTAAGGTGGTGATTACGGAACACCCTGTATTTTTCTGATAATGAGGTGTTTCTCTAACTTCTTAGAAAATAAGTGTTTTAATTCAATGTAATTTACAAACTCTGTTGCCTTCCTTTTTGCTTATTTTCAATTCAGCAGAAATTTTTTGAACAAACTGATCTATCTGTAATCCATAAAACACTAATGGGTATGTATATCTTTGAAAAACCCAATGATATTCCTTTTTTGTGTTGTTTACAAAGAACTGTAATATCAAGCAAGTGAGCAATCCTGTAAATAAACGCTTAACACACATGCTTACAAATTCGTAAACAAAAATTCTTTTCTTGCATGGGCTAAGGAAACCTGAAACAAACTGTTGAAACACGTTTAATTTTTAGAAATTCTTTTTAGAAAGATTTCCAAATTAAAATATCGAGTGACCGAGCAGTCATGAGAATGAAAAGGGAAACAATATCTTATATGCTTTAATCACTTTAAGAGAACGGACAGGATCATATTTTTGCTCTAATATTAAGTATCAATTTAAGCAGATTCAATAATAATTTAGAGCTGTTCATATACATAGACAGATTTACGCTGCTTGTATAATGGTTTATATTTATAATTCAGCTATGTAACTATATTTTACAACTATTTCTATATCCTAGACTAAATGTATGTCATAATTATGTTTTAATGTTACTCAGGTTCAATAATAATTTAGAGCTATATCTTAGTTTTAATGATGCTTCTTAATTATCACGAGGGAGAGATGCTTTTGATAATTGAAAATCAATCAGTTATGATTTTATTTCTTTTTTCCCCTTTTTTTTCTTTTTTCCCCCTATTTTCTTATCCTTGCCCCTTTTTCATAAAAAAAATATTTTTTTAATTTTTTAAAGAAAAAATTTTTTTAAATTTATATTTAAAAATTATTAAGGAAAATTTTTTAAAGTTAAATTTGTTAAAGAAAAATTATTAAAGAAATTTTTTTTAATGTTTATGTTAAAATAAAGTTGCTATGAAATTATTTAAATTTATTTTCGCCAATTATTCAAAAAATTTATAATAAGAGAAATCGTTACGGATAACCCTATTCGTTTGATTATATTACTGAGTCTCGATTGGTCTACGTGTACGGTCTACGCATCGATCGTCGGGCCAGTTTTTGACCGACCGCCTACCAGCGATAGGAACCGCCATCCTGTGGCTCCACCTTCGGAAATTCTTGCTTGCTCCCTCGTTTTCTTTGCCGCCATCGATTCTTCTTGTGGTATTCATCATCGGGTGTGACTCGGGGCCTTGAGCAATTAAGTCCGCCATTACTTGGTATTTTCGCATCGCGTTCCCTGCATTTGGAATTTGGCGAATGGGCCTGAAGACCATGTGTGTAACTTAAAAAATACATTTGGTTTATATTTATATGTCAAAATGCAAATTTTATTTTGTAAGGAACTTAAACGCAAAAACTTGTATAAACCCTCTTTTCCAAACTTACTTGCAACTGTTTAACCAAACTAATAATTTAATAACGAAATGTTTAGTATAAATGTTCCTTTAAAACAATATGTATTCTAAACAAACAATATTTCAAAATATTTTTTTACTTATTTTAAATATTTTTTTAAACTTTAATTTTCTATTATTTATTTCTGTGAAAAAACTGAAAAAATACTTTGGGCTTATATAGATTGCAAGTTGGGGTCTGGATAGTTTAAGTTTAAAATATTCCTTTTAATATTTTAGCGTAGTTGTACCGTAAGAAACTTTTTCTCAACCTAATATACCATTGGGGGAAGTACGAGAAACTTTAGTAAAATATTGTTATTGTTGTTGCAGTTCATTTACGTCGCACTAGAGCTGCACAATGAGCTATTGGCGACGGTCTGGGAAACATCCCTGAAGATAATCCTTAGACATGCCATCACAATTTTGATCTTCTGCAGAGGAGGTGGCACCCCCGCTTCGGTAGCCTGACGACCTGCACGTGAAGTCGAGAGCTTTACGGTAGAACAGTTTAACGAGGACCAATACCGCGCACCCTCGGTCCCTACGCAGACTGATCCAAGTGGTCACCCACCCGCACACTGACCGCAACCAGTGAATCTTGACTCCGGGGATCTGCTGGGAGACGTGTCTTAACGATCAGTCCATTTCGGGACTTAGTAAAATGTATAAATAATACTAAACATTATTTTACAACAATACTGCTACAAAAAGTTTCAACACCACTAATAATAAGAAGTTTAATACATTATTATTTATTTATGGTGAACTAATAACTAAAAAAAGGAAGTCAGTTACTTTTTCTATCGAACTTGAAGCCTTAATGAATTGTGAAGTCAGTGAATCAATTTTTCAAATGAAAAGTAAATTAATTTAAATCAGAAAGCATTTTTAATAAATTAAATAGAAGATTGCAACGCTCGCATACGCCATCTGGGGAGAAGACCGGTTCCATGCCATTGGCTATTCTCCCTTCCCTCTCGAGAGAGAAGGTGACAAGAGCTCCTCTTTTCAGTTGTATAGGAATGTACTACGATTTTTTTCCCTCGCTTAATATTTTTCAAAATTTCCCTGGCCATTAACGCAACACGATCCAATTTGCTATGATTAAAAGTCACCCTCTAGGCCACCTTATTGCATTTAATAGAGAATCTCGCTTCAGATACTTCTTTATAAAGAAGAGCAGGTGTACAGTATTATTGGGTGGAGTGTCGGGGTGCATGCCGTGCCTGACGTCGGTCCGCAACTTCACTGATACATCTCGTTTTCACAACCTTTCATCCATTGGGTGTAGTCCTGCGTTCAACGAGAGGATCTTCATACTCTACTTCATCAATAGACACTCATCTAAAGACGAGGCTGACGGCTAGAGGACTCTAGCCCGTGATCCGACTACCACCGAGAATATCTTGTGTCAGTATAGTGATCGGCGCGTGTTGGATGCGGAATTCATATCTACCAACCATCGCTTGGATTCCCATGCAACTGAGAAGTGGAGGAGAGGGAAGGGTCAAGACATGAAGCCGGTCTTCGCCCCCATATGGCGTATTCGAGTGTTGCGATTGCGAATAACAAGGTGAGGGAAAATGACAACGTCTTCTTCACAGCCCCCAATGGAATTTGTTTGGTTAAAAACATTATCCAGAAAAGGACATTAAAATGTGGTCAAAATCCGCTAAATCTCGCTTCTGAACATCCATTCGTGATCCCAACTCTCGAATATGCTATTTAGGGAGAAGATCGGTTCTATGTCTTAACCCTACGCCTTTTCTTTCCTACTCTCATCAGTTGTATAAGAATGTACTACGACATTTGTGATAAAAGGATTCCCCTTTCCTAATCTTTTTCGTATTTAATTATCAAAAATATTTTTTTACAGTTTATTTTAGAACTATGTTTAATGCAATTTTCAGTTCCATATTATTTTCCACCTTAAAATTTTTTTAATCTATTTGAAAATCAAGTTAGAAGCTATCGTACTTCCTTCACCAATAACTGTCCAAACGCTGATGTTAAAAGCATGCAATGTGTTGCCCTAGGTAGAGAGTTCTGCTCTACGCCACCTGTAGCCAATTTCAATCACCAATAAAAACAGAACTTCTAGTGTGGTTGACTCACGTGATTAAATATGCACTACTTTGCTTTAAACATTTCAGGTACTGTTTGAAAGTTGCAACCGTAACTGCCTTTTTATTTATTGTACGGTCGACGGTGAAGTTCATTTCTTGCTTTATTGAATTCTGTTTAGAAATTTGTACATCATAAAGCTTTCAAGATGATGAAAGGATTGACCTGGTCAAGCTTGAAAAAGCATTATTCTGTAAGTATCTATGCATTTTAATGTAAATATACGTCGGTGTACATTGTATGTGCAAGGACTTTGAAGGTCAGTCGAGTTAGTGTCTGCACTGTTTTCTAATCGAATTGATTTTTTGTAATGCTCAAGTTACTTTGTAATAGACTGTATCTCGATTAACATGTTTGTATTAGTTAACCCATATTTACATGTGAATGATTTAGCAGATAACGATTACTTACGGTCTTTTTTTATGTGTAATAATATCTAGTGTGTTGCTTTTTGACTTAAGAAAGGGAATATTTCCGTATTGTGATAAGTGGCACCAACTACAATCGCCAAGGGGCCAAATAGATTTTAAATTAGCAAATTGTTTTAAAAAAATATGTAAATGTTTGCCCAGGGGTAGCTTCGAGTTACGCCATTCGAGTTGGTCCCTTTCTGTGATGTTTTTTTTAGTTTCTCACCGGCCGCTGCCTGGAATTTGGTAAGACTTGGCGATTATTATGCGAGAGATCATGATATGGAAATATCCCCCCTAAAAAAAAAAGGATACATATAGGCGAACTAACTTGTAAAGTATTACTTGCTGCTACCTCCAATCTATCAGCATCGTAATCTGTCACACCAAATACAGCCGTTAAGGCTCCAAATGAATTTCAAACCTGCACGTTTCTTAAAAAGGAACACATTGAGTTTTGCCATCAGGGGCTACAAGTTGTACCATTAGAATTCATCCCCTTCCTGTGATTTTTTTTTTTTTTTAGTTCCTCATGGGCCGCTGTCCAGAAGTTGCCAAGACTTGGTGGTTATTCTGCTGCAAATCATGATACAGAAATGTTCTCAAAAAACACCTTTTAAAATTTTTTTGTGAAAATAGAAAACTGGTCGTGGATAGTAATTGGTACAAACAGGTACTGAAACTGAATCTCCCTATTGTTTATTTCATTGTGGGTCAGATATCTCCACTAGAAGGATACATGTTCCATACTATAAAGACTGTTGAATTGGACTTCAGAATTGGATTGTTGATACAGACCAAATCTGAAAAAGTACCAACAAGATACTGTAATATCAACAATTTTATTGGACCAGTTCAGATATGACTTGTTTCTTGTTGAAAAAAAATAACCTTCAACAGAGAGCGCAGAGCCGGGGTGAAGGACTGAGCTGACCCCTCACATTTTATAGATGAAGAGACAGCCCTTTTAAAGATTATAATTTTTCACTCAATATTTATGTAATTAAATTTGCATTTACAAAAAGTAGATAATTTTTTTTGTGTGCCTGAATTCTAAAAAACAAATAATAAAAATTTCTCTATTTCAAGCAAGCTTTTACATTTCCTTAGTGAAAACTGCTTAATCTTTCCTTACTCATCCCTTCAAAAAGAAAGTATACGTCCCTATTGTTGACTGATTGGTAAAATTCTTGGTTTCGAATGTCGCTGAGTAAAAAGAAAACAAAATCAGTGAAACTAAAAAAAAAAAGTTATAATGTTAAATGAACGATACATAATTTACAGGTAAACAATTTCTTTTTTTAATTTTAAAAGAATTTGAATCATGAATTTAAAATTGCAAGTTTGAATTCTTGATTTCCATTTTACGAGGTTCAGATAATTCGGACCCAGTTAATACTAATATATATATATTTATATCTATATAAACAGGGAGGCTTCAAGACCTGTTCTGAATATAAGATAAGTCTTATGGTAGTTTTTCTAGTATTCTTTGGTCAGTCGACAATCATTCCAATATGTATTTAGTCTGTATATTCGATTGCAAATTTTATGTTTGGTCGTTCTGTGGTTATGTTGGTTTACAACTCATTTTATTGTTTTTTCTCATATATTTTATCAATTGTCAACTACTGGTTTATGTACACATTATTAAGCTCTTATTATTCTGGTAAAGATTTTAATTTAATCTTTAGTTTAAGAAGAGAATTTTGCATCCTTTTTAATAATTTTTCTACAATTTTTAATTTTATCATAAATAACAAAATTCTTTGGCATTTATTGGAAGTACAAATAAGTTCTCTTCATTTTCAATAAAAAATTAGCAGTTTATCGTGAAAAATCCGTACAGAATCTCTTATTCTAAGTATTCTCCATTACTAGACACTACTTTCCCCCATCTTTCTGGGAGCATTAGGATACCACGGAAGAACTCATCTTTCGAGGATATCCACAAATCGACCCATTCCTTGGATTCAGTAAATTTCTGCTCCAGAGTCATCCAGAATAATTTAATATGTGAAGGGGCAAGGTCCGGCGAGTACGGTGAGTGGGGTAGGAATTCCCATTAAAGTGTTTCCAAATAGCAAAATCAACATTCAGCTTAGATTCAGTTCGTATGGAACCAAACTTCCTTGTTTTGGGATCCTTCCCAACGATTTTAAACAATATGAAATTGCTTGCTAAGTCACTTGTAATGTAAGAGCAAGTTCTTTTTACGTTTGGGATGAATCTTCCAATTCTTTGACTTCCAATTTTGGTCTTCCTCTGCATTCTTTGTCCTCCACTTTATATTCACTGTTTTTAAACTTCTGAAGCCACTCACGACTACTTCTCTTACTTTTCTTCTTATCCTACCAACTTCTCATATCTATTTTTCAGAGGTGACTGAAATTTTGTTTGTTAGAAAAGTTGTTGAATTTACGCATGCATGACTAATTAGAAACTACCAACACTAATAATTATTCATTGCACTTTCAAATTGACACTGGAGTATTTTCATTTCTTTTTCCTGTTTGTAAAACTATGAATATCTGAAAAAGTTTACCAAAATTATAAATATGTGAAATTAGCTTCAACTAGAAGCTAAGACTAAGCTAAGCAACTAGAAGATAGACTGGATTATGCGAAACAGCTTGAAAGATGAAAAAAAGAGGAATAAGGTGGAATTTCACAACTACTTTAGAAGACCTTGATTTTGCTGATGACATCGTACTTATTTCATCCAAATGTACAGACCTTCAGCTTAACCCACTTTGGCGACCTCTNGAGAATAAATCAAAAGAAAAATGACAAAATTAAAATCGAAAATCACGAAATAGATGACATAGAGTCATTTAGCTATTTAGGTTCTATTGTAGATAAAAAAGGTGGAAGTAGCGAAGATATTAGACAGAGAATAATCAAAGCAAGAACATGTTTTAAGGGATTACATAAATTTTGGAGAGAGTCAAATATTGAAATAAAGACAAAAATAGTTGTTTACAAAGCTATTGTTAGAGCAGTACTATTATATGGCGCAGAAACCTGGAAACAGACTAAGATCGAAATACAAAAATTAGAAACCTTTCAAAACAAATGTTTAAGATTTATTTTTAAAATTTTCTGGCCTTACAAAGTATCAAATCAAAATCTATTAAAGAAAGCTAAAATAAAAACAATCGAAGATGAAATTAAAAAACGAAGATGGAGCTGGCTCGGACATATCCTTAGAATGCCCAAAGAAAAAATTTCATCTGTTGCGCTTACATGGGCCCCTGATGGTAAGAGAACAAGAGGAAGACCCAAACTTACCATCCAGCGCATGTTTTTTGGGCGAATTAAAAGAATGTGGAATATCTGGCTGGGAGGAAGCAAGATCTATTGCTAAAGACAGGAGGCGTTGGAGGGATATGCTGGAGGCCTTAAGTGCCCAAGGCACGTAGAGGATAAGTAAGTAAAAAGAAGCTAAGATCTATTCTACAATTCTATATTTTTCCGTGTTGGTTATTATTATAAAACAGGGGTCTGTCTAGGTTTTTCTGAGAGGTACCTATTTTGTGAAAATTAAAAATTATATTAACAAATCAACACAAAAATATGGATTTATCGTTTCTTACAAGACACAAAAATAAAATTTTAAGAAAAAGTATTTTGTGAAACTGCTGTTTTTCCTAAGTTGGATTTGTGAAGGTACCTTTAAACGGTAGTAAATTTGGCTTGGACAGACCCCTGTAAAACATGCTCTTTTTTTTTTAATGAGAAGTTTTTTGATTAAGTAAATTAAATTAATAAAGATTTTGCCCTATCTCGTGCAAAGCAGTGTTTCTGCAGGTTATATTCAGATTTAAATCAGAATATTTTATAATTTGATTTAAATGAAATGAAGAAAGAAAAAAAAGAGTCAATGAACGAACTATCATTGTTTTTTTATTTATCTAACTCAATTTTGTTTTGTTTAAAATTTCACAATATTTACTAATATTTTCCTCTAAGTAATATACTAATTATAGTATGAACCTTATTCTTTAGTTGATACCTTTATTTGTAATCCTTGGAGGTGGATGTGCTCTATCTGCTGCATATTTAGCCAGGCTGGCCTTTAAGAACCCAGAAGTTAGGTAAGAATTTTAGTTTTTTGTAAATTAAAAAGTGGCTTTGTTGAAAATGGATCAACTGGCAAATAGTACAATATTTACCCAATAAGTTTTGTACTAATCCAAGGGAGCTGGCAGAATAATATGAAAAGGGGTGCAACCCTCTAGCAAACTACCCCCCCCCCTCCAAGAAAATAATTAAAGTATTATGTTATTACATTTTGTTTTGTTATTACATATACTTTCATCTGTTAATTTTTTCAAGATACATTTCTTCATTGTTAATAAGATATTTAAACAAAAGTACAAATTTCTTTTACTTGCAAATTTTGTCACTGCATTGATGGCGCTGGCATACCTACTGACTTTGAAACACAAATAACTACAAACAGTAGTTTCGTATACTAACATATTGGTGCACGCTTAACATTAGTATTTATTGTGTTGATGAAGTTTTACAGTTGTGAGAAGTCAGTTAGTGTTATACACCTTTGTTAAACTAAGTAACAAATAGAAAATATAATATTACTTTTATTTTATTAAATGAAATTTAAAAATATGGCTTAGATATCTGCCAAGTTTGTGCATGCTCAGTGTGCATGAGAAAAGATTTAATGACTCAGAATTCATTTAAAAAGTTATAAACAGATTTGGACAGCAAACAAGACGATTACAGTTTTTGTTCAATTAAACAATTTTTTAATTGTTATGTATCAATAACTTAATTATTTGTTTTTCAATAAAAATAAGTTTCTTAAAAATTTTTATAACAAAATTGTTTTTCTGTATCTCTTTAATTGTTTAAAAAAAAGCCAAGGGGGTGCAAGTGTACCCCCTTGCACCCCGCTGCCGTCGCCCTTGTACTAATCTGTTATTTTTGATAAATGTTTGTCACAAGTATTCAGTGTTGTAATGTAATTAGCTAAAAGAATATAATTTGTAATATAGCTTAGTTTTTGTAAATATGAATGTGTTAATTTTATACATTCACATTTGTTGCTAAGATATTTCAGGCATAAATGCGTGCTTCCTTATGAACTGTTTTAAAAAATTGTTGAAAGTAGTAAAAAAATGTACTTGAATAGAACTATAGAATTATTTCCTAAATATTATGAGTATCCAGGGTCCGAAAATCCATAGGGTCTGAGAAAGCGATTGCCCTCTAACCCCAGCTGAAGTGGAGGGTGTTCCTTAAAGGAGGAGAACTATGGCCCCATGTCCTTTTGAATAAAAAAATATATAGTTTTAAAACATACTTTGTCGTAATTTGTTTTATTATTAGCATTATGAATAAAATGTTTATTTATTATTTTTTAGAGGACTAAAGCTGGCAAATGCGTTGGGGGGCTGCATCTTCAGCCAAATGCATGTCCATAAAATTCTGAGTCATCAAACTTTCGAGTTTCAGACTGGGGCTCCACCTACAAAATTTTGAGACCAAGGAATGTGGAATAATATGCATAATGTTATGAGCTAAGACTTTTGATTGTACAAACCTGGGCCCCACCTGAAAAATATTTAAAACCAAGGAGCCCTTAGAACCTTCACTCCTCTAAAAATGAAAGAAGGAAGAAAATGGAAAAATACTTCTAAGCAAAATGATATTTCTTTGCAGTGATGAATTATGAAACCTAAACATACTGAATATTGCGGCATAATGTGCATTAAATTCTGAGTTAACAAACTTTTGATTGTAAAAACAGCGTCCCACCTTCAAAATGTTAGAAACCAAAGGGTCTTTAAAAACGTGCTCCCCCTAGGAAAAACACTTAATACATCATGTTTGCAATTATGAAAAGCCCCTACCCTAAAATCTGTTAGCCCCCCCCCCCAAATAGAAAAATACTTCGACGCAAAATGATATTTCAACTTCGTAATTATGAATGATGAAACAAAATCAAATTTACTATTGCTGCAATAATATTTATTTCTGTTTAGCATTTTAATGGCAATTATTAATTTCTCTTTTATATTTTATAACCTTCGTTACACAGCCGACCCAATTTTGAGTTTACGACTATTAATGTTCAACGCCGTAGCCTTGTAATTTTGAACCCAATCCGAAAAACTCCTGGATATAGTTTGGGAGAAATTCACCTTTGTGGGGACGTTTTGATGGAACTAACCGGCATTTACGTTACATGGAGAGGAAAACCTTCCACTGTTAGCCTGACAGCAAGAAGATTCTAACCCATGATCCATCTACAACTGAGGATATTTTCCTTCACCACAGTGGTTAATGGAATCTGGGTGTGGGAATTCGCATTGACCAGCTAATTATTGGAAGGCGGACCCTCTATCCCCTGGGCCACCCTGGCTCAGTGCTCAGTTGAACATATTATAAAATTTATACAACTTAATAAATGATAATTTTTTTAAAAAGAAAATTATAAGCTTAAAACTCCTTGAAAAAGAATTGCATCATTCAAAGTCAATTTTTCTTAATTTATTGGCTTGCACATAGTACAGATTGGATGGTCCCTCTCCCCCAATATATATTTTTTTTTAAAAAAACTCAAGTTTACTGATTTCATAATCTTTCATTAAATTTATGTAAAATCTATAAAAATCAAAGCAGTAAATTATTTTGTAGTTCTACCTTTTCTTCCTATTCAAATCCTTCCTCACTTGATTGTTTTGGCCAATGTCAAGGTAATTAATGCCCTTTCTGAGATGAAGGGGAAAAAGAAAGGAAATTGAAGTTGTCACTGTGTTTCTCGAATTCAGGACCCCCTAGGATATTGCTTAGCTGATAAGATCAAATTTCAAAAATGTTTAGGGCATGCATGAATGGAAAGAGCAGGATAACTATTATTGAATTTTTTTCTCACATAGTGCCTAGGGTAGTGCGAGAGAACAGTTATTCTGAAAATTTGTTTGGAATATTTTTGGGGTCATTTCACATTCCCGCATGGTTTTAAAAAATTTGATTTTTATTATGACATGCTAATTTTAAATCACGCATTTAAATAATTTCACTTTGATACGCTTTATTCGTGCCGATTTCGTCTTACATTTTGGGGGTTTTTTTTGTTGCAATTATTGTGGTGTTTTTTCACATGATTTTAACAATCCTTGTTATTTTGATATAATTTATTTGTGTGTATTTCATAGCAGATTGCGTAGCATTTTTAAAAAGTCCTTGAAGTTGCTCATTTTCGTTTTTTAAAAGCCCCTTAAAGGTGCTTTTTTCATTGGGTGTTTTTAAAAAGTTCTTTATTTTCCCTTTACCAAATTGAGATTTTTCCTTTACCATGTTGATTTTCGCTATGAATTATGCAGAAAAACACAGTTCATATTGTTCTATTCAATATTTTCACAATCCCACTCTATTTTGGAGCATCATCAGACCGTAGCTTATGAAAACGCCATTCGATTTACATGATTCAAAAATTTTGACCATTGTCAAAAACAATACCAATAGAATATTTTTGTTTTGTTTTTGACATGACTTTTTAAAACCGGATAAAACCGTCAATTGTCGAACTTTCCAACCCTGCCTAGTTATGATATTCTTTCAAAGTACTTAAAAATATTATTAAAGTGCTTGAAAAGTGGTTAAAAGGTGCTTATTTTTTGTTGAATAATTTGACTATACACCCTGTATTGTTAATATAAGTTATTTTTCCTGCAGTTAGTGCCATGCATGGTATTTAAAATTCTCAATATATAATGTAATGTTATAGCAAAATAAAATGTCCGAAAAGTGAAGGAAAATGCAAGTTTTCCAACTAGGGTGACCTGGGGTAATTCCTGATCAAAAACTGCAAACATCTATTTTGTGAAAAATACTATTCAAAATAGAATTTTAATGTTTACTGGAAGTTTGACGCTATATGAGATGAGTCCTATGCAGGGTTGGCAGGTTTTTGACATGTGACAGTTTTTGACAGTTTAAACCATGGTTTAAACCGTCACGTCAAAAACCTCACTGTCAAAAATTTCGAAAATGTCAAAAACCTATATTCATATGTGAAATTTAATTAATACATAAAATTTATATATTTTTTATAAAGGATAGTGTTTCTAAATATGTTCTAGAAAAAATAAATTTAAAATTTTGAAGAAACACTTATTATTTGAATAGTAACCAAAATCTTGTACTTTTGAAAGCTCACATCTTTTGTAATATTATGTATTCATTTTCATGTGTTATTGAAAATCTGCAGTGATGTTATTAAGAAATTTATTTATAACCAAATTTAGTGTATAGTATAGATTTTACTAAAAATTAGACATTTTTAAAGATAAACATTAGCAGTTTTGTACATTAGACATCTTTTAAAGAAAAATCTTTTAATATTCTTTTAAATCTTCTTAATAATCTTTTTAACATAAGACAATACAAATTTAAGTTTCTGTTAAATACACAGAGAAGTTAGTGTCGATTTACAGTATATCAGCCTATTCATTTACTATGCTGAAAATTTAGTTTATCCAAATACTTGTGAATTTCATTTTGCTGAATACTATGTACATAGTTTTGTTGAATATCTAAATATTCAGCTGTTGAATAATTACTTCTTGCTTTCAAGATATGCATTATTTGTATTCTTAATACAA